AGCCGTTCGGTATGGCAAAGCTGCAATCACTTACGCGGCAGGTATCCCGTGGCCTGCTGAAGCGTGTTCAACACACTCGCCTACCACGTGCGGAGGCGTGCGGAGCAGCGACCCATCTCTCCACGGATAAGGGGAGCACGGTACAAGGCGGGCCATCATGGGAATGTCCATGAAAGGGCAGTTTGCAGCAGGAGCCCATCCAGTCTGTAGAATGTCACAAACCTCAGTCCAACGCAAACAAGATCTGCAGCCCCCCTGAGGGCAGTGACGATGCCCCCCCGGGGATCTCCTGAAAGCTTGGATATGATATATCAAGATCGTTCTGCATGGCCACTGATCACCAGTCACTAGTGCTTCATATACTGGACCCCGTCCCTTGGCCATGATTTCCCATCTTCCCAAGTCGGCGATGGTGCGCCGGCAGACAAAGAGGCTTCTTCCATTAGAACTTCTAGAAGGATGCCACCGAAGAATGTTGTGGGGAGGGTACCTTCGAAGCGCTTCCCCACCACTTTAGATGCGACAGCCGCTGATCAGGGGTATCGAGCTGATCTCTCACCAATTTCATCAAATCCGTTCAAGGCAGTCTTTCACTGCCGGCTAGCCCGATAGAGTACCCATCCGCTGACGAGATCAGCGTGCTTACCAGTCTGTTGGTCTGCCATCAAACGCAAACAGGCAGTTGGGGATCAGGATCAGAGAACAATGGGACCTGCCAAAAGCCGCTGGCACTCAGTGACACCCGATCTTGGCTTCAGCGCCAGGCAGTGCCTCATATCACGTCAGGCATCTCACACCGAAGGGTGGCATTGTCTTCGGCGCATCGCAAACATGATGCCTAATCTGTGTTCTCACCCACCCACAGAGGAACCGTAGCCTTGCAGCGACCAGAGGCCTCACACCATCTCCCGGCCACTCAGCTGCCTCTTATCACACGTGGCAGCGTGGGCTGGCTGCTGGACTCGGAGATCGCCCCTGTTGGGTTTACGTCAGGTCGCTGCGTCCCATTGATTAGGCCGGAAATCACCAGGAGCTGGGATTGTGCTGTCAAAGTACCGAGTACACTCTCACAAGCGCTGCGCTAAGTACCTGTTCCTGCATTAGCGAGCTGGAACGAAGAAGTGGTCCCCTCTAGGCAAAAATAGGTATGAAACAAGGGGAAATTCTCAGCAACCAAGGGATCCTGCTGAAGCTCGCGTTAACAGAGGTGCTCCTGCGCCGCTGTGTCCACTGAGAAGACGCGTTCTCTTCCAACAAGGCTGTGCCCCAAACGTCTGGATATCAGGGATAGCCTGGTTGTCAATGGATATCAATTCTACACCTGCTCCTAGCCAGCCTGCCTGGCAATGCGTGGTGACGTTGGCAATGCGGCAGGCAGGCAGGCGTGTTCTCTCAGAATCCGAGATTTCACCAAACAGTCTCAATAGAACCTTCACGAGACTTTTGCTGCCTATACATCTAGAGCAGAATCTCCCATTCCACCACCATGTGATGATAGTCTTTAGCACGATGCTTGTGAGCCGAGGTGCTTGAAAGAGCGTGGTTGCTTTGACCCAACCAATCTACTTGCCACACGGTCCTCCGCGACGTCGCTTCTCTCATTATGCCCGTAAAGGGCAGTCTGGGCTGGGAAGCTGAGCCGTCCGTACTATGTATATTAGCAGCTAGCCATGGTTTGACTTTTCGCTAGCCTCTCGGAAGCCTATCCAGGTCAAAGCCACTACCGAGTTCTTGTCGTCTCCTACCGAGTGCTGGTAGCCCGAGTCCCGTGTCCACTAGAAAGAGTCAGCTGGGGCGCATCCATCAACGTTGCAACGCCTTTCCAGGATGAAGAAGTCCGTCCTGAGCATTATTACCTAGACCACCATGATTAGCGGAAAAGGCTGTTTCTGCTGAACAGTTTCAGTGTTGCCATGTCAATCTTGCCTGGTTGGCTTTCAAGGGTTCTACTCCAGTGTTTTTCCGCCAACCCAACCTGCAGCCATTCCTGGTCGCCGAAGTCTTGGTCGGTCCCACTTACAATGGCTCCATCAGACCATGCTACTGGGCCGTTAGTTGTTTTCCAGAAGACTTCTAGAACTTGACGATGCATCCCTTGGACGGCCAAATGGGCTAGGCAAAATGTGGTGGAGTCTTCGTCCTCAAGAGTCGAGATGATGGCACTTCACGGCCTCCTATCCGGTTTCCGTGATGGATCGACTGCAGTGGACCTTATTGGTTCTTCGGTTTCCATGTGCCTACCCCTAGCAACTTCGTCTGCCGCCCGGCTGGGTTACCGATGCCTTCGATGTTGACATTGCTTGATGATTACAGGTACTGTATCCACATTAGTTAGCAGCGAGACAGTTGATGGTCTGTGGCTTCAAGGAGAGTTTCGTATTCCTAGACGATCATTTGTCGGCCTCTCCAGAGCTCCGCTTCGGCGACCAAAGCGCAAGCGAAGCCTCGTCTAGCAAGTCGATCTGATAACAAAGATTGGGCGACTTGCCAATTTGTTCGATAAGGGAGACCCTTTTCCTGACTTACTGTAAATGGCCATGGCCCAACAGCCTTGTGGGTGTCCACCTCTGATGGTGGATTCCAAGAGGACATGCAGAGCATCGTGACCCTAGAGCCAAGGCACTGGCATCATTCCGTCCGAGTTTCCAGAAGCTCTCAACTGGCCCACACGAATGTACCTCCATAGTCCAGCCACATTTAACCGTTATGCACGTCTCCACTGGCAGGCCTGACCTCCTGGTAAGGATCCAAGTTTTGTATCCATTTCTTACTATCGACTAGTATACATAGTAATCACGGTGCACCTGCTGGCAAGATAGGGCTATGACTCATGAACGACAGCAATGGTGCGCATGTCAGGAGACAAGCATGCAACTGATTAAGTTTTCCAATAGTATGGTTCTTCAGGGCTTCCTAGTCATTCACTGATCATATCACCGCCATAATCCCCCCTGTGACAGGGCCGACGTACCCTGGTCTAGGGCCCAGAAAACCTCGTGGCGCCGGGGAAGCTTCCGTCTGACCAGACCAAGTCCGAGTCCTACGAATACACTTCCTGATTGCCGATTCTAATCAAACTTGAGAAAAAGTTTTTAAACAAGGCATTCTTGCGGAAAGTTTCAGCAACAATGCCGGCAATGGAGGAACCAAGCCGCAGGTATCCAATCCTATAAAGCAAATCAACCATGATCGGCAACCACGCTATGCATAGAAATGAAGTTGGGATGAACATCAGACCGAATTGTGGTCAATGGCGCTCACGTACTATCTTGACCTGTAAAACTAAAGCCAACTTCCGAGTGGCAATTGGCTTTAGGAATAGTCATCAACTGCTTCTGGGTTTTATTGTCGAAAGATAATATCGATTTCAACATGTCCAGCTAGACTTGGGCCGTACACATCATGGTTCGGTTGCTAGATATGGGGTGCCGGTCAAGTCTGGCCATTCCCCTTCTGAGCCCCCGATCGCTCGGATCCTCTCTTGACACTCGCCAGCCTTCTCACACGTATATTGATGCTACTATGGAATTTGATCTTCCGTGTGACATTGACCTCATTTGACAGGGCCGCCTTTCCACTTAGGACTGATTCAAGAAACCCTTCACCATGCAGAACCAAACTTCTGCTCAGCTCCCTCGCACACCGGTGAGGGTCTCGCGCTCTGGCATCCTGAAGAGAAACGTAGTGTGGTACAAAGCCACCGCCCAAGAAATGCTCTCTCGATTGAAACTGTCTGCGCGGTTCCGATCCTGCCACGCACTGCTTAACGAAAGTATCCTGCTCTCAACGCAAGCAGCACAGTTGCGTCACGCGACAACCGGGCATTGCTAGGTTGCGCGTGCCCAGCAGTCAACGGTTCCAAGCGCTCGCTGCGAAACCTGCATCAGGCAACTTGTGTACGGATTCCACGTGGCAGGGCGCCGGGGTGGGTTACTTGAAACAGGCACTGTCGGATAGGGCAACAGCCCAAAGCACCCTGCCCGGCAGCCAGTGTTCCTCATTCGTAGCGCATCATCTCGGGCCCTGGCCATGGATGGAAAACAGGGCCGTCTGATGATGGCTGAACCTCTCAGCGCGGGATCCTCAGCCGGTTTTGGATGGTGTCTTAAGGACCGACTGGGCTCCTGACGGGTTTGCCGCAGACAAAACAGGGTATCCTACCGCCCATGGTGGCTTATCATGGGATTATCCGCTCGGCCTGATCCTCCGCCATGGTCCGAATGGTGCGTGAGATGACCCAAATTGGCCAGCATGACATGCTCGTCATCAAATTTCGCGCGGTTCTGGTATAAGCTAGCGCCAACGCCCGTTGTCCTTGGTCTTACCGGCTTCCGGTGCAGGTCGTTGATGCGCTACGATCTGTTTAACAAGCACTGGAGGATCATGTACGAGGGAAGGATGACTACAGTGACCATGTCGCATTCTAGATGATTCGTACAAACACTACTCTCCGACTAATTGAGCCATGGTCGATTTCCAGAGAACCGTCCAGTGCGTGTAAGCATTGAACCCAAGAACCCTCGCAATGCCCGCGCCACTCGTAGGTGCACGAACGCCTTGATCTACACGCAGGTTCGCGGGGTTTCACGGACATACCAGCCCATACGGGAGAACAGCAGACACATTACGTTGGCTGTGCATATGAGGCAATCGTGATGTTAGGTCGCCATAGGTTAACAACCAGTTCTGGCTGAGCCACTCTGGTTGAGTATATTCCGCCCGATCTCATGGAATGTGGAATGTGGAATGTGGCTGTGTTGAACCCGCTCCAGCTGCAGCCTCGCCCCGCAGACAGCTACTGCGACTGCGACTGCGACTGCGGGAGCTCCAACCTTGGGAGACAGCCAGACGTCAGTCAGGCCGCCCCGCCATCAGCAACCTCCCCAATTCCAGCCTGCACAGCGCACGACGACGCACGACAGCCTCAACTGCCAAAGCTCTGTCTTCAGCCTCCCTGATTTTGCCCGCAGGCGCCCACGCACGGCCCACATCCCCTCACCATGTCCATCATCCAGCAGCACACCTCGTCCTCGCTCAGCGACGCCTGGCGCACCATCAACATCGACGCCCTGGACCCGGACTCGTCCCAGAACTTCGACACCACCACCCTCCACCCGCCGTTGCCCGAGATCGGCGAGGCTGAGGTCCGTCAGTTGAATGGACAGGTGCGGCAGCTGCTGCGTGGAGGCGATGCCGAGGGCGCCCTGAGGGGCTGCCTGGAGAGCCCCGTCTACAATGGCGCAGACGGTGCGAAGGTACGCGGGCCCGTAGGATGATGATGAGATCCTTGGAGAGTCATTGGGGCTGACGAACTTTGTGAGAATACAGGACGCCCATCTTCAGACCGTCATCGAGGTCCTGCAGTCGATCAAGGCGAGCGACATGACGCCCATGCTGCAACGCATCTACAAGTCCGAGGGCGGGAGCGAACTACTAGATGTACTGGTGAAGTACCTGTACGCGATAAATGCCAAGGCCCCAGGTATAGGGGTATGAAAGGGCAAGAAGAATACTGATGGCGTTACAGGTACAAGGGCATGAGCGTATCGGCCTCGAGCAGCGGACCGCGCACACCCTCCCGAGCGTCGAGCTCCCTCACACCACAGCAGACCGGTTTCAGTCAAGTCACCGGCCGGCCAGGCGCATCAAACGAATCTACAGGTGCAGCTATGAGTGTTCTGTTGAGCTGGCACGAGAAGGTCGTCGATGTGGCGGGTCTTGGTTGCATAGGACGATGCATGTCGGACTGGAGAAAGGTATAAGCCTTGAAAAGGGGCGAAAAGGGGTGATTATAGACAGCAGCCAACGACAGCACAAACTCAGACGTCGATCAGAACTTCTCAATATAACGAATCATAATTATATGTCCGCGCTCGCTTGTTAGATGAGGTGGTTGAGTCAGCATTCAGTATTCCCGTCCTAGCAACTGTTGGCTTGGTTGATAAATACCTAGATAATGAAAAAGTAGCAGCATGCTCAGCATATAACTCCTTTCATCAATGGGATCTCAAAGCGGGAGCAAGCGATCTAGACAGGCCTCGCGTCCGTAACCTATGTGGACTTGTATCAAGCACAGCTTTCGTCAGACCTGGTACGATCCTTGTACGTGCTCTCCAGCAATGGCCATATCAGATACTAGAGTCAGCCCCTTGCTGGAAATCCTGCCGTCAGACTTTCGACAGAGCGGGTGCAAGACCTGTCTGTGAATACGCGGAGGCAGGGGCGGCAGAGGGCGCCTCGTCTGAGGCCGGCCGCTCGCACAAACTATATGGCTCCCTGTTTGGTTAGTAATGTTACTCCAGTCTCTTAGTCGACTTGAGGTTGCGGTTGCGGTTGCGGTTGCCTCAACACAAATAGTTTCTTTTCTAAAGTTCTGGGTGCTGCCTAAAATGCCATTATCTTTGACTTGGTTTTGAGAAAATTTTTGACTTCAGAACGACTCAGCAAGATATTGAGATACAGAGACGTCCTACCGACTTTTGATGAAGGCCAACCACGTGTTGGTGATGCCACAGTTGCATCCGTCATCTCATCGAAGTCCTGATCTACACAGACGAGCATCACGCCGCCATTTTGTTGACGAGGCTACACTGCCTCTCTTTGACTTTCCCTTCACCTTCCTTTCTGTCCCCAGTCCTCCTATCATCGCTTGTACAATTCATTGTTCGAAGCACTACCATCATGTCGTGGTTCTGCAGTACGTGTGATCGCTCGTTTGTCAACAGCGCTAGCCTTCGAAGCCATCTTTTGATGGCAAGAGAGCAGCATCCTGACCGAGCGTTTTGTGCGCGGTGCGATATTCCTTTTGAGGATAACGCTGCCCTGCAAACACACATTGTCCAGTCACAAAGACATTTTGTTTGCCGGCATGCTGACTGCAGACTCGATTACGCGGACGCTAGAAACTTGAATGCTCACGTAGCAGCGGCGCATCGTTGCAAGTTTTGCAGAATCGAGCTGGGTGTGAAGCAACTGGAGGATCACCTTCATTACAGAGAATGCTACTGTACTCGTTGCGATGAGAAGTTTGCCACACCAGAGGCGCTCCGAGATCATCGCGCGAACAGCAGCAAGCACTGTTGGTGCAGAGCTTGTGGTGCTGAATATCCTGATCTGGAGGAATTCAACGCTCACTGCAAAGCCAATCACTACCATTGTCAGAAATGCGACCTTGTTTTCGTCGACGGTGCTGAGCATGTAGCACATCTCAAGGAGAGTGACGCGCATTACTATTGCGCGAAATGCCAGCGAGAGTACAACACTACGCATGAGCTACTCGCGCATCTTAAGAATGTTTTCGCCTATCCGCGCGTTCACTACTACTGCTCAGGATGTTTTGCCGACTTTGACAAGGCGAAAGACTTGGCAAATCACTATATGGCCTCCAATCGGCATGAATACTGCCAAATATGCAACCTGCATTTCCAATCAAACAGTGACCTTCAGGAGCATCTCTCCATGGACCCGAAACGCCACAACCGTTGCAATACATGCAACATTGTTTTCAAGGACCAGTCAGAGTTGAAGATGCATGCTAGCCAGGCTCCCGACATACACCATTGGTGCAACATTTGCAAGCGTCATTTCGACAGCGGCGATGAGTTCGACACACATGCCAAAGCACAAGCGAGTACTCACTTTTACTGCCTTCAATGTGACCAGGTGTTTCGAACTGCTGATTTGTTGGAGCTCCATAGGAGACGTCAAGCTTCAGAGCACTATTTGTGCACCGAATGCGGCGCGCATTTCGATGATGGCTCTCAACTCAAGGCTCACCTTGGTGAAAAACACGACTCCGCCAACTACTGTTCGGACTGCAATATCGGTTTCAAGACTGCTGCAGATTGCCTGCGTCATTTGCAACTAAACCCACTTTCCCATCATTTCTGTCATATCTGCCTTCAACAGTTCGACGACAAGCAAGAGTTGATTACTCACTTCAAATCCGAAGTCGCCACTCATTTTTACTGCTACAACTGCTGCGAAACCTTCCAGGATCTCGGGGAGTTGCAAGATCATTACCTGGCTTCGGACAAGCATTCGTACTGCTACACATGCGCGGTATTGTACGATGACCTAGGAGGCTCAGCTTCTCTTCGCCAGCACATCCAACAGAATGAAGGATTTCACCACTACTGCGGTATCTGCGACATCCTCTTCAAATCTGATCAGGAGCTGAGCCAGCATATCCGATTACACTCATTGACTCATTTCTGTTGCCAGCAGTGTGACCAAATATTTTCTAGCTCAGCGGAACTGGACCAACACAAGGAGGCAGTCAAGTCACATTATTTTTGTGCAAAATGTAGACTTGATTTTCATGACATGGAGAGTTTGAACGATCACTTGTTCACAGCTACCGATCATCACTACTGCTTCACCTGTAACGAGTCTTATTCATCTCAGGAGGATCTTTGGCGGCATGTTTCAGAAGCTCAGGATACCCATCACTACTGCCAGCCCTGCAAGGTATTGTTCAAATCAGCCCAGCAGGCCGATAACCACAAAGATGACCTGCATCTCCATCCGCCGAATGACGGCAAAGACTATTATTTCTGCTCTCGATGCCAGCAGCCATTCATTGGGGCCATGGATCTCTTACAGCACATTGAAACCAGCGAGAACCACAAGGCATGCATTACCTGCCACGAAGAGTTCGAGTCTGCGGACAACTTGGATCGCCACGTCGAGAAAAACCATAGACAGACGCTGGATGAAACCACATCCGCTGACGACTCTGATATCACTGCGGTAGATGAAGAACTGGTTTCAGTCAAGGTAAAGCTCCTACGCGCGTGGGAAAAGCCTTTTCTGGTAACTGACTTATCTCAGCACCATCCAAAGCCAACCCAACGCCCATGCCGCATCTGTCACACAGAGTACACAACCAGTAAAGAGTATCTGGAACATTACGAGAACGGTGATTGCTATCTATTCGCCGACCAATTCTACGCGTACCTCAAGGCCAACGATGTCTACGGTCTGTTTACTACCGACGAGCTGCGTAGTCCGCCAGCCGTCAATGCTCTGCGACTCCCTCTGAAGGTTACTGGATCTGCAACCGAGTATCAGAATTCCCAGTACGCCTTCGGTTCCACCAGCGAGCCACACCTGTTGGCTCACATGGAGAGTGATGTCCGCCAGCCGACGCGGTTCGTATGCCCACAAGAAGACTGTGATGATCGATTCCCACGCTTTGCCAAGCTTATGGAGCATTTGCAGAAATCAAAGTGTGGAACTTGGGTCCAGAATTCGGAAATTGACGGCTTGAAGTACTTGAAAAGTTACTTTTAGACAATGAGACAGGGTTTGATCTTGCCATAATTGGCAACGGCTACACTTTGAGGGATACACTGCCAAATGGAGAATGCACCGAGGATATTGCTGAGGGATAGGAAAAATTGTTCTGCTCAGGACGGAGCTGTCTTCTGAAAGGATTTGGTCGGTATAGTGCATCTTGCAGCACGTATGTACGCCATTCATTGCTTTCCTAGAGATTAGAACGAGGCGGAAAGAACACATCACAATTGCTACACTTTTCCAAGGCCACGTCAAAATGAGTCGTGATCTTTCTGATCCAGTATGTAGAGAGCAGCTTCCTATGTTCCCCTTTCATCCATAATACAAGGAGCCTCTCTAAAGACCAGGCCTATCAGCAATGTTCATGCAGAAACGATTGCGTTCCGGTCAATGTTGGGGAGCAACTTCTTTGCTGGAAACCTGTTCTGCCCTCCCCGAGGCATTGTGTGAGCCAAATCCACATTCCAGTCCAACAAACGTTTCTCGTGATCCAAGTACTCATACAGATGTTTCCCAGAACAATAGGTGTTTGCGCAAGAGAATCTGCAGTGCCAACCGCCGTCCTTCCCTTGTCTCAAAGAACGAACTTGTTATCGGATGCCGCAGAAACAGACCATGGTCCAAATCCTGTTACTGTGCCTGGTAGGTTTACACAAGGGAGTGCGTTTGTAGTGCTGGGGTTCGTATCTCCAACTCTGCAGCCGTGCAGGCTCGTGCCCTGAATTAGCTGCTGCGGGCGTCGTAACATCGCTTACTCGAGGTAGTAAGTACCGCATGGCGACTGGCGCAGGAGTCGCTTGGCCTGCAGGGCCCAGCGCACGTTGAAGCGGTCGGCGTCGTAGAGCTGGCGGCGCTGCTGCTGGATGAGGTGCTTCTGGGCGTACAGGAGCTCCTTCTGCATGGCCGCGAGGTCCGTCGCCTTCTGCAGGCCGGCGCGCAGCTGCTCGTTGTGGTGCCGCAGGTCGCGCACGAGCTCGCACTTCTCGCAGCCCTTGGCCAGCCTGCGCACAAAGTCGTCGCCGACCTTCGGGTTGAGCCAGTTCGCGAGCTGGACTCGCCAGAGGACCGTGACGTTGCCCAGTCGGACATAGAGCTCCTTCCATGCGGCAAGCCACAGCTGGAAGTTTCGCCAGGCTTCTGGGTAGGGGCTCTTGACTGAACAGTGGCAGTTCGAGGTCTGGACCTGGGCCTCGCGAGCGGCTACACGTGCAGTGGTTGTGTTGGCCAGTCTGTGTTCGTTGACACTACAGTCGATGTTCTTGGCAAGGTTGACTATGCCCGAGGGCTGGGTCTGGCAAGCCGCCGTGGGTGCAGTTGTCGCATCGGATTGGCGGAGCTGATTGGTGAGCACCAATGTGGAAGAGCCAGGGGTGTTATCTTCGACAACGAGGACGGGGCTGGACATGAGATTCGTGGCGTTGATGTCGACGGACATCAGCGGCAAGCGGCGTTGGGCATCGTGGAGAGCAGAGGTACCGTTGTCGTGATCGATGGGCGGGATACCCTGGTGGTTGGTCTCGACGACGATGGCATAGACGATGGCTGGGTCGGATACCATGAAGCCAGTCAGTCCCTTCATGCCATCGCCGCCAGTGTTCAAGACTGCACGAGCATACAACGGGGCAAGCTGGGTAGGAAGCATACCAATCACGCCGAGCACGGCAATGGCGACGATGGCCAAGAGCCAGCCCCAGGCACGGGGGTGTCGAGAGTGCGCGAGCTTGAACTGCGCAAGCTCGTACTGCTCGCGCAGGACGCTGATGGGGTTCCTCATCTTCACGATGTTCGGAGTTGGGCTGTGTGACTGATGGGATGGTTCCGATATGGACGAGATGATGATGATGATGATGATGATAATGATCGTGTGATGAAAATCGTTGATGGGAACGAGATAATGTGAAAGAAGGTCGACGATTCAGAATAGTCGAGTGGTGGGGGAAGTAAACGAAGTCAAAGAACAAACGCGTTGCCAGAGAAAACACCAACAGTGGGCGTTTACTGGTTACAGGGGGACACGGAGGTCAACGACGCAAGAGTGGATGGATCCCAGAGTGGCTGGAAAATGGGTGAAGAGCCAGAGGGAAAAGGGAGAAAAAACATCAGGCAGAAAATAAGAGTTGATGAGCCTAAGGCGAGCCGGTGTCCGAAACGTTCCTTCCTGTTGATTGTTGCGGCGGGGGGAAGATGAAGATACGGTACATTGTTTGGTCGTTTGTCGATCAGCTCGTATATCCTAATTGAGGGGAGCATCGAAGAACTTCCGCTGCCTGCTTGGATGCTTGAGATAGGTATGAGTGAAATGTCGAGCTGTAGAATAACCGGCTGGTTCGAACGGTAGTTACTCAACGACCTCCTCACGGCAGTACTCCTCAAGCTCACTTCTCTTGTCTGAAGTTGGCATTCACCGTGCCATTGTACATTTGTAGCAGGAGCCTGGCGTGACGTCTGCATTGATACTGTGTTTGTATTCGAATGACAAAACTGCCTCGAGCTCTCTTAATCCTACTATGCTACCGATGAGGACCGTTTGAACGCCCCTGACCGCTCTCGATTCCATGACCCTGGATCACAACCTGGACGCATCTCGACCGAAGAATATATACTTTTCCCCTCCATCGGGACGTAAGAAAGATCAGCGTCCCCATCCACATCTCAAGGTATCTTATTTCACCATAACATTGCTGAATGCGTCTGTAATCTCTGCCCTCGTAGGCGGTTCGTTTAAGATCGGTAGCTTCGATATGCCAAGTGCCAGCCTGTCCTCCATCAGCTTCAGCAAGGTTGGCGGCACACTCTCGTCCGTTGCACGGATGGTGAGTCTGATCATCTATCGCAGCATGTTAGCGGGGCCCATTGGTATAGTACACTCTGTAAATCGAAGGCTTACCTGTGAGGCATAGTTCGGCTCCAACCGCAATAAGCACCCAAATTTGCCCCCCTCAGCAGTATGTAACACGCTAGCACCGACAAGGTTCTTCTGGTTGGGGTCGACACCATCCAGGATACCCCATCTGAATCCAGACACGGTCTTACGGACGAAGGTCTCTGTGATCTCTCGGTTGCCATCCTTGCCCGCACGAACACCAAAGATTTGCTGCGCCTCGCGGGGGGCTCCACCGATTTGCTTCCATCTCTTGAAGAAGTCATCGGCGGCAAGTTCTGCGGGATCCATAAACTTGTGCGCCATAAGGGGCAACTTCAATGTAAGTGCTTGTAGGGCACCAGCCAGGTAGCTGATTCTGATTGTTGGTGCCTTGTCAAAGACCTTCTTGCACTCAAACATGATGATTTCCCTGGACTGCTGGGCTGTAGCAATCTGACTGTCCGGCATGTTTTTTACGTCCCATGTCAACTTCTCCTTCTCACTCTCGTCCAGGTCGAGTGTGGTCGTGAAAGATGTGATGGGGGCTGGGGTCTTGTTGGTGAAATAGAGGATCAGGCAAGCCATTTGTCCTCTGTACTCTGATCGAACGCCGACTTGGATCTGGCCATCCTCAAAGAGGATGCCGTCAGCCTTGAGGAGCAGTTTGTAGTAGCCAGGCTCCCAGCCTGGTGAGAGATGAGCAGCACTGGCCAAGTTTGGAGGCTTAAGCTGCTTCGGTTCATTGGGACCAGCGTTGAGATCCAAGCCCATAAGATCAGTGTTTGAGTGGCCGTTTGTGCCATTGGCCGTGCCGTTGCCGTTGGTGTCATGAGAGCTGAAGGTCCGCTTAAGACCGGGATTCTTGGCCATGTTGAGCTCGGTTGCATCAGCGTTGGCGTCTTTCCCACCAACGACCCACGTTCGCTTGTCGCTCGTGCCAGCGTGCTTCTGGTGCAGTCTCGATAACAAGGCAGATTGTCGTTCTGGGAATGCCGGCATCTCGTCGCAGACGGTTCGGAGCAAATCATCGGTTGGAAGGCTGGCCAACGTCAGGTACTCGCAAGCTCTTTGTTGCAGTTCTGAATCCAAGGTATGACTGTAGACCTCAAAAACGTGCAGTAGCTGAGGCTTGATCTCAGGGAAGAGATTGACAAACTTGACAAACGAGGAAAGGATCATGGCTCGGGTGCTAGAAGAACAGGCGGGTAACTTGCTCTGGAGTGCGAGGAACTGTTCGACGGGACTGCATCCCGGTTCTTCCGCGATCAAGTGCCCGAACTCTCCAAGGACGTAAGCGCCTATCTTGACAAGGGTCTCGTGGCAGTGGTCCTGCTTGACATGTTGGAGAGTGTTTTGCGCGGCGTAAACCTGCAACTCTTCGTTGTTGGTCACGATTTGAATGACTCGTTGCCATACTTCATCGCTGAGATGGTCACCCGCTACCGCCACCAAGCGCAACGATACGTTGATGTACCACTGTATGTCGGTGGCGTACTTCTCCGTCAGAATGGCGATCTTCAAAGCCATCTCTTCCCGGATGGCGAAGTCGGCGTTTTGAAGATAGTGCAGGAGCTCGGAGACAATGGGCCCGGAGTTGGTCGAATCGCACATACTATATAGCAAATCCAGACCTTTCCTGCGGACACTGATATCGCGATCCTTCAGGGACCCAAGGATAACATCTTGATGCTGTTTGATGGAATCCAGGTTCTCGGCCCGAGCCGCAAGATGGGTCATGGCCTCCAAACCAAGGTACCGTACGTTCGTCTCCCTAGACGTGATGAAGCGGCCAAGGCGTGAGGAGATCTGTTTCATGAGTGCGTGTTCGGTGTCGAGGTGGATAATGAGGTTGATAGCTTCAAATAGGATAGCGTTCTGGGCGTTGTTCTGCTGCACGTTCTTGTTCGTCTCCATGGCGATGTTGAGGATCTTCTGCAGAGAGTCGCGGATCATCTCACGGACATGAGTATCCTCTAGATGGATGTCAGCCTCCAGTCTTACATATAGAAACTCCCAAACTTACGGGAAGGGGAAAAGTATTGTAGAAGGCGAAGTAATTTGACCTGTAGCCAAGGGCATGGCACCTTGTAGTAGAGGTAATCTGACGAGAAGTCGCCATCGATCAAGATACGCTTCATGCGTGATGCCGCCTTGACCAATGCACCCCTGTAGGCCTCGGGACTGTCCTGGGCCAAAGCCATGACGAGGGAGGTGACAGACACAGCGACACCGAGGTCCTGGTCGTCCATCAGCGATATTATCCGCTCTGCCCATTGGGGCTGAACGATATCTGGGTGTTTCCGGAACAGACGCAGTAACGTCAGTGCCGACTTCTTCTTGACGAACGCTTTCGAAGTCCTATGCGCGCGATTAGAAACCAGGTTGGGTGGCATGTCGCTGAGTTTCGTCTACTCACGGAGAAATCAGGAGCCTATGCACATCGCCGCTCAGGGCCTCTCCCATCTCCCTTCCACCCACATTTGCGATGGCGTGCAGGGCAAGGCAATTGAACAGCTCATTGTGGTCGAGAAGATCTTTTCGTATGCTGTTCACGACCAGATGCAGCAGTTCGTGCTTCTCATGGAGGAAGAGGGTTACTGCCAGGTATCCAATTTGCTTTTCGGAGTATTTGTTCGCTGAAATCAGGTTGACAGCCTCGAGATGTCCGAAATCGACGTTCCAGCCTAGGATATAGATGTAGAGAAGCTACGCAGCGTGTCAGAGGCGCCTCTCGCGCTTGGGAACTCCGGGACATGTAAATACCTTGCAGACATATTTCTTTTTATGGTATCCGCTCAGATTGCCATCTACGACAAAGCAGGTTAGTCTTGGACGCCGAACGGTGCCGCCTGAAGTCTTGGGCATATATACCTTTGAATTTCTGTCTGCAGCGGAGTCGCAACCGGTCAGTACAATGAGGCTCTATGCGCCGGGGGCCGTCTCTTACCTTATGTTTGCCAACTCCTTGTTGATTCTTTTCTCCTCCAACTCTCGTGCTCGCGCGTTCCTGAGGTCGGCGATGAACTGGACCAGACCGCGCATGTTCGCATTGCTGCTACTCGAGCGGCCGAGGAAGCCGGCGGCCGCTGAGGAGGCCATGGTGGCGATTGGTGTAGGGGCCCCCTATTTGTCACCGGCGGGGGGTTGCAAGGCGGCACGGTGCACCGGCGGAGGGTGCGATGGAGGACCTGGAGCAGGCGACGATGTCTGGGCTTCGTGGTGTAAGCGCGCCTCGGTTGCGGCTGTGGTCACTGATGCGGTCAATCCCACATGATCGGGGGTGCCGGAGCATGGGACAGTGGGAGGTTCGGGGGGCGCTCGAGGTACGGGCGGCGGATGACGGTCGATGGGTCCGGGTCTCCTGAAATTGCCCAAGCGCCGGTAGTGACAGTGGTGGTGGACGGTGCTCAGTCAGCCCAAGGTACCAACCGATCGCCGCAGCAGCGCGGAGCTCTTCTCTTGGATTACGAATGCAGCAGGGCCAGAGGGGATGGCGGACGATGGCTCCCGTCTACGATACGGGTCACGGTCGAGACGTGGGAGGAGAGTGTCTCAACTCTTTCGGCTCGGCTTCTGCAAATGCTCAGGTCTAGGTCTAGGTCTAGCACTAGGGCGCCGGCCGCCCATGGCAGGGAAGAGACAGAGAGAGGGAGTCGGGCGGTCGGGTTCATTTGTGGCTGGTGTCTGCCACCACCACCCCACCTGCCCACCTGCCCACTTACCCATCTGCAGCTGCAGGGGTGGGCGACGACAGCCCTGGAGAGCTTGGCCTGCTTGGCCCCTTGGTTGCTTCCAGGTTGCTTGGGGAGCAGGGGAGTTGGGAGGTGTGGCTTGCGTCCCCACCCTCCAGCCGCTCAACTCTGCTGGAACTTTTCCTTAGGAGGCACCTTGACTACCAGAAGTGTGGCTCGAGCTTGCTGGGGAGGTAGGGGTAGCCTTAAGCTCCGACCCGACCTATCAAAACGTCACGACTCCGGCGACGAGCTTTGTATCCCGGTGGTCCACCCCAAAGCCTTCGAGCCAGAATGTGAACGGCCAACCAATCGACCTTGGAGGATGTACGGCGCAATTCGGGGATCGTCCAAGGTCCTCGTACGGGCTTCCACGAGGACCACTGGAGCTCCATGCTTCCTCCGCCGTTCTTACGCCTCTCCTGCCGCCGGCGCTCCCATCCACCAGGTCTTCAACCGCCGCACCAAATGGCTGCAGAAGGAGCGTGCGGCATCAGACACCGAGGGGAGTCGGACCGCCGACTATCTGAAAGATGAGGTCGCCGTCCGCCTCTGTGAACGGCTGCTGGATATCAAGCGCCACTACCCCAAGGTCCTCGATGTCGGCGCCAACTCGTGCAACATTGCGCGAGCCTTGGTCGCCCCGAACCCAGACCCCGACCCCAACATGCCAGAGGTCGAGCCGCTCGTGACCCGCGTCGGCCATCTCACGTCCGCCGAATCCTCCGAGACTCTGCTGTACCGCGATGTCGACATGCCTTTCAATAAGCAGATCAACATGACGCGAGAGGTCCTGACCGACGAGGAAACGCTCCCCTACGATGCCAACTCCTTCGACCTAGTCCTAAGCTCACTGAGCTTGCATTGGATCAATGACCTCGTTGGCATGCTGGCCCAGATCAATAACGTCCTCAAGCCGGACTGCGCCTTCATGGGCGCCATGCTGGGCGGCGACTCGCTGTTCGAGTTGAGGACCTCCTTGCAGCTCGCAGAGCAGGAACGGCGTGGCGGTATGTCGCCCCGTGTCAGCCCTCTAGCCGACGTCCGCGATGTCGGCGGCCTTTTGCAGAGGGTAAACTTCAAGATGGTCGGTGTTGATGTCGACGATATCATCGTTGACTACCCGGATATATTTGCGCTGATGCAGGATCTGCAAGCAATGGGTGAGAACAACGCCGTCCTGGGTCGCGAGATGGGCCCTATACAGCGCGATGTGCTCTTGGCCGCCAACTCCATCTATAAGGAGCTCCATGGAAACGAGGACGGGACCATCCCTGCGACCTTCAGGATGATTTACATGATCGGTTGGAAGGAGTCCAAGGACCAGGCGAAACCATTGCCCAGGGGCAGCGGAGAAATCAACCTCAAAGACGTGCTAGAGAGCAAATAACGAACCACCTCGTTTCAACTCGGCAGCCTGTTACGCTCTTTTCTGCATTGTACACTATTCGGCCTGGTCACTGGCGAATCATGTAAGAGGGATTTGGGAAGATTATATAGTCACATTTTATATTGTCACATTTGAACTAAGAGCATTGAGCTGGCCTGTCCCTACGGATATACTCTTCCCACGTGATGCAATATCGCCGCATTCGAACTGTCGACCGAATACTCGTGAATCTCGTCACCGGTTATACCGTAGAACATGGTGTCCAGCGTGAATGCAATGGCAGAGAAGTTTGTCGTCGCTGGGCCACCATCAAATGTAATTTTTGGCAACTGGTGCATGCTCGCATTCGAGGCCCCGTCCCACCAGACTCCTTTCATGGTCCCGTCGCTCATCTGTATGTAGCACAGGTTTCTCGACCACGCCCCCCACTTGGTAGCGGCAATGCGCTGCTCGTTGGCCGGGAGCGGGATGCTGGACATGGCATCGGTTACTGTGGTTGACACAAGTTAGCTACTGGGGCGTCTGGTCTTATCTCACTCTATACCAAGCATCTCCCCGTACACCTGGATGCCAGTATGTGACCGCCAGGGTTTCCACCCGAAAGGCAGGACTCACCATCCTTGGTCCATCCCTCCTTGTATGGTGTTATCTTCACAGTGCCTTCCGTTCCGCTGTCGACCGTTTGGCTGATCAAGCCCATGTCCTCTTGGCTGCCCATGTACTGCGGCAGCAGCGCCATCGACGTGCCGGCCGCAACCTGCTGCCGGTCCGTGAGTGCCTCCTGGCCACTGGCCCAGTTGTAACTGTTAACAACATTGATGCCCCCTCCGGGTACCTGATACGCGAGGGTCATATTTCCCTTGCAGTCGCCCGTGCAGCGCTGCCACGCCGCCGCCAGCTGCGACCCGGGGCCTACCTGCACAACAGCCCGTATAAGCGTGTCGTTGGTCCAGCTATCCGGGTGTTGAAGCGGGTCGTTTGTGAACAAGGACCGCATCACGTTCTGCCGGTTCACGAAGTATAGGTGCATCGCCTCGGGGACCTTATATGGGTTGGGCCGGTCGAGCGACACGACCGCCAGCGGCGTTCCCGGCGCCGGGTCCGGCGGGCCCTGTCCCGAGTAGGCCATGACGGCCGTTATATTGGTCAAGGCCCAGGTCTGATTTCGCCCATCCCATCGGCGCGCCAGGAGTGCATTGCCTTGAGAAAGGGAAACAAGTCAGCTTCTTTTTCGAGGTCCCTGTTAGGTTGAGGCATACAGCTCTCAAATTTGGTCAGGTCGCCTCCTAGCCCCATCTTATACCTTCCATACTACTTCAAAGACGCAATGGACGAAGGAAAACAGAACGCTGTAGGCACTTACGCGGATCTTGAAAGAACACGCACCGATGCGCAACTCCGTTGGCGTCCGTCCAGTTAGCCGCAGCTAGTGATGACATCTTCATCAAATTTCCCACTGCGGCCGGTTCGGAATCAGGAGAGGGTTGTGAGGGATCCGGCGACGTTGACGGCTTCTGCCGTGAGGACAACACGCCACCTACCGTGCCAGCGACCACGCCGATGATGACTAGGGAAATGACTGCGAGGACTATGAAGAAGATGCGCCGCCGTAAGCCACATATTCTCCGCTTCGCGACCATCTGTTCTGTCGGGTCATCCTTTATCTCTGATAAAGATTCAGGGTTTTGCGGACTTCCTTCATAGTATTGCTGGATTGCCACCGGCTCGGGAGCACGAGTTGGATCTGGTATGTATTCTTTCTGAGCGTGATCACTCTGATCCGGTTTGAGCATCATGGCCTTTTGCTCTTGGTTTGAGGGTACCGTATCTGCAATTTGGTTTCTTTCGGGCCCATGCTGGAATCTATTGACGGCATTGTGAGGATCTTGGTTGTGGTAAACCTCAAGGTTACTATAGCCGTCCATAGCGCTGGCGAGAGCGGCTGGCGGGCAATATTGCTAGTATTGGCTCAAAGCCTCACGTGAAAGTCAGCACAGAAACATGGCTGAAAAGACGAGAAATCGGGTGGAGGGAGATGAAAAGGCAGTTGGGACCCCCAGAGGGCGAGGCTCTTGTAGGACCTGCACGGATGCTGATCCTGCTGAGGCGCATGGCCATTGGCACGATAGGCAAGTTGAGAATATGATTGGTACGTATTTCACCCTGATGCAACGTAGAGGTGCGGTCGATGCTAAACTCTATCGTTTCAAGCCTGCATTTGGTGTAATCATGGGGCTGTGTTGGAATGGCACCCGCCAGGGGTCTGGTGGTCAGTCAGACCAGAGCTGACGAGACTGAGCTTTCTACTCAGCCTCACTGACAAGGCTGAGGAAGTCCTATTTCAAGTCACTGAGATGGTGCGTGTGCTAGCCTATTTGTAGACTGGGCAAATGATCTAGATCCTTGGGTTGCCTCGATTGCTGCTTCAATAGAAGGGTCTATCAACTTCCAGGTTTGCTAATAACTCAGTATTGCGGCGCTCACGATTGGCTTGTCCTTTGACAATGTAGGCTTGAATACTCGACATGAGAACACACAATCTCGATCATGATGATCTGGATTGCACAGCTTCACCATTACATGATGTGTTTTATCAGTCCAAAGTAGTGGGCATGTTTAGATTATCTGGAAGCCGCAAATCCCTTTCGATGAAGGTGTTTACTCGCGGAGTTCCTCGCCCTTTGGCAAGCTGCCAGAGCGATTCAATGGAACGCATGAAGGTATGGCGGCATTACGCAAGATCAAATAAATTCGCCAGTTCGTTTGGTTCCTGGATCGAGAGCGTTCGCTGCCTTAACCCTGAGACAGCTATAGACGGTCAAATCTATATTTTAGGCATGATGAAGTCTGCAGTCTTACCCACCATTATCTCTCGATATTCTGAAGTTGGGTTCTACCAATTTGCCTTGCAACAGGTAGAAAGTGCTTTTTGTATAGAAGAGTATGATTCAAAGACGATGCTACATGGCTCTTTCGATATTCTGCATGGCTAAACTGTGATCTTTGCCTCGCTCTTGGGCCCTCTGACACCAAATATTGTGCTGCCGACCCTGACCTCACTGCTTCCCATGGCAATTGCGCCCTCGAAGTCCTCGCTCATGCCCATGCTCAACTCCAGGTCCTCGGGCTTGAGGCCGAGCTCCTTGGCGACCAGGTCCCTCTGCTCCCGCAGCCGGACGAAGTCCTCGTTCTCGTTCTCGGGCGTGGTGGCCACGCTGCGGGCGATGGCGCCGATGGTCATCAGGCCCAGCAGGTGGAGGTTGGGGCACTGCTCGCGGACCAGGCGGCAGAGGGCCACGGTCTCGTCGCCTGGGGCGCACCCGGACTTTGAGTCCTCGCCCGACGTGTTGACCTGCACGTGGATGTTGAGCTTGGGGACGGGTGTCGCCGGGTATGCCGATGAGATCAGCTTGCCCCGGTGCTCATCAAGCAGCTGCGCCTTCTTGGCCGTATCGATGCTGGATACACAGAAGAGATTGGGGATTTTGGCAAGGTTCTTGCAGTGGCCTATGATTTGGTATTGTAAGCCGAGGTCGAGCAATGACAAATGAAAAGGATAGAGGCATGGCTGCACAATGATTCCCCATACGAGGGGTCGTCTTTGAGTAGATCGGCAATTTTCCATCTTTCAAGTGCATCTCGCAGTGTTCCTCAGTAACATATGGAATGATATCGTCCGTCTCAAGCCGAATACGGCAAAACAAGAAATATGAATAAAACACTACCACAAAAATGTCTTACCAGATTGCAAGCCTCCAATGAAATGCCATTGGATGCTCTTCGGCAGCAACTCTGCTTTCTGGCTTAACTCCTGGGCATAGTTCTCGCCAAAGTGCAGTTGTGAGATGGGTGGTTGTGACAGGGCCAGGATGTCGTTGGCCGGCTTCAATTTGGACACGGCCACAAGGCGGACCTGTTGGACAACGTCAGCATGCTCCGAACGGGGTATGTAGACATTATCGGCAGTGGCACGACAGTACAATGCAAGGGGAAAAAAGGAGAAAATGGAAGCTTAGGGACGGATGAGTGAGTGGAGGGAAGCTCTTACACTTCTGCCCTGGGCCACGGCGGCAATGCGCTCACTGACGCTGCCGAGCTGCGAGGCCAGAGCTACGGCTCTGGACGGATCGACCTTCAACATTTCTGTTCCTTCGCTCATCTTGAGGCCATCTGTATGTTGCGGGAATTTGGAAAGTCCACTGAACGTTCAGGTCTTGAAAACTGACCTCGATTATAAGCTGCTACCCCAAGGCCGGGGCCGGAAGGCGTTGATCGGCATCATGAAGAAAGTGCCCCACAAAATGCTTTCGTACAGTGTACACACTATGTAGAACACAGTCTTTCTCACCGTTGAAATGTTAGAATGCCAAGAGTGTATCTCAGAATCGGCCAATGTAAACGAACACAGGCTTTGGGACATTGTTAATGACCGTCAAATCTTGATTCTCGGAACTCATACTCTATAGCATGCTATGCAATATGGCACACAAGCATCCCCTTCACACCCTCGTTGTAAATATCTGCCCTTGTCAAATTATTGCTTCAATTTCATCGGAATCTACGCTCAACACAGGATATTTTGGAAATGTACTCAAGACTACTACCAGATCATAAATGTTGATTATGTCACTGCGAACCCTCATCGCGGTTCCGGGGGTATCTTTTGGGGAAAACAATGCCCAAACGCCAACCAAATGCTGACATGCCAACTAATCGACTTCCATGTCCGAGTCACCGTCTGTTGTGTCGGACCCCGAACTACTCGTGGTGTCATCGTCGATTCTACCTTCTTCCGCCGCCTCTAAAAATTCGGCACGTTTTCCATTATCGTCAAACTCGAATCCTGCGTCACTACCATCCTGATCTTCATCTCCCCCCTCACCGTCCTCACGAACTTCACCATCCTCGTCAGATTCGTGGGCAACCAGACCCTGGGCTTTTCGCTTTTTGGGGTTCTTGTCAGGTTGTTGGGTGCTCTGCTTTTGACGCCTCTTTTCGACGGCATAGCCCTCGGGTAACTCCAGGCCAGTGGGCAGAGCGTAAATAGTTGGGAATTCCACCACAACAGCGCCTGCCAGGATAGACTCTAGGGTCTCCGTGGGGTCAACAGGGATGAGTTTCGGGGCCTCTCTGGATGGAATGTTGGCAACCCCGAAGAAAAACTTGTATTTGTCCCTGTCCGCGGAGCTGACATGTTCTCTGTGCTCCTGTTTCCGCTCGGGTGCCGCGCTATTCCAGCAAGAGGTGGCAGGGTGCTGCGCGATCTTGGGGGCTTCGCGCCATTCGGACGACCCTGGATGCTGAGCAACCTGGTGACCGTCCTGGTTTTGGCAGTTGCGGACCTCCTGTTGTTCTATGCGCCGCCGTGCCTTGACCTCCTTCTTCTCCTTGTCCTTCTCTTCCTGGCTCAGATGATACCGGCGTTGGTACTCTTGGCATTCTGCGAAGCCGATGTATAGGGGCGTAGTCTCCATGGTCTTGCCGAGGAACCTTGTAGGACGGTTCTCGTCGCCTTTGGGGTCGTCCAAGATCAGCCATTCGACCTGCCAATTGATCTTCTTCGTTCTCGAGCTGTAGCTGGTCTTGTTTTCTCTCTCGCGACTCATGCCTTGAGGCTGGTACATCATGTTGATCTCGAGCTTCCTCAACCGAGGAAGAGCCATCCTTGCCCATGGCCGCAAAGTATCCTTGAAGGTGGTCGCGCCTCTGCCCTGGCCGTTCTGGAGCCGCGCCCGTTTGTTTGGCGGAGGCCCTTGGTTACGTTGTGGGAGGATACCTCGCTCTTCGGTGAAGACCTTCTCGACCTGCTCGACCTTGCGCTCGATCTTGGTGAGGAAGTTGTAATCGTGATCGATGCCGGCGTCGGTGCGCAGCTTGGTGGCGGGGATAAAAACGGTAGGATCGCGTTCGCCGCTGCACGAGGACCACGTCTTGTGCTTCTTTACGCAAGGCAAGGAACAGGTCTTTGCGCCGCACTTGGGGCACTTGTATTTGGGTTCTCTCATGTGACAGATGCCACAGAGGGACGTCAGCAGCGGGTCAGCCATGATAGGCGACTGGATCTATCGCCAGTTGGTGGACAGAGCAGCCGCAGGGCGACTGAGGTGAGCAATCTCGCCAGACGCTTCTGTGTCTTAAAAGTGTGGCGGTGGTGGAGGGCCGGTCATGGAAAAATGGTGAACTGCAGATACAGCAAGAAACAAGGGGCGCCGCAAATATCTGCCGAAAGTCTGAGGATATAGATACACCGTAGAGCGGATAGTTGTAGGTGTGTTGTATATAGAAAGAAGGATAGTCCACGGATCATACACGTGAAGTTGAGGAAGATGTTGATGCTGTTATCGCATTCCCAATGCAAGTTGATAGCGGCGCCAGGAACTTTTTGGGACGATTTCGGACACTCATCTTTTCAGACGATCTCTGCGAACTGCGAACCGCGAACCCATGCAACCCATGCAACAAGCTGTACAGTGCAGTACATATGGCAAGGCTAACGTTAAGGCTTTTTTCCCGGCGAGCTTGCTGCTATCCCAGTCTTGCCCAGTCCAGTTAGGTCCAAGTTTTACAGTGGGAGCTTGGGCGCTGTCGGCCAAGCTGCGCGCACGCTGGGGCTGGGGCTGGACTGGGCTGCTGGGAGCTCCCCTCCAGCCCTGGAGGTCGAAACTGAAGACTGCCCAGTGGCCGCTCGAGTTGCTCCGCTTTTCTGGCCATCCGATTTTTCGATTTCAGCCTCCTCTCCGCTCCACGGTTTACTCACGGCTACTCGTCACCCTAACCTAATTCCCACTCAAACCTCGTCGAGCTGCTTCACCCTCATCATCCATACCAATCAGCAGCATCCTTCTCTCTCTTCCCTTCCCACCCCACCACCACCACCGCCCCGATCGAGGTGACGTCGGCGCTCTGCATCGCTGCTGGACTCGCGCACCAAGCGCACCTACGCAGCCAACATGTCTGAATTCCTTGGGTATGCCCTCCTCCATCTAGCTGTCACCGTGGCCGTGGCCGTGGCCTGGATGGGAGCTTCTTGAGCTCCCCGTCCGGTTCCACGTCCAACGCTCGTCCACTCCCGCCCCCGCTCGCACACGCAGCATAGCGACTAACCCGCCTCGCCAGCTCACGCATATCACTCATCTCCAAGAGCGACATCCGGTACTCGGGCGTGTTGCACGAGATCAACTCGGAAGAGTCCACCGTATCTCTCGAGAATGTGCGGTCCTTTGGCACCGAGGGCCGCCGAGGCAAGCCCGACGAGGAGCTGCCCCCTTCGGACCAGGTCTACGAATACATCGTCTTCCGCGGCAGCGACGTGAAGGATCTGCGCATCGAAGAAGCCGCCCCCGCCAAGGAGAACAAGCCTCCCGTCGTCCCAGATGATCCCGCTATCGTAGGCGTAAGTCCACCTCCCCGGACCCAGTCCAGCTCTCTCGGTGTGCTCGGCGTGCTTCTACATGACGAAATATATCGGATGTAAACCTTTGTCTTTACTGAACAGCGCAAACAACCCCGTGTTGATATTTCCGTTGCCTTCCTTCTGATCTACGAAGCACCTGATGCCTCCTGCTGCCAACTTGCATCTCCCTGCATGCTTTGCACCAAGCTAACGCACACGCTCGTGTCCAGTCTCGCTCCCGACCCGTCGGCCCTCCTGGTGCCGCCCCAGGCCCCAACAACCCTCCTGCCGGCTTCAATGCCTCGCCATTCCAGCAGCAGCCGCCGAACTTCTACCCTCCTGGACCCGGCGGACCGTGGGGAGGACGCGGTGGCCCTGGCCCCGATCCCAGATTCGGTGGCATGCCCTACCCGCCCCCACCAGGCTGGTTCCCTCCTGGTCAAGGCTTCCCTCCTGGTCCTCCGGGGCCCTTCAACCCCTACGGATATCCTCCCGGTCCGCATGGTCACCCCAACGCGCCCGGCCAGAACATGAGAGGCACTCCACAGCAGCATCAGCAGCCGCAGCCACCCGCTCCCATCGGTGCTGGTCCCGGTGCTGCTCCTGGCGCGGACAAGCCGCGATCAGGCGGAACCCCTTCCCACGCCGAACTGTCTGCGGAACCCAAATCTCTGGGCCAACCCCCGAAGCAGCCAACGAATGCTGCAGCCCCAACTCCGCCTGTCGAGTCCAAACCCTCCGCTGAGCAGGTCAAGGCTACCGCCCAGTCCCTCGCCAAGAACGGCCCAGCTGCGAGTGCACAACAACCAAAGAACAACATACCGACTGGACCCAAGAACAGGGTCACTCCTGCCGTGCCATTCCCAAGTGCGATCCTGCCGAGGGCTGGCCCTTCCGCTACCCAAGCCGGACCCCAGGTTACTGCCGCTGCGGCAACGGTGAAGCCTGCAGAAGCCGGACATGCGCCCATGTCCCAGGCTTCGCTTCGCGACGCAACCCAACAAGCCAAGGCGGCGGTTGCAGTGGCCATGGCCAAGCTCGATGCGGCGAATGCGGGCGGTGTCGCCCCGGCAGCAAACGGCACTGGAAATGCTATGGATAACCTGACCAACAAAGTGAATGAGATGAGGGTGAATGCCGCCGTTCGTGGCGGCTCTAGTCGCGGTCGGGGACGCGGCAACCGATCTGCGGGTCCCGCCAAGATTGATGTTCCGGATGCGGACTTCAACTTTGAGGCGTCTAACGCCAAATTCAACAAGCAGGAGTTGGTCAAGGAGGCGATCGCTGGCTCACCTCTTGGAGAGACACCAAATGGCGCCACGCCCGAGGTAGAGGAGCCGACCCCCGAAGGCGCTCCCCCTCCGGCCTACAACAAGACGAGGTCGTTCTTCGACAACATCTCGAGCGAGGCCAAGGACAGGGCTGAGAGCAGCCAACGGCCCGGGGGTCGCGAATGGCGCGGTGAGGAGCAGCGCAAGAACATGGAGACATTCGGACAGGGCAGCGTTGATGGTGGTTACCGACCCGGATACCGTGGACGGGGCCGTGGCCGAGGTCGCGGACGTGGCGGCCGTGGCGGCTTTAGGCCCCGAGGGGACAGCCAGGCCGCCGCTCAATAGTCGCTTTTGGATGGTTGCCGATCCTATTTGGACCGGCAGAACGACTCTGCAATTAACATGATCTTCAGAGCAGGAAAAGGCGCTCAGCGGATTATTCGAACGAGTCATTCGTTCATATTGTACAGCATGTAGTATTACGACATCACATGAGGTAGCTTACGAGGATCACTGAAAAAGGGGCGTCAGGTGGTTTCTATGGTAGCCAAGGAGTTGCCAGGAGCTACTTCAATGAAATGGGCTTAATACCACACAAAGCTGTTTTGCCTTGCTCGTGTGAATATATGTGTGAATACTCGCCTTCTTGTTGCTGGCAGTGTGTGACGGAGTGCCCATGTTCTACTATAAGAAGCTTCGACCTGGGGGGGATATTGAACTTGACTTCTCCTCTCATACCAAGCAATCACGGTGAGGAAACCCAGAAACTCAACATGTCCGCACCCAACCACTACACAACACACGTCTCGCTGGCCTCGGTCTCGGATTCCGACTACGAATTCGATACGCGTTCGAGCACACCGTCGCTCACCTCCTCTGTTGATGCGCGTCGACCAACCCAAGCCTGCAGTGGTGTCGATGACCGCCGCACATCCAGCGGAGACCCATCATCTCTCCCAAACCCACCTGTGACGCGCGGTGTCGAGTACGAGCGGCACGATCTGCTGCGCAGGGATATCGAGATATTTCGTAATGAGTTGGATCACATGTGGGAGTTGGTCGGCATTAACTGCGGCAGCGGGATTGACCTGCGCAACCGACTCCAGCGTTTGGAAGCCTGGGTGGGCGATATCGCCCAGGCGCAGAGCGAACTCACGGTCAAGATCATGAGCATGGAGGCGGCAATCGGCCAGTGGTTAGTTCACCAGCAGCAGAGAGGTCTTAGGCGCTTCTACGATGACGAACACGACTGAAGGCTATGGGGATCGGTCATAGGCATCTGGCTGCCAATAGCTTCGAGGCACCTATAAGTGCCGGCTTTCCACACACCCCGGAGAGAAAGAATGAGAGACTTTCGATCAAACCTAAGCTAATCTGTATATGCGCGCATTTGTGAAAAGCATATCATACAAGGCTGACTTCGCTATGTTAAGTGGTGCCCCAGCAATCCGTGAGTATAGGTAGGCGCTGAGTAGGCGCGACTTATTTTATACAGGTACTTATAAACGACCTATGGAATGCTCTGAGCCGCAAGAGCTTGGCCCCCTGCAAGCGGCCAATGACACACACGGCGGAGCTTGACATCATATTCTGGCCGAGACATTGCCCCACCACCGAATTCCTCATCCCACCAGCAGCGTTAACACCCTCATTGAAATACAGTTTTCTTGCCCCTTCGACCATCTTCCGAGCCTCTGCTCAAAATCTCCAGCGCCTAAGCGACCAGTAATAGCACGAAATGTCCACCCGACAGCTTCGCAAGCTGCAGAAGCAGAAGGAACTGCAAGAGCTCCAATCCCGCAAGGAGGGGTCAGACGAGAGCGACGACGATGTGCCTCTCCCTACCGTCTCGAGGGGTAAGCCAAGCGCCTTTGCTGGCTTTGCAGCCCTAGGAGGTGACGATGACCAAGACGATAACGACGATGACGACGACGACGACCAGCAGCCGCAACCCGAGCCCGAGCAAGAAGAGGCCAGGATAGAGACGCCCAAGGCATCCTCCAAGAAGAGCAAGAAAAAGAAAAAGAAGGCCAAGAAGGCGGCAGTAGAAGAGGATGCGCCGACCAAGGACCAGGCTTCGGCGCAACCTGCATCGCGAGAAGGGAAACCTGACGACCTGGACGAAATCGACCAAGCGATCCGCGAGCTCAACCTGAAGGCCCAAGCCTCGGGCAGCGCCGGAGCCGCCGGCGCAACGCCTGCCACGGAAGCATACGAGCGCATCTGCCAGCTACTGCGGACGAACACTCAGCACCTGAAGGTCATGAACGAGATGCGCAACCTCTTTGGCCGGGACGCCATGAGGGCGGCGCAAACCGAGGAGCAGGAGGAGGAACAGAATCGCACTCGCCGGCGAGGCCAGCAACAAGTGCGCCAGAACGTGGACCTGGAGACCTTCCTCAAGGCCGCGCCCGGAAAGCCTCTGCCGGAGGTCACCCTTCGCCGGAACCCGTTCTTGCAGGGTAAAGAGACGTGGCCGCGAGCATCCACAGAGGGCCTCACCATGGTACAGATCAATGACGGAAAGGCCTCCGGCAGGAGCGGTACCATTGAGTTCGGCTTCGCGCACGACACAAGATACAATCAGTTGGAGACCAAATTTTTCCAGCTTGTCCAGCTGTACGATCCCATGCAGCTGGTCTACTTCCTCCACCAACATCAGTACCATATTTCGAGCTTGATCCAGGTTAGCAAGGTAGCCAAGCAGGACCAGAACTCAGCTTTGGCGGGTGATCTGTGTGAACGGGCGCTCTTCACGTTTGGCCGAGTGTCCGTGTCGGCTTTTCGACAGAAGCTCGAAGAGGGCAAGGCCAGGCTCGATTTCAGCAGGCCAGAAAACCGCCAATTTTGGCTCGCCGGGTATCATTATCTCAAGAGTCTGACAATGAAGGGCACGTATCGCACAGCACTAGAGTGGACTAAACTGCTCTTTAGCATGGATCTGAGTGATCCTTATGGACTTATACACTTCATGCACCCGCTCGCCATCCGAGCTCACGAGTCGAAGTGGTTTATCGACTTCTGCGACTCGGAGGCTCTCGACGAGTGTGACACGGCCCAGGATTATATCAGACAAACCTTGGTTCTGGCGCGATTACAACAAAAGGACGAGGCTGGCGCAAAGGCCCTAGCCGTCGACGGCATGGAGAGGCTACCATGGCTCTATAGCGCGATATTCAAGTCGCTCAATCTAGACGTCCCCCGGGCAATCTGGGGTATGGAGCCGCGCGATGAGCACGAGGTGCTCTTCACCGAATTATACGTCCACCAGACCAAGCAGCTTTGGGACAATGCCCAAGCTGTCACGCTACTCAAGGAGGCCGCGTCACTTGCACAGAAACCGTCATTGTCCTCCCTGCCCGCGCCTCCTGTTGCTGGTCGCAATGTCGGGCGCTTCGTCTATCTGGACAACACACCCGCGCTCATGGGGTTGGTCCCTGGTGGCATGCTACACGGATTCCCTAATTGGGATTTTGATCCCCTGCCGCCTGCGAAAGAGGACAACATCTTCAGCTATGACTCTCAAAAGTTCCCTTGGGAGGAGAATCGTGGTAGAGCCGGAGGTGGCCTAGAAGGATTAAATCTGGGCAATGTGCGAAACATTGGCGACTTGAGGCAGATTCTACAACGGGCTGCTCAGGGAGGTGCGCCCCCCGAGATTCTGGAAGAGTTGGAAGGGGCTATCGCAAACCTAGACGACGCTGCCATTGCCCAGGGAAACGCCGATGGGGATGACGATGGCAGTGATATCAACGAGGACAGAGAAGCGTCTCCGCGACAGGACGGTCGCCAAGGCTTATGGCAGGCTTTCATGGAGATGCTCTGGCAGCCAAGAGCCGAGGGTGACGACGGGGGCAACGGAGATGACTACGCATATGATGGTGCGCCGGGCGGCTGGCCGGACGACAGCGATTACGACAACGACGAACTCCCAACACTGATTCGGGAGGCTATTGAGGATTCCGATGACGAGCCAGCGGACGAGAACCGTGACAGCGGAACCCACAGGAGGTAGCAGAAGAACAAGTGTCAAGATTGAAGCAACAGCTCGCTTGGGTATCTGCCAGCGGTTGGATGGGTCGTGATGCGACAAATAGAGAGTCTGGAGCTCATCGATAGTAATCCAATATCACTCATGCAGGCGTTCCCAACTTAGTCCCATGCCAAGCTCTGATGCAGGTCCACCAGCGCGGTGCGGGAAAAGCCACGTGTAGATCAGGAACATGTAGATCGATGGAGCTCAACCCCTACCTACTCACAGAATACGTACATAATTACCAACTATGGAGCGCCCCGTCATAGGCAAAGACGAGACGAAGCGTCTGGATTGGGCCTGTCGGTGATCGATGATCTACCAGGCAGGCACCTCCAGCGACTTTGACGTTGCCGCAGCTTCACTTGCGCGCCTTTGAAACGGCAGCGAGATCGATCATCAAACAGACTCTGGAGTCTGGTGCAGCACAGGTGTCGCGCACGACGGGGCGGCGGCGGCAGAGAGAGGGCCAGTGGTGCACGGCACAGGGCGGGTTTCACCTGGGCGAGCAAGTTTCAGAGTTCGATATGGGGAGCACGCGAGCCTCGGGGCGTAAGTCGTCAACTGAGGGTTCAGGCCAGGGCGCCTCTTTTTGGGGCTAGAGCCCATGCCGCTTTTACACGCTCTCGGCTGCAGTAAATATGTATTGGAACCAGCGAATACAGTTGACAATGATGTATCCGAGTAATGAGTAACCCGATGTATATACGTGCCTATTTTTTCCCCTGGTATGTCTTACATTGAATGAGCGAGCAACGGAAAGGACCGGCGCATGTTTGAAGATTGGGGAATGAACACTGCGATGGGGCAACTTGATAAGTTAGACTATTCCATGAGATACACTGTCTATATAGCCTGCATGTTATACAAGTGAAGTATCCATTAGCTTACATCATAAACTGGTAGCATCATATGCAACGGTCCGAGACCCCATACTGTTGTAGAGCAACTACAAGGCTTGAAAAGTAAGCCGGTTTCTTAATGGCAGCCCTGTGGGAGACTTAGCGCGGGCCGCTGGCAATGCTGTATAGGCATGCCCGGTTGCCAGCCTCGTTGACGATATTCCGCCCAAAGTTGATCCTTGTCTCCTTCTACAGCAGTATGAAACGTAAATAAGGCTTCATGGTCGTGGCTTTGATCCGTATAGGGAAATTTTGTACCGAGCATCACCTCACATCTCCCAGGCCAAACATTCGCAAACATGCAAGTAATGTTGACAAGTGTGTGCTTATTTCATACGACAAATGCCAACTTGCTGCTATCTGTTAGACATTCGAGGGCAACATTTCATTCTATCATTCGCACAACCACCCTTCAAAGTACGGCAAACTAGTAAGTATTCATGTACGAGCTCAGAACATATAGCTGTCTGCCCCTCAAACAAGAGGACTTCACGCCAATGACTGGCGACAGTACGAAGGGGAAGAACAATAACAACAAGATCATAATAAGCGTAATAAAAATAATAATAAGAAGAGGCTATTTGCTAGCTGCTGGTCTATCGGGGTAAAGCCACTTGTACAGTTAGTAATCCGTACATCAAGGGCAAAGGTCAGGAACCCAAGCTTAAAGCAGCGCGACTCAGGTCCGGATGAGGCAATCTGTAGTGGATGGCGGGGTGCTGAGCTAAGGCACCTAGCTCTCTCTGCCCGGGGGTACATTGCACAGAGGTGGGATGGGGACGGCCAGGCGAGGTACACTGTTCCCCAACGTGGCCGTTGCGTGTGCACGCGCCTGCGGCCGTCCCCCTTCTGCCGGGGCGTCAAATAACTTGCTCAAAGAAAGGGTCAGCATTATTAATGCTCCCGGTCGCAGTTCGTGATTCCTCGCCTCCAATAAGGTACCAGACAGGAGTATAAAGACCTGATAACCCGCCCCTTTGGTGTGCTGACGAATCTCATTATCTTGCATTTCCTCTCGCAGCTGTGATACCCCCATAATTCGTTCTACATAAACCAACGATCCCGCCCGTAACAACCCCGCAATCGACAACACTTCCGCCAACGGGACACTCTTGAGACAGAACCAGACATCACTCACAATGGCCGACCAACACACCTACAAGTTCAACGTCTCCATGAGCTGCGGCGGCTGCTCCGGCGCTATCGACCGCGTCCTGAAGAAGCTTGACGGTGAGTCCAGTCCGCACATGTTCCCCCATCCCCCCCCCCCCCCCCCCCCCCCCCCCCCCAGCTTGCCCGAAGAGCGGGCTGAGCTCCGCGCCGTGTCCGCGAGATGGGCGGGATGACCCAGGTCTATCATGACGCATTCCTCTTTCGCCCGCCCTCGGGCGCTTCTCTGTCCGTTCGGGTTTCGCTGTTTTCACCTTGGAAATGGAACAAAGACGGTACAAGGACTGACAGGTATTGAAACAACAGGCATCGAGTCCTACGAGGTCTCCCTCGACAAGCAAGAGGCCACCGTCGTCGCCAAGCCCGACCTCGCCTACGAGACCGTGCTGAAGACCATCAAGAAGACGGGCAAGAAGGTCAACAGCGCCGAGGTCGACGGCGTCAGCAGGAGCATCGAGTTGCCCGAGGAGGTCCAGGCCGCGGCTTAAGAGGCGTAAAAGATACCATGGGGAGTCAGCCCTGACCCGAAAGGGGGAAGAGAGACAAGTGAAGCATAGGAGCATGGCGCTGGATAGGGTTCAAGGCGAAAGGATCTCGGCACAGGTCGACAACCGACGGTCCGATAAGGGTCCTGCCGCCCGATATTACATTTTTCTGTTTTTTGTCACTAGATCGTGCTACGGCACGAGCAATGCAACATCACGATATTGATTACTTCCATTTGCGTTCGATTGTCTATGTTATATTGGACTTTGCACGTGCCTTGAACTGGTGACTCCGTTGCTGACTGTGCCGAGATGACCTGCTCCTCTGTGTTAGCGTCCAAAAGAATGGGAAATAACCGAATTTCCGCAGGACTCGTTCGTTGACTCTTGACCAAGAACAACTTGCTTGACTGGTGTATCAGAAGATTGTGACACAGGCAGTGTTGTGGTTTCAAGGCCTAGTTGAGGCTGCAGGCAACTTGTCAAGTGGAGGAATGTTCACATGTAGAGAACAAGTTCGTCTTCGTCGAACGACCGAGAGACTGTAAGTGAAATACCGGTGAAGACCGAGATGCAATTCAAAATCTGCTGGCTATGTTATGTTATGTTATCCTATCTATCACGAAGTACTGATAGGTCGAACCGGCACCCATATCTTCTCTGTTCCTAGATACTATGGTGGCAGATGACCACTACTTCGAAACATGCATGACATTTTCATCACGAGTCATGAATATGATCTGACACCATTGAGTCTGCAGCCTCCTGATTGGGCCCGGAAGCTGTCAGTCGAGGCTCAAGAGTGTGATTCGCTCTGCTGACTTCGCTACAATATAGCCGTCGGGACGCCGGCTGTATTAGACATATGCAGAGTCTCCCGAGAACAGGAGTGCGTACCCCGTGGGGAAAGCTTCTGCTCCCATCTTACCGGGAGACGATGACGATGCTCCCTTGCCGAAAGGTTATCAGACTATGAAGTCGTATTTTGGTGGGGATGACATTCGGCATCCATCCGGATCGTCGATGGAGCAAGGGCCCAGGATGGCGCCTGATTGGCCTCACGAGAATACATCACTATATACCATGGAATTATTGGAAGCATTTCCCGGGTCTGATTGAGACCTGTTTGATGGAAGCCGCAGGTAATAACATCGAACTACTCGCTCCTCGGTGTTGGCTTCATATGCTACTAAATATATAAACTAGGATCAGACACACTCCCTACGTGTGGTGTCACCGCGTGACTATCCTGTTCTATCCAAACGCTGTCAAAATGAACGGAAACCGCGTGCCTTCAGCTTTGGTACTGAGTGCTTTTTGCTTCGCAGCCCAGGCCACAGCACATGGCATCGCTTCAGCTCTTGTCGTAGGAAGCACCTTGTAAGCAGAGAAAGCACTAGAAGTGCCCACAAAACTGATTATGTCCATATAGCTACGACGGTTATAATCCTAGCTACCAGTATAAGAACCCACCCCCGACAGTGGTGGGCTGGTCTGTACCTGATGATCTCCAGTACGCTGGCCGAGCAAACATTGGATATAAAGCACCCATTAACTCCTTACTCTCTGCAGGAATACCTTCATCAGCCCCGACAAGTTCGGTACGGCAGATATGGTATGCCACCTGGGCGCGAAGCCCGCCGGGGCCGCCGTGCCATTAAAGGGAGGCGATGTCGTCGAGGTGCAGTGGACGCCATGGCCTGCCTCGCACAAAGGTCCCGTTATCGATTACCTTGCCAACTGCAACGGCCCCTGTGTATGTATCGTTTCATGCGTGTCCTGTTTTCACATGCATCAGCTGATACGGAACGCACGTATCTAGGAAACCGTCGACAAGACCAAGTTGAAGTTCTTCAAAATCCAAGAGGTCGGGTTCATCGACCCAGCATCCGATTTGTGGGCAGCAAATGTCCTCGCGAGCAACAACAATAGCTGGTTAGTGAGGATCCCATCAGATATCGCTCCAGGGAACTACGTCCTCCGCCACGAGATCATCGCCCTGCACGCTGCAGGCGGCACGAACGGGGCACAAGCCTACCCCTTTTGCTACAATCTTGCCATAGACGGCACAGGTTCGGCGAAACCGGACGGTATTCCAGCGACGCAGTTCTACAAGGCCAACGACCCTGGAATCAAGTTTGACCTGTTTAGCCACCCGACGACATATGTCATCCCAGGTGTAAGTCCCATCATCTCAATAGACCATTTTCCTTTCCACTTTTATTGTTTTGTACGCTAGCCAATTGCTGGCACTGACTATTTCCCGCAGCCACCCTTATACACCGGGGCTCTTTCTGTCAGTCAATCGAAAGGCGCCAAGATCACGGCGACTGCCAGCGGCGTGTATGCCTTCACGGCGGCGCAACACAAGATTCGCCAAGCTGTAACTACGACTCCCACCTCGTTTGCAACATCGACGAGAACGAATGTTGGGATCACTCTACCTGCGTTTGCACTACCCACAGAAACTTCGGTCACAACATCTTCTGGACTGCCCGCCACGCTTCCTTATATCGAGTAGCCAGCAAATAGCTGTTGCCCTTCGATACATTTCGGCGGAGAGGATATTGTCTTCATCACATAGCGCATACAGGCGGCATCACAGACTCGGAACGCAATGTCACACCTGCTAATTGTAGAGGTCAATTACTGATGTCAATGTATGAATTGGTGTATCCAAGCGAGCAACGAATGTGCACGATGTGACATAGCGGTTGCTGGACTTGATGATGTGACGACATCTGCGGAAAGCACTCCAGGAACAAGCGAATCTGATTCGTCCTCGAAAACAGTTTCCTTTAAAGGTGTCGGCTTCTCTTACATACAGTGTGACCTGTAATTATTATGTTGCTTGTGAATGCGATCAGCAAATTCCCAAGCTCCCTTTTGCCCGTAGGGAGCAATCTACCCAGCGATTTGGAACGAATCCCTGCTAGTTAAATTCGTTCGGATCCGAGATCCGCCACCGCACTATCGAAAAATGACCGGCGTCCTGGACCTGCGTGAATGGTTTGGATGATAATAGTATGGTCCCGAATGTCAGCGACCAACTTGACCACATCTGAACCCTGCCAAGTCCAAGTACATACACCATTGAATAGATATCCATACCAGATCATGGATTCCCAGCGACCGATGCTACAAATGTAGCGGTAATCGCGTCCAGGCCTGTCTATTTAGGATAGCATTCGGGGCAACAATTACCCCGGGCATCCCAACGCGAACCACACCCCCAATACTCTGGACCGCCTAACCAGACGGGGCAAAAGCAACGGGGTGATGAAAGCCCAGCCCGCCCAGCGTCATGATCGCATCCATGCATGGCTCAACTATTCGCATAGCAGCTTTCCGGCCCCACCAAAAGATGGACGAGACCAAAGCCCGTAGCGTGCAGCTCTAGACTAAGCCCTTGGTATTAAACCAATCTGCCTGCAACAAAGTTTCTAGAAGGCGGACTCTTCGGCCGAGTCCCCTTCTGCCCACACAACCTGTGTGCCGTCCGCCGTGTCGCGTTTGCCCCGACATACTAACCAAGTTTATCCCGTATACTATTGCATGCATAGCCAGAGGCGATAAGCGGTCATGTCAAGCAGCTCGCAAGATCCACTTTTGTCTCATTTGTGTATAGCCAAATAGGGACAGAGGGAACAAGCCGCTGCAGGCGAGTCCCGCCGTGTTGAAGTGGCAATGGCCGACCACGGGACGCCGTCGTCGGCCCACGACAGTACCTTCCTCAGCCACGCGACAGGCACCGGGCCGGGCCCGACACGGAGTGTCAAGAGGCCCCGCCCCGTCAAGTCATGCATTGAATGCCGGAACCGCAAGCTCAAGTGCGACCGTCTCCTTCCTTGCTCGCAATGCCAGAAGTCGCACCGTACGTGTCGCTACGCGGCCGACGGCGACGTGAACAACATCTCGGACGGTTCGGATGCCGAAACCTCGGAGCGGGCATCCAAGAAGAGCTGCCCACCGCCAAGCAGTGATGTTCCGGTGAGGAACCGGGACCGGTCGGTCAATCCGCCCGCCACCGCGGTCCTGGATGACTATGGCTTGCGGCTCGACCGGCTCGAGAAGATCGTTCTGACGAACTCCAAAAGCCCCCCTTCCATGAAGGATTTCGGTGGTCGGACTCAACCCCTGGCGTCCTCTACTAACACTATCCGGGGCCTGACGGTAAAAGGGAATATACGAACAAGGTTCTTTGGGCAGAACAGCACCAGAGTATTACTGAACTTGGTAAGGACGCCAAGCAATTCACCCCCGGGGTCCATACTTACCACTTACAGTTTGACGAGGCGAAGGACTTCATGTTCAGAAAGGATAAACCCCGGGACATTCGGGAGATATTCACCAACATCCAGAAGATACACGAAGCCCTTCAGGAGGAGCAACAGAAGGCATTGACTCCGATACCAGTATACGTGGATTCCATCACCCCAGTGCATAAGCGTATGGCGGATATACTGCCGAAGAAGCAGGTCTGTGACCAGCTGCTGTCGGTCTTCCTGGCAGGATCCGAGTCCTTGTACCGGAGTGTTCACATACCAACCTTCATGAATCAGTATGAGAGGTGGTGGGAAGGGACGCTGCAGTCGGAATCTTTCCTGCCGCAGCTGCTCTCGATGCTTTGTATAGGTTACCGGTTTATCGGTGCAGCCAAAGGACTGGGACCCGACAGAGAGAGTATACATATACCAACGGCTAATTCATTAGTCAGGGAATGGTTGCACAATTTGCGAGGAAAGCAATTTGTCGACTTTGGGACCCTTCAAGCAGAGGTGCTGTTGTTGATGGCCCAGCGCATGATCAACCCGAACAATCAAGATTCGTGGACGAACCTTGGGCTAATAGTGCGCATGGCAATGACCATGGGGCTCCATCGTGATCCATCCGAATTCCCCCAGAAGATCTCGCCCTTCTGGGGTGAGCTACGGCGGAGGGTGTGGTACACGATTCTTGAGCTCGACTTGCAAATGTGCATTCAGTGCAACATGCCAGCGTGCATACGGGAAGGTGATTACACCTGCCGCCCCCCGAGAAACGTAGACGACGGGGACATTTATCAAGATATGAGGGAGCTTCCTGAGGCGAAACCTATTGATCAGGCCACCGATTCACAGATACAGGTGTTCGCTGCAAGCACACTCTCTGTGCGATTCAGGGTCATCGATCTGATCAACCGCCTTGATAGTCTCACAGATTACCAGGATGTGATTGATTGCGGCAATGCGCTGGAGCGAATCTTTGAGGATATGCGATACATCCTGTTGCGAAGTACCCCGACTAACCAGGAGCAGGCCACGCGGCAGTGGCTGACCAAAACCATTCTGGATATGCATCTACGAAGAGCCCTGGTGGCACTTCTTAGACCATTCGCGCTCAGCACCCCTGACGTCCCTCAGCAGATACTGACGTCCTATCTCAGGTCATCCGTAGTAATGCTCACCTATATGGATGACCTGGATCCGACGTCCCCGAACTACACCCAGATTTTCCACATGCACCACTTGGTGCTTAAGCAGGATGTCCTACAGGCCGCTTTCAGTGTCTGTTATTACATAAAGCACATTGCCGCCACAGAGAATGGCAGCTTGTCGCCGCATCCATACTCGCACGCACCCAACCTGAGACCCGACTCCTTTGCAGAAGCGTGCAAGCTCGCGACCGAGAGCTCGGTGCTGCTTTCGCGCTCACGCCTGGTCAACGTAGTGGAGAGAGCTCTTGATGCGATGACTAGCCGCATAAGGGAGATCGGAACTGACTTGAAAGATCTCGTTTCGCTCACGGTTGTCATCGCCCTTTGCCAGGGCGGACCGCCCGACCTCGCCCAGAAAAGAGTCAATGCTGGCCTGCAGTCCATTGTCGATGCCGGGCTGCATTCTATGCATGCAAGCCAGGACAATATAGCTTCGATGCCGGTGAGAAAGATCTCTCATCTTAGTTTTGTCTCGAGTTTGAGTACTAATGTGGGACGCGTAGATTATGCCATCGACGCCAATATCTATGAACAGCATGGGGTCCACGTCAGGCTTCATGAACCAAGTTCCTCCTTTCATTATGACACCAGATATTCCAAACGTGGTGAGTTTTGAGTTTCGCTCATTTTCTCGTCGAGCCGAAATCAATTTCTAATACAAGAACAGATACCCGATGATTTTGCGATGTGGGACTTGGAGTTCTGGAATCCTTTACTTCAAAATGGCACTTAGACACCATGCCATAGTTCGCTTGAGTGTGTCTTCCGTAAGAGACAACTGGTGGTGGAGCTAATGTGAGGTGCCTGGAAGTCTTGTATATATTATCAATACCCGCGGCGCATGGTCATACCCAGCATTAGGTCGTTTAGATTGTCATTTCTGGACGGCCGCCGGAAGTTATTGGATCGCATTCTTTGAGAGAGAGCGGTAGTGGATGTTATGAATAATTGCTGATGATGAACTAGTGCATCGCAGTTCATATTCAAAAGTGAAAGTTCATTTGCATCTCATGCCATAATAATGTTCTGGCGAGGATCACCAGAGTATGTTGAAACTATGCTCCTCATGACTCTTTCCAGTATCCCCATCGAGCCAGTCACACAAGAGCTCATGTGTCCACGGAAGTCACACCATCCACCTGGTAACCTTTGAACTTCCGTGCTGGAACATTCTTGGAAAAGAGGAGGTCCAGCTCCTCGTACGTTCGTCCCTTGGTTTCCGGAACGCGGAAGAACGCCCAAACATAACAAAGGGCAGCCAATCCGCCAAAAAAGAACCCCAATTTACCTTGCATGTTGGCCTGTGGCTTAAGTTAGAGAAAAGTTCGTATTGAGGGTCCTGGCTCGTTACTCACCTCGTCTGGGTTTATCATATACGGAATCGCGACAGTCATCACGATGCCAATGATCCCCTGGGCTGCAGTGGCCACGGCAATTGTCTTTGACCTTACACGAGCTGCAGAACATTCACCGAGCAACGTGAAGCAGACTGGCCCAATCGAGAGGTCGTACGCAAAGTTCCACACCAGCATCAGAGTCGACTCCGCCCAAGCTACCCCGGACGGCCTGCCAGGTACGCAGTCAAGGATGCCAATGATCAATTGGAGAATGGCCAACATGCCCAGACCTTGAAGATAAATTGTCCTCCGCCCAAACCTCAGCATCAAGAACCAGGCCCCTATTGTACCAACAAAACCGACAGCTGGAGGTATGTTAATCATTTTGCTTAGTTCGATACAGTCTTACTTCAATCGACTCACCGAGGAATCCAATGGACATATAGAATGCGTCTTCCGTCGCGAGACCTGCCTGTTGGAAGAAGTAGGTACCGTAATTAATCAGGTAAATGCCGCTCAGAACTTGAGTAGAGTATACTCCGATAGATATCTCGGTTCGCCTCCAATTCACAGCTCTGAAACAGTCGAGGTAGCTACTACCAGCTTCAATCTCTTGCTCGAGACGATCTGTCTCCATGATAACGGCCAAGGTCGCCGCCGCATTGACGTTTTTCGATGACAAGCGTATCAAGGAACGCTCTGCTTCCTCTACCCTCCCTTTGCGAGCCAGCCACCAAGGACTTTCGGGAACGAACAGCATTCCCGGAAGGATAATCGCGACCCAAAACCATTGAAGTGCGAAAGGTATGCTGTAGGCCCAGTGGTCCTGAAGCTTCGATGTTCCGGCCGTTACACCGTTAGCGAGGAGCTGTCCCATGACGAAACACAGGTTGGTGAAGCTCGTAAGATGTCCTCTCAGTGCCAGAGGGCATACTTCAGAAGCGTACGCCGGTGCAATCACCACGTAGCAGCCCAGTACCAGACCGCCAAGCAGCTCCCCAACAAGAAGCACCTCCAAGGAACGCGCAAAGAACTGGATAAAGACCAAGCTCGCGGTGAGCACGACGCAGGCGGCGAAGGTATACTTCCGCCCGAACTTATCCATCGGATAAGCAGATATTAGAGCACCTACTACTTGTCCGACCGGGTTGCCCATGGACAAGCCTGTCTGCCAAGGAGCACCTACGAGGATAAAGTCAGTCAGTCAAGCGCAACCTCTTGACAGCTCCTATGTCAACATACTAATGATATACTACCAAAGAACGCGTCAGTTTCCGTCTCGAGTTGCTCTATAAGATCAACACTCACCTCTCCCTCATACTCATAGCCGAAATCTCGTTGAAACTGTGGCGTAGCGTATAGATTGCCCAGCAATTGAGGGTCAAATGCTAGCATAATAACACCTATTGAGACGAAAGCGGACCATCCCACAGCAGTAGGGTACAGCTTTACAGCCTCGACGAAGCCCAGGTGGTGCTCCTGATGAACGGCCTCGGAGATCGCTACATCACCCGCACCGGGTTTGCTATCCTCCGGAGCTGCATCCGACGCCATGATGCTCACAGGCAATATTGGATCAGTATCGTCGTTGTTGGCAGTGGTCCTGCGAAGTAACGATTCAATGTCAAGGGAAAAGAAGCGAAAGACTCGGCGCATCAAGGGAGGTCTTACACGTCGGGGGTTCGGTGGTGTGTACCACGGCGGCCGTCATGTGCCATCTTTATGAGAGGAAAGCATCCACTCAGGGCTCTCTACCGTTCCGTTGGGCGAGCAGGCTGATTTGATCTGCCCTTAGGCTTACCGATCCATCCATCCAACAGAGCCCGAGTCTTATCAGAGCATGGCCCGAATTGGTGCGATGGATGTGAGGGGTTGTTCTTCCCCTGCCGGCGCCGTCAACTCTCATTGATCAATGGCAATAGCCGGTCCGTGAGATAACCACCCTGGAGGGGGAAACGTTGCATGGAGCTTAGGTGGCCCCGGGATGGTCTAAACCTACTGTGTACAGTAGCGCATGGTGGGGGTAGCTGGGGTATGACAATAACCAGCACCCCGGAGAATGGACGCAAGTTAACCTGAGACCAATTGAAAGGGAGCTGAGGTAAACCTAGGGTCAATGTCATGAATAAATGTTCTTGGCCTTGAAGAAGCCCAAGATGTATAGTGAGCTTCATCATCTTAGAGCCGACTTACCTCGAACACACCTTTGGCCGATATCCAACCTGTACTCAATCCTCCGCTACGTTAGTGTCTGTGTATGTATACATTTGGAAGCAGCAGGGTTTCCCTCTCTCGGTTCCCTCTTTCGACTTTGTCATAATTTCCAACACGGTACTTGGTTGCTTCGTTGGCTTCGACCTTCAGCATTGATGCAATGATTCCAGCCAATGCTAGTCCTGTGTCAATCAGTGAATTGCGATGCGAGGCTCACACCCTTATAGGGTTCCGTCCAGGAGTCCAATAAGAGGCTTCATTCCAAGCAACCACAATCAGTTGTTTCAGACGTCACGGCCTTGTTACTGGATTTCCCGAGTTGACACCCTCAATGGCTGGTTCTGTCGTCTGATGCTGCGCTCTTGGCAGCAGTATAAACACAATTCCACAATGTTGTGACAAAGTTTAGATAGCCAATAAGAGCCGTCTAGACTCTTCTACTGTAACATACACATACAACGACTGGGCACGGCATATGGTTACCGTTGAGTGCAACAGGCTGTGCCAAGGGACGAATTTGCCGCATGCACTTGCGTCAAGGATGAGGGCCGTAGGCAGCAGCTACATTGGGCTGCGCCGCAATGCCAACCACATACGAATAGCATCTGTGAGCCAATCTGTTTTCAATCGCAGTATCTTGTCCTTTTCAAACATCAATCAAGGTCTTCAGCGAAGTCTCGAATCGACCAACTTGTCCAGACATCCTAGCAACATATAAATCATGTCCGTCTCAGCAGCATCCGAGACTCTGGGGAATGCCCAGCATGAATCCGTTGTCTCCTTCCCTCAATTCAAGACTCTACCTGCTGAGATGAGAGGCTTGATCTGGGAGTTCGCGATACCCGGCGATGTCCCTGAGCTGCATATCGTCAAACCGTACTCAAAGTGGCCTCACTGTTATCCCACGGTGGATATTGCTTTCCCGGCGGTGTTGCATGTGAGTCGGGAAGCAAGACAGTGCGTGCTAAGGAGGCTGAAGATGCGCGACTGTCCAGTAATTGGCTTCCAAGTGCCATGTAGAGACTTCAGACCGGACCTGGATACCATGTTCATCGGGGGCCTCGAGCACCGAGACTTCTTCTCCAGGCCCGAGAGCTGTTATCGGGGTTTGGTCAAGACGCTTCGGCGTATCGCCATCGACATCGTCTCCACTACCTACAGCAGTGGCATTCCGGCCGTCCTTCCTCATCTGGACAGCTTGGAAACTTTGATAATTGTATTCAGCAAGACTGGTAATATTCATCACCAAGGAGAGGCTCTGGCGTCCGAAAAATCGAATTGGCGGTGCCGCCTGCAATCTTTCACTTCTGAGGAGCTGAGTCTCACTCGGGTTAAGACATACGAAGGTGGCATCGACTTTCTACCTCCCGAAACTTACATAGCGAGATTCCAAGAACGCCTGGCGAAGAAAACGCAAGGCCTGATGCGCTCATGGGGAGATGAGGTAAAGATTTGTGCATGGGACTATGCGAATGACAAGCTGAGTCTCGAGGTCATACCCCAGCGTTTTGTCGAGTACTACTTGGGAAGTTCAGGGCCGGAATGGCGTCCGCGACGATAGTGTGTCATTTTTGCATGAAGAGCAGATCATGCAAAGCTCTTGAGTTGACTTTACTCTTTCGAAGACATATTCCATTACTGCGAAAATTATGGTCTGCTATGAAAAGCTAATCGTACAGAGTGAAAACAAATTTGCTGGTGTATCCATTAATACCCAGCGGCCAAGGCTCCTAATCGTACAGGGTATTTTCTATCCGTCTAACCCCAATTTTGAAACCAAGACTCCTGTTAACGAATTTCCACGTGAGACCAATCTCAAGGAAAGTGGCTATCCCAGTCTTGGCGGCTTTCCGACCGCTTGATCTCTGAGATGTCCATACCCCGATGAGCGTCAGGCGCGTCCTCTTCCGTGACCTGCACGCTCACGGTTTTGATTATACCCATAGGCCACGACTCAACGCCTTCAAAGTCCCTCAGAGAGTGTGTATCGTAGCTGTCCCTCTGTGGGCCTTCGATTATAAAGTTTGATCCATTACTTTTCCTCCGTGACAACTTGCTCATCTTGGACGCCTTGGACGTCCGGGACAGAATGGATGCAGCATCTGAGTCGTCCCTCGCGCTAGCTGCCTCACTTATCGCTTGGCTAATAGGCCTAATGTGCTTTGAGAAAAGTGAGGCAATCGGGAGCATGTTTGCTGACAGTATTCCCAAATTCTGCTCTAAGCTAGATGAATGTTAGTAAGCGGGTATGTGAACGGCGAACATTCCCGAGAGCGACTTACACAGCCATTATAGTACATAAAACTTGAAATTGGAACTGCTCATTGGAGCTTGTCAGGGAAATATTGTAGGTTCTGACAACGGCAAGCATTGCAATACTGGTATTTTGTTAAGACGAGAACAGTAGTTGCGGTGGTACCAAATGACTTACACTATGCTCAACCCTGAAAGGATGTAGAAAGGCCAACGAATGTTGCGCTTGATGTTGAGATCTTGTATGATGATCATAGGAAACAGCGCAATGAATAACCCAGAAAATACATCGAAGGCACCCTGGAAGTAACCGATCCCATGTTGAATACTGATATTCCAGCACTCGCCGGCGACGGAAGCGTCCCACAGCTTCTCCATCGGTCGACATTGAAGCAGAGTCGTAAAGCTATAGGCCAGATTGACCAGAAGTAGCAACAGAACCTGAACGCCGAGGACAATCCTCCAAGCCTTGACACGCGAGACCAGGCGTAGAAAGAACAGGCAAATGGACACCTTACTCAGAGTCGAGCCCATATTCAACCAAGGTTGCGAGAGGTAGTCGAATTGAATGGCAGTCTCGATTCTCTCCTGGTTGACACTTTCGATGATGGTAAAGATCGCGCCGACGAGTCCAAGTAACTGGTAGAATGTCAGAGCGTTTCAAGCTGAAACTGAGGTGGAAGCATACCATTGCCAGTCCCAGGAAGTAATCATCCCATACCACACTGCGATTGATCCTAAGCCTGACGCAGAACCGCAGTATACTTGTCAGAAGAGCCACTGCAGTCGTGGTCACCGACACGGCTAGAAGGGCCGGCCCTTGAGTCATGTCGGGAGTCTTATCATCTGGTCCCAGTCCAGACATTTTCTTCTTCACGACGCGGAAAGTATTCGCCGTTGGGAAGGCTACCGGGCCGTCGGATAGCTCATGGCATGTGCGATCGTGGAAATACCCCCTCGAGAATATAGACTCGCAAGTCGGTGGCGTTGAATATCATTACAAGAATAGCAGACCAGGAGATCACTCGGGAGAATATCCGGGGGTGGGGAATTAGTCGATGATATAGAACGTCTGGAAGAAACCTATGGGGGCGGGCCCAATCACGGGGAGCGAACCGGGGGATGCTTGTCTGCCGCCAACTGCCAAAAAGACACATGAACGCCGCTCGTACCTCCGAGACGGAACTTCTTTCAACAGGTGCACATACTTTCTATAAGAAGAAAAAGCAAGTGATGAAGCAACTGGGGCCCTGCAGGCGAACATCTTCTCTGTCAGCCGCGGGACGGCAAGTAAAGAACGGCGCCAATCAGGCTAAAACGGATCATAAGGCGAATCATGCCCTGAACAAGGGAGGTCCTATGAATAAACCCAGCGCGAGGGTTCGTCCTCAAACGTCGCCGACCCAGAACGTCGATCTGGGCCGGGCGCAACCAGAAGGCTATTGTTTCTGGGCACGCGAGTATGGGGAGCCCAAAGTGGCAGCACATCCCGCGTCGCGTAAATGCGCGAACTTCATGCATTGTCCCAGATAAGGAAACAGAAAACGTGCCTGTGCTGCTCACATGCGGCTGGTTTTCACTATAGTCCCTACAGCGGAACCCCTAGGCACTTGGTCGTATATATACTGGAGCTTCATTGCTTTTTTCTTCGCTAATGCGTCGCAGAATGGCAGGTACAAATTGCGGCGCATATTGACGAACTCAACATCTGACAGGAAAGAGCGCCATGGGAAGCCCGCGACTCCGAGCGAACTTTGCAATAAGATTAGTGTCAGGGACATGGCAGTTCCGGCTCAAAACTTTTGGGCGCTTGCATGTTGTTTGGACCAGCTCATTGGGTCGTGTTGCCAGCATGACAACGGAAGACGAGGTCTTGACGTTTAGGGTTGTCTGATCGACACTGTGGAAGCTTCATCGAAGCTTTCCCGGCGCACGCACGGTTGACCGAGGGGGAGGCAAACCCCCACGAAAGACGCAGCGGGCCACATGCAAACATCTGAGGAAACGCCATGTCGGCACGACCTATCCACAGAGACGGAGAGTAATGGGTGATACGTTCAGATGCCAAGACCCTGGAAAGTTCGGTGACTGATCAGCATAAAGTAACGCAATCCATAACAAACGATTATGCCTTATCAAGTCACGTCCATACTCGTCGCACAGAGACCTTACGAGTATCGACTGTTTACCGAGCACACAAGCTTTCCACTTCTGACACGTCACAGAATAATCAGGCTGAGAAGCCACCAAAGAACCAGTTCCCTGGTCGAGAGAAGTGCTACGATCATTACATGGATTGGGAATAACTACACATTTAGCCAGTCTGACCCAGACTTTCTGAACCCTTTTAAAACCGAGCCTCCACCTTCTGCTCGGTGTCTTGCAGCGCCCAGGCACTCGACCGGGACTTGCTTCGAACGGCCGCCGCCTGGGCAGCAGTGAAGCCCTTTGCCTCCACGGCCGGGTTGTAACCCAGCTTGTTGATTTTGCCGACAGTGGCGGAGTCGATCTTGGGCGCCTCGTCCTTGTTCGGTCGAGAGTAGACGGTGACGACGACAGCGCCACCGAGACCCAGGTTGTGTTGAAGGGCGTACTTGGTGTGGGGGATGGCTCTGTTGTTGGCCCAACCCCTCAAATGCCAGACAAGTTCGGCACATTGGGCAATGCCAGTCGCGCCAAGAGGATGTCCCTTGGAGATGAGACCACCAGACGGGTTGATGACCATCTTGCCACCGTACGTGATGTCGCCGTTCCGGACCATCTCATGAGCCTTGCCCTTCTCGCAAAGACCAAGGGCGTCAATGGTGATCATCTCGTTGGCTGAGAAGCAGTCGTGGAGCTCGCAGACCTGGAACTCTGACGGCTTGACACCAGCTTCAGCCATCGCAGTCTTTGCGGCGTACTGAGTCATTTCGTAGCCCATCAAGTCGATGGAGCTCTTGGAAAACAGGCTTGGTGCATCAGTGGCCAGGCATTGGCCAGCAATCAGAATGGCTTGGTCCTTGAGATGAGGTCTTGCGTCCAAGAAGTCTTGAGAGACCAGGACTGCGGCGGCACCACCGTCGGACGTGGGGCAGCATTGCAATTTGGTGAGAGGCTCATGGATCATGGGCGCCTTCAGGATCTGGTCCAAAGTGTAGACATCCTGGAACTGCGAGTAGGGGTTCCTTCCGGAGTGCTCGTGGTTGATTCTGCCGATCTCAGCAAAGTCCTCGGGCTTGGCTCCGTACCTTCAAATAAGTCAGTAACGCTGTCATCCTTGATACCACTAGTAAGAGGCCTACTTCTCCATGTACTCCCGCCCAGCATTGCCGAACATCTGAGCAGCGCCCGGGGCGTTTGTTACACCTCTGGTCTCGGCCATCATCTTCGCCGTGGTTCCCGTGGGGTTTTCTCTGTCGTTGAAGAAACTCTGAAGACTTCCTCGCATCATCTTCTCGAAACCGACAACCAGGACGCAGTCCGCAGCCCCGTGCGCAACGGCGTTCCTGCCGAGAGCCAAGCCGGTCGAGCCGGTCGAGCAGTTGTTGTTGACATTGACAATGGGGATCTGCGTCATGCCGAACTGGTAGAACACTCTCTGCCCACAGGTTGAGTCGCCATAGCAGTAGCATGCAAAGCCTTGCTCAACATCGTCGTAGCTGATCTGCGCGTCAAGCATGGCCTTAACGCCGGCCTCGAACCCCAACTCGGTGTAGTCGACCTTGCCACGGGGCTTGATGAACTTGGTCATGCCCACGCCGAGCACGTAGACGGGGGCTCTCTTCTTGGGTGCCATTTTTGCCCTGGGAGTGAGTTTCTCTGCGTAACCGAATGTGCTGATTTCAAATGGCCGGTATAGTTATTTTCAAGGCTTAGCTTAAGTGCCCGTGGGACAATTGATGAGTGTCTACCTAGGTAGAGAGGAGCTAGTAGTAGTAGTAGTAGTAGTAGTATGCAGTTCAAGATTCATGAACATGGGGAAGCTGCAGTTCCACACCTAAATAGTTAAACCGGGCGGGTAGTTGATGTCCACAACCGTGGCAAGGGCCAGCAACTGACGATATGGGTGCCATTTCTGGAACAGCTTCTCCATTGTCAGCTCCCAGCACTGCGGGGGAGCCGAGGTTGATCTCAGTCGGCGCACTTCATTCGCTGCAGCTCCCCCCAGCTGCCCCCAACCTATCTAATTACCCCAGATGCACGGGCCAGTTTGCCGCGATGCTTTCGGTTATCCAACCTTGGCGAGTTCGCGACCAGCAATTGAGTAACTTGATATTACAAGTAAAGGGGGCAAGCTACATGTCAACTACTTAAGTATACAGTTGTAAATGCCATCTTAGAGTGAATTCGCTGTGTCACACGGGGCGGGGCCAGAAGCCGTGGAGAGATTACAACGCTCTAGTTTCTCCCGGCTTTGTTCTAACATGATGGAACGCTTGTGACTGACTGTACATGGATCCATCGGGGATTACGACCTCTCCGACCTGGTTCGTAGCGACCTGTGTGATCGACATCTCCCTTTCAATATTGTTCACCCATTTCCTCTGTGTTGCAGATACCGAGGCAAGCCAGCCGGGGCTAACAACACTCCACAACGTTTTCAACGCAGTTCCAAGTACTATGTGTATCTGCTCTGCACAGCGGATAGGGTCCGTTCCGGCAAAGCCAACATCATCCATGCACAATTCCAGTACGTTGAGCAGTGCCACGGCGGACTGCGATTGCAAGGCACCGAGGCATCACTTTTCGTCCGTTTGAAAATTGAGCCGAATATTCCTCCTCCGAAGTCCCTGCTGAACCCGTGCCATCGTTTGGTTTATGTGGGGCGCCTATAATGTTTACTGACTGCCTAAAGAAACAGCCAGGTGAGGATACTTCGACTTGAATGTCACCTAAGGATGAGTGGTGGCCCACGACTCAGGTTTTGACCTATCCAGCGCCCATTGCCTTAGGTAGCACATTGTATAGATACAGTTTTAGCAACATACGCTTTTCTTCTGACGAAGCACGCTACTTGTATAGAGACGTACGCCCGCAGGGGGAACAAAACAGCATATCTGATCGCAGGGAATCTACCCTTTGAGTTTAAGCAATTGGTGCACTTGTACCCTTTGGAGATGAACTCAAATCGGGGATTGGTATTTGGTTCCGAGATAAAACTGCACCTAAGCAGCTCTGAGGGTAACTGGTTGGCCAAACTATGAAACATGCTCAAAATCGATTGTCAGGTTCCATGATCATTCTCAATATCTAGCATGCCTCCGATTTTGAGGTGGGAAAGAAGTTTCTAAACAATTACCCTTCCCTGAATAAGCAAGGTCATACTCTCCCAAGCTTATCATCTGATCTCTTGAACGATTCACCATATTCACAGTCCTCCAGCAACATGGCTCCGCAACAACGATGCCATGCTTCTGCTCCACAGGAAACGAATAACGCCACAATACCGCCATGGCTTTCCACGCCGCAGATCTTGAAGCCATACCTCCAGCCTCTTGTGCTGGAGGCTGTATCGACCCTACCCAAGGACGCAGCACTCTCAAACCGGGCTTTGGTAGATATCCTCTGGCGCATGATCTGCACGCGTGAGGATCTGCTGCCACTGAATGACTTCCCGGACTCGGTAGCGGACCACACTGCCAAGGCACGGCTGATCTTCAAACCCAAGGCCATGGAGTTTATTGAGGACAAGTTCACATCGCTGGGTCGGCACTGCGGCGCCCGTGCCGTGGGCGAGCTCCTGGCCGAGTGGACGCACTGGGATCTATTCCACGTGCACATGCGACAGATCCTACAGCTCGCCGTCAAGCAGAACACGGTGCGACGTCTCGTCCATCGCAACCCACTGGCGCTGGCCTGGAGGAGGTGGAAGGGTTTGTCTGGAACAGAGCGGGAGTCGCGAGGGCTTGCGCTTGAGATGGAGGAAATCGGCAGTGAGAAGGAGAAAAAGGTGTAAGCACCGAGCTTGCAAGGCACTATAGTGCTCAGTGGTCATGGGAAGCCGGTTAAGTACACAAGCTCTGCACAAACGCGGTCCAGTAACGCTCTAAATTCCCACTCAGCCTGGCGATGAGCTTGCCCCGAGTTCATGAATATTATGTACAGAATTCTATCTTACAGCTTCCTCGTTTTAGTATGACGCTTTCGCAACGAAGACTTTGAAACCATGCTCACTCTCAGAGCTTTTGGTACACTCCTGGATCACACGGATCACGCTTTTGTGTCCAGTCGTACGCCGAATAGCTCATTCAGCCATTCTCCTTCCCGGCCTTCCCTGTAGATACGCCAGTCATTTATTTTATGGAGGTGTGAACCGTCCAATGCATTGGGAGGAAACAAGCCGTCGATCTCTCCAGTGAGAATCTCTCCATGTCGCGCTTCGATGAATGCTTCGAACTGAGAAGAGCGTTAGATCATATATGAACTCATGCTGGGCTACACCGTTACTTACATGGTCTTCAAGATGGTCAGGCAAAGGTGGTGGGACCTTCTCAAATCTTTCCGTCGGATGCGTTGAGAATATGAAGCGGGGGGTTTGCTCAAACGTCCACTTCTCATCCTATGGACTCATTAGATGCTGAAACCTTGTGACAATAATCATTGGACTGACTGTTATCTCATCATATCCCTTCATGATGTCCTTATTTTCCCGGGCTTCCGCTTCGGAAATGACGTGGGCCTGGACATCACCGTACATTCCCCCAAACTCGGCGATGGCTGCTGATTCGAAGTCACTGTTGTCGATACCAACATTCTTAATCTTCGACCGCACGCTTTCCACGCCCTGGGCTGTGATGTACGGCGCAGCTGGAGACCGGAGGAACTGTCCTATCCTGTCGATATTGGGTGTTCCCAGCAGACACGTTCCATGGTGCAGTGAGCGTAGCCTGGTGAGCTTGTATGCAGACCCTGAGATCTTGTAGGTCGCTTGCCCCGCTTCTTCTGGCACATCAATGACTATATCATGCCGCTCGTTAACCCGAACTGTTTTCCTTCCGAGGTTTTGCAGAGCCCGGACCACCATCTCGGCGTGCTTGTTGCGGTCAAAGGCCGCAGGAGGGCAGATGACGCTGTAGTTGATGTTGCCATGATCATGAAACACGGTGCCGCCACCCGAGCGACGCCTGACCAGCGACACCGCCTCGTTCGGATCTGCGAGCAGGCCCCGTCGATTGATCAAGCCCAGATTGACCTCTAACCAAGGGTTCTGGTTGCGGCCAATAACTACACACGGGCGATTCGTGTATAGAAACAGGACGACCGACTCTGGCGGAGACTTCTGCAGGAGGAAGTGCTCAATGGAGAGGTTGAGCCATGGGTCCCGGCTTGCCGATGTATAGACTTGGACTTTCCTCGAGGGATTGTCAACAAGGTGTGAGAAGCGACGCGCATTTAAGAAGGTAGGCAACTGGACACGACTTCGAGTCAACAGCCGGCAGACCGATGCCATGTGTCAGCCTTAACACCCTGCGCTGGGAGTTGCACGCGGCCCTGATGTATACTTGTCGAACAAGGCTGAGCCTCCAGAGGAGAGTTTGTGTAGCCTCGCATTCCCCTGAGCAGGCCGGCCTCAGTAGCCGTTGGGCCAAGCTCCACAGCGGAATTACTGAGGTTGCTCCAGGTACCACAGTGCAGTAGCTAGCTAGGCACGCCGCCTGCATGGTCAATGCGTCACCACGTCTCTTGGTCCTAGGCCTTCCATCCATCCATCCATCCATCCATCCCACCTTTTGAGGAACCCCTCCATTTCATATGAAAATGTGCGAGCTCCGTTTCCGGAGCACATGCAGATGTTATTGCGATCCGCTTATTCCGGCTGCAACGCAGAGTGTTCCGGCAGGGAAACAGGCAGGGTGCACATACATAAGCCTGACAGGATCAATATTATGTACGTCTTAGGTGCATTTACAATGATGTGGCAGAGCGACGGAGGGACTCAAGCGCTGCAGACCATCATCCTCTGACGATTACGGGGCCTAAATGGGCTGTTGGCATACGGCGGAGCCAATCAGGGCGCTACGACGGCCGTCGAACCACCAGGGTCTAAAAAAATATTCCATGTACCAGAAACCCATTCACTCTTGAGTCATGGTAAGCGACGTCGGTCACATAGCAGATATACTCCGACCGTGGTCGTTCAATTGATCTACGTTTGTCTTCCTCCCCACCTTTGGACCGGAAAATCAAGCATCACACCTGTCAAAATGTCGACCTTTGGCCAGTACTTCAAGGTGACCACGTACGTCACGCCCCGTCCCGTCCCGTCCCGTTGCCCCCCGCCCGTCTCCCCGCGGCCACTCCGACTTGGGCCTGTTCGTACTAACGTGGCAGCACAGCTACGGTGAATCCCACTGCCGCTCCGTGGGATGCATCATCGACGGCTGCCCTCCGGGCATGGAGCTCACCGAGGCCGACATCCAGCCCCAGATGACCCGGAGGCGGCCCGGCCAGTCGGCCATCACGACGCCGAGAAACGAGAAGGACCGCGTCCAGATCCAGTCGGGCACCGAGTTCGGCGTCACCCTGGGCACCCCCATCGGCCTCATGGTCCTGAATGAGGACCAGCGGCCCAAGGACTACGGCAACAAGACCATGGATCTCTACCCCAGGCCCAGCCACGCCGACTGGACCTACCTCGAGAAGTACGGTGTCAAGGCCAGCAGCGGCGGTGGCAGGAGTTCCGCGCGCGAGACCATTGGCCGCGTTGCTGCCGGCGCCGTCGCCGAGAAGTACCTGAAGCTCGCACACGGTATCGAGATCACGGCCTTTGTCACGTCAGTCGGCGCCGTCCACATGTTCCCCCCGACGCCCGAGATGCCCACGCCCAGCCAGAACCCCGACTTCCTCAAGCTCCTAGAGACCATCGACCGCGAGACAGTCGACAAGTTCCTGCCAGTGCGATGCCCCAGCGAGGAGGCATCAAAGAGGATGGAGGACTGCATCAGCGAGTTCAGGGATAAGGAGGACAGCATTGGCGGAACCGTAACCTGCGTCATCAAGAATGTCCCCAGCGGCCTGGGCGAGCCGTGCTTCGATAAGCTGGAGGCAACACTCGCACACGCTATGCTCAGCATACCAGCAACCAAGGGCTTCGAGTTCGGCTCTGGCTTCGGCGGCTGCGAGGTCCCCGGCTCCGTGCACAACGACCCTTTCATCCGGGCCCCCGAGTCTGCCGGCGCCGGAAGCAGCGGACTCCCCCGATCCAAGCTGACCACCAAGACAAACAACTCCGGAGGTGTCCAGGGTGGCATCACCAACGGCGCGCCCATCTACTTCCGAGTGGCCTTCAAGCCCCCGGCCACCATCGGCCACTCGCAGACCACCGCGACCTACGACGGCGAGGAGGAGGGTGTTCTTGCTGCCAAGGGCAGACACGACCCTTGTGTCGTGCCACGCGCCGTCCCCATTGTCGAAGCCATGTCTGCGTTAGTGGTCATGGACTCTCTGATGTCGCAAATGGCCCGCATCGGGGCGAGGAGCCACCTTCCCCCGTTGAAGCAGACGATCCCTCCCTCAAGTAACGGCGTTTCAAGTGGGCAATAGTAGGTAGTGGATAGGCGCTGTTTATCGAACGATTTGATGTCTATATTACCAGTGCGTTTTTTGGAGTGAATCGCCGTTCGACCGAGTTTTGTCTGTTAAATACGGCTTCTGAAGGAGAAGTAGCCTGCAGCAATTGCTCTGCCAGACTGGCCAATCAATCTATAGGCCAGTCCTAGTCACCATCTCTCGCAAATCTTGTGCTCCCGAATGAACTCAGCTGGACTATTGGTGTAAATTGAGCTCAAACTACCCCTTTCCAGCGCGCAGTGGCTATACTAACAAGCAGCCTGAGTTGCCGCATCCGATGATATGATAACACAACCACCGAGTAAGTATTGCCTGAACGTTTTGACAACTTGGCAAGTGAGCACAGCCTCACAAAAGACATACAATCATTACCAAGGGTATTGAATTCGAATGTAAGCCCAACGCCGTTTCTCGACGGGAAGGAATTAATATACAAGAAGTCCACATCCGCGTCCTGAGAATAACCCCCCACAAGCATTTTGATGCCCAGTCTCGTTCCGACCGAGTCCGCTCTCTAATCGATCCCGGTCCAGTCCTTGCCCCAATCGCCACCGAGGTGGCCCTCGCCCTCGCTGACGTCCCAGTCGCGCTCCAGCCGCCAGGCGTCGTCGACGCCGATGCCCATCTCGATGAGGTTGCAGCCGCGGTGGCCCCACTTGTCGGCGAAGACGCGGCGGCCGGCGTCGATCATGGTCTTGATGCCGGCCTCGAAGCCCGCGGGGTCGCGGTAGAAGGGCTCGCCCGCGCCGCCGCTCTGCTTGGTCTGCCACGTGTTGCGGTAGATGCCCTCGTCGACCCACTTGGCCTCGAACATGCGCTCCGCCACCGCGATCAGGTGCTGGTACGTCTCGCCCTCCTTGTCCGCCCACGCGTGGATCTCGCGCTCCTGGTCCTGCTCGACCTCGCGGCCCGGCCGCCCCGGGTCCGCGAACACCGGGTCGCCCTGGAACGTCGCGTGCGACCCCGGCAGCCGGAACAGCGCGCCCACGTCGTCCAGCGGCGCGCTGACGTCAAAGATCAGGCCCGCCTCGCTCTGCGGCTGCCAGTACCCGGCCCAGTGCAGCCGCAGGTAGATGTCGCAGTCGGTTGCGTAGAAGGGAATGTGCGTATCCCAGGCGCCGACTTCCAGGTACGCGTCCCGGTTTACTAGGGTAAGGTGGTCGTACGCGAAGAAGTGCGTCGCCCACTCGGGCATGTCCGGCTCATTCAGATACCGCATCAGCCCGACGGCCCTCTCGTAGAGGGTCGCATACGGGTCCTCCTGGTAGTCGTGGTCTCGGTCCTTCTTCTTGACCTCCTCGTCCGAGAACACCAGCACGTCCTGGTGGCTCCAGAAGAACGTCTCCCAGCCCCTCTGCACCGCTGTATGCAGATAGTAGTTTTGCAGCTGCGCAAAGCTCAGTAATGTGGGCGTCGTCAAGACGTGCACGCCCAACGTTTTCAGCTGGGAGTGGTTGAGAAAGAAGGGGTTTTGCAGTCCCAGCTTCCCGTCCTTGTTGGATCTGAACGTGCCCGTGTTCTCGACCACGTATATGTCGTCTGCTGGCCATCCAGCCGCGATATAGCTGGCTACGCATTGTAGCAGCATAGGCCAGTTGCGGGTGAACCCAATGAGTAGGGGTGTGTGCTCCGGCACGTGTGGCACGGGAGGCAAATTGTTTGGCAAGATTGGTGGCAGTTTGTTGTTGGCTGTCAGCCAGGGGAAAGGGTCCTCAATGGGCGCATAGGTTTCCGGAGCTGGCTTGTAGACCTTCTCTCGCCGCGGCGCCTCCTCCATTGGAACCTGTCCTGGGACACCGGCGGCCTGGAGGTCGGGGGCCTCCGGGACCCCTTTTGGTACATTGCTCTGGTCGTCGCCGGGTCCCTTGGCCCGCAGGTTGTCAGAGGCTGAGAATGCTGGTTGGAAGATGCAGTATAGCAGCAGAGCCGCCGTAAGGATCAGGCCGTACCGCGACAGGAGCGGCGCAAGCCGACCGGGGACCCGTCGCATCAACATATCCGCCTTGGACATTGGCCCGTCACCATGTTCGGGGCAGACCAGGCCGGGGTGGTGGGGGCTCTGGCTGAATGATTCAGGCGGGAACTAGAATATATTCGACGCAGCAGTGACCCGAGCTCGTGATCGTTCAGACTACTAGTAGTACCGACGGTCCAGGTGGCCAAGGCGCTGTAAATGACGGGAAGTAATAAAGTTAGCAGAAGAGAAACATGGTCCAAGAACTCCCAGCGTCCGTATGGCGAAGAAGAGGATGGGTTGCACAGAGACGTGTTGGCGTGTTTGGGGAAAAAAAGATAGGACGAAAGAAAGTAGAGGGCCCGAACCGAGTTTCTCCCTTGATTCGAAACGGCCAGTACGTCGCTCTATCAGGGTTTACCATGAATGCCATCCCGGACGCACTAAAGTGCCAAGACGGCAGATCGTTTGGTCCTCTCAACGGCCGGCGAACTATGATTCGCCCGTAGCGCAAAATGCAGCTTCGGGGGGCCTGTCGCGATGGAGAAAGACCTTCCTGGGCTGGTCTGTCCGGTATTGATTGCGGCTCCATTACAGGCTGAAGACACCCACTCCACCTGCCTGCTTCAGGACACCCCAGGGTCCGGGCTCAGGAATCAGGATGGGCAGATACCTGGAGGCCAGGAATCAGCCACTGAGGACACGGTGCCTGAGCGACGCGACGGCTTGGCGAAACTTGCGAAGCGTCGTCGTCCTTTGGCGGGATGGCACCGCCATCGCTTGCGTCAGTGACTTGGACGACGAGAGCCCGGAGATCAGCGATCGCCAGGGGAAGCGATCTGGGGGTCCTGAGCCGACACCGCTTCTGAGTGGAGGCATATCCACGGCCTCTTTAATTTTCAAGCACAGCGAAGCTTTTTGCTCTGAGGAGAACGCAAGTTCTCGCACCAATCAGCCACGCCTTCGTTTGAGGTGATCGGCGTCGTTATCGACTGAACGGCTGCGGAGGGCGGATATCACGCAGGGCCCCCTGGGCCGCGCGGCGCACATGCGTTGGCGATCTGAGACACCCGCTTTGAAGACGAGCCGCTGACGACGACGATCCCTGGTGGCATGGGAATACAAATAGAAATAGAACCATACGGCCAATCTTACGCTGGTCGTCCGTGTTTGGGCTGCCCCAATTCAAACTTATGATGATGATGCACGGGAACTGAGAATAGTGTTGTACTATAAGATGAGCTCAGCCCTGGCTGCGGCCTTGGCGTCGGCGGCCAACAGTGCAATCCGGAGACGTGGCGTCCCATAGCGGCTGACTTTCTGGGGGAGCACAGATATTTTCTCTACTATACTACCTGTGCAGAAACACAGTCATATTCAAGCTCTGGTCTAGCACGTCCATTCGTCTGACCTCTTCCCATCTCGGCAAGCCCTGTGATGACGTTGGGTTCTGTTCAGCGCAAACTAATAAAGTATGGTCAACCATGGACCCGAGCAGCGAAAGCACACAGTCTCCCTTATAACGAGCGGCCACTGGGCGCCATTTTTGTATGCAAATTCAATTCCGCGAGCTAGCGACCTGCCGCATCGAGGACGGGTCGAGCCTTAGTAATAACCCGCTACTTGTAGCTGCAGAGCCAAGCCTGACCAGCAGCTCTGATTGCGCTACGCAGTTTCACATATGGTTCCCGAATCCTGCTGGATTTTTAGAACGACCGCTAGTTAGTACGTGCAACTCGAGACGAGCACGCAGCTTCGCATGCTCATATAATTAAAGAAATGTAGCCAGTCTCTTACTGGCCATAGCATGTGACTGGTTGGGTCTCCTGACCTTGGACATTTGCACTCGCTTTTGCGAATATTCACAGGTAAATGATAAGTGACGCATGGCGTACGCAAAAGGCAACAGCACATATTGCTTTGTCATGTTTGAACTAGTACATAAAGAATATATTCAACGTGGTATAATCCTCCGACTTCCTTTATCCAGGTCTGTAGCAGGCAAATGACAAATAACCGACCAGCTGTGCAGATAACGAAGGTCTATGATGATGGTCGGGTTCACGCAAGATGAACGAAACAAGATGCCGCAAATGACAACACAACGTGGCCTCGGAAAATTGAGGCTCGGACAGGACTGAAGCATCGCCCTTCGTCAGCGTATCCTGAACACCTGTTGGTACAGCTCCTTTCGAGAAAACAAATCTTTATCCTGATCCCGCCGCGTTTGGTATCTTTTCAATGGTCCCTGAATGATCCTCTGTTCGCCATGTAATCGTCTTCTTCGTCCAGGTGGAGAGAGGGGTCAGCGTTTGACGGCGCTTCATTCCTCATCGACGCCTCCCATCGTGCCATTCGGCCTTGCTGTCTTCTTCCCCCCAAGCTTGAGCATACTCAAGCGCTTCCTTACGCTACCAATCTTTGGTCCACCGTCGAGACCTCTGCTGTCATGGCCCTTCTCCACGATGCCTACGAGCTCGCTGCTCTTCCTCGCCACGTTCTGGACCCATTCGGGCGTAGTCGGTTCGCCATTTGTATGGCCGTGCGTGAAAGGATTGGCACTGATGGTGGTCTCGTGAGACGGTGCACGGAAGAAACTCAGCCTGTTCTCCTTGCTTCGACTGCGTTGACTTGCGGATACGCTATTCGAGTCACCGTCGCCAATGGAGGTCATATTTTCGCCATTGGACTCGCGAGACTCCTTTCTCCTGCCGCCCAAGAAACTAAGACGTGTACCTCGCTGTTTGAGCGAGATAGGCTGAGCGGCAGCTGCTTCTTCAACTACACCTGTCCCAACCGCGAAAGGAGACACGCCGTTTTGCTCCTTCACTGGTGAACTCTCGAGAATAGGAGAAGACCTTCGCCAGGTTGGCGATGGAGTGGAGGTAGTAGTCTCTCTAGCAGGCTGTGGAGGACTGATGATCTCGATTTCTGGGGCAAAGACTGACTCGAATTCTGTGCTGGGTTAGTGCTTGTCCAAACATTCTTTATTAACAGTACTCACGTGGTAAGAGATCCTTATAGGCTTTGGAAAGGATCGCATTCCTGCTTTGAGAAAAGCTTATCAAGCACCGCTTGATCATTATGGCATGGTCGACAAGAGCCATTTTGATCGCGGTTTCTTGTTGATCGAGCTCAGCCTGCTCCTCTTCATCATCTTCTTCTTCCTCCGAGTGTACGGCAGGAAGGAGTTGCCTGTAGCATACTATACTATTCTCGGATTCGGGGTTCAGAGAGATGCTGATGGCGTCCACAAGGAGCTGCGCAACATCGTCGTTCTCCAACAAGCGTTTCTCGACGACCGTCATCTCTTGCGTTTTGCGCACAATGCGTTCAATGGCGGTCTCCTTGGCGTTAAGTCTCAGCTCTTGAGCTTCCACTATCTCACTGCGACGTAGAATAGTAGGGAATGACTCTGCTGTAGTGTACAGGATCTTCTCCGCGTAGTGTTCCGTGACAGGCCCGGTGGTACTGCGCTTTGAGGATGTTGAGAACAATTGGGGATGGGCAGACAGCAGGTAATCGCGGATAGCTTGAGGGACCTTGGCACGTTGGAAGACATGATGCGTCAAGTCCCGGTGTGGGCTCATGGACGAGATCACTAAGAACTGCCCTTCAGCCTCGCTGTCAACGTCGCCCGTTATCACGATTTGGGCAGACGGATATTGCTCCTGCATTCGATCGGTGAATGCAGACGTTCTTTCAGTTGGCGAACCTTCATACACAAACTCCTTGTCGCGGACGCTAGGTGGGAAACCAAGTCCCTTGAAAACAACCTTGAAGTACTTGGGTACCAGCTTGTCACTCTTTGCGAGCGTCTCATAGATTTTAGCAATGGCACGCTCCGTCCTTGCGAGCTTGGCGAACTCGAAAACGTTATTTTCGTATTGGTGCTGCAGTTCCTTGTAGGCTGCCAGGGCACTGCTCCATGCCTCCCCGTCTTCGAAGTGCTTGATCATATCGAAGTATATGCGCTCTTTTCGCTCAAAATGAGATTGTGCGGGGAATCCTGGATCTAGCAGCGCAGGGGCAGTCTTGATGGGATTCCATTCGTAAAGGTCTGCGTGCAACCGCAGCGCCAAACCGGCTTCAGCGTGGTTCCGCGCATCAGCTTGAAGTCCTGCGAGTTGGTGGACATATCGAATAAAGATCTCTTCCTTCTGCATATCGCGAAGGAATTCCATGAGACGGAGCCGATTAATGAGTTGCGAAGCTGCACCGCTGCCGTCGCCGCTGTGGACCGCAACAAGTAGGTCAAGAAACTCATCGACGGTGCTGATGAGTTCTTGAAGGGCTGCATAGAGTGGCTCTCCCTCGATCTGCGACAAGGGTTCAAAGCGTTGGAGGAGTTCGGTGATGAACAGCTTCTGAAGGATGCTCTCGGTCATTTGCTTGTCTTTGAAGAAGAGATCCAAGTAGTCGATCATCTCCATTTGAATGACGGAAAGATCCTCGCTTAAAGTCCACTCGCTGACGATCATGGTCTGGAGAACCTCGACAGCCATCCTCCTCAGACCTTCGTGCACGCTCAAGCAGAGTTCGACAATGGGGCCCACCAACGTTGGCACGTACTGGACTTGATAGCCGCCCATCTTGGCCAAGCCATACCGTGTGCGCTCGTCAGGAGAAGTCTCCCATCCAATCGCCTCCCAGGTACGCCTAAGGAGTTCGGCTCCATGCTCTCGAACATCGCCGGCAATTTTCCACACTGCTCGGCGTTTCTGCTCCGGGAAGGTCTCGAGTGCTAGACACTCACTCCCGACAAGTTTAAGAAGAGTGGTGAAGAACATTTTCCACAACTCCGTGTTGAAACTTTCGGCATCGTCAGGATCGGGCAATAAAGTCTCCAACAGAATGGTTGCCAGGTATTGCAGTGACTTCATCACTGATCTGTGGTGGAAAATATGCACGCTGAGCCACGTTGCCGGGAACGCCTCGCCTTGAAGGATGCTCATGTAGACATTGAGCGCATTGTGGATGAGCGTGCCAAGATCATCTTCGGCTAGCTCAAGTTGCATACCACTGGGTGAATTTGATAATGCCGACAAGACAGCTGACAGTTCGATCAGTGCTTCGTCGAACTGGGCTGAGCCGTTGATTGGCTTGCTGGGGAATGGATAGGAGGAGGGGAAGAGTAAGGAAAGACGGGATTTCGGCTTCATCTCTGTTTGCTGAATGGCCAGGTACGAATCAATGATTTTGGGCATGTAATCGGGAATCTCGGGTCCTAAGTGTTCAACCTGACTGGCAAGTACCGAGCAACACAGGCGTACTTGTTCCTTCCACTGGTCTGAGACCTCATCCGTCGAACCCCAGTGGGGGGCAATCCAGCGTGCGGTATTGGCGCTCAGCGCCGATCGCTGCTCGGGTTGAGAGAATAGGTCGAGTTTGGAGTAGTTGATGATCAAGACAAGCTTATACAGGACAAGTTTGCCCTTGACCGAAGAACAAGAGTCTATGAAATCGATTGCAATGTGAAGAATCTCCTCAGTGGTTAACAATCCGGCCAACTCAGGTAGCCATGTGTGGAAATGCTGTACTGCCAATGTCTGGCTTCCAACAAGCACAGCTGCATCGTTCCGCATCATGGAGTCCAAAGCCTTGAATATGGACTTCAGGTGTCGACTGAATCCAGGACTCGTGCTGGTGATGCCTATACCAGCTTCTTTCACTCTCTGCTGGCCTCTGGCGTGAGTGATGAATTTCAAGATATGGCGTACAACTTTGAGTGTTGCACGCAATTTTCTGGCTGTCTCTCCTTCCGTAGGCTTAGACAGCAATCGTGTGAATGATCTGACCAGACAAGGTGTCGCAAAGGGGTAATTGAACTTGCTCTCGGCGTATTGATCCACAAGGGGGCCCAAGTTGAATCTTCGATCGTGCACAATACCGAGTACCCGAACAAGGGCAGTGAAGACCAAATCTTCATATTCGTCGTTATTCTGGTATTCAACAAGAATCCCGAAAAGTGCGTCAAGAACATCGCTCAGAAGCTTAACGACTTCAATCTCTGGTACAAAGATCACCTGCTTAAGGAGATTCGGAATGTCTTCTCTGGGTTGTTCTTTCCATCTGAGCAGGCCGAGGACCACTCTATCTTGCGAAAATCGTGTGCTGCATAGATAGGTGTGGATTCTCATGGCCGCCAGGGGGCCAGTAACATCACTGGGTTCGTTTCGAGTACCCCAAGGCAATGAGAGATACCCGCCCCTGCCAGACGGGCCAGCTTGCGCAGTCTGCGTGAATTCATCTAGCTTGTATAGCAGGAGAGTGTGCGGTCCATCCTTCACAAATGCTTGCTGATCCCAAAGAGGAATATGTGCAACCGCAAACGGTGTGTTTGGTAGATCCGTGAGGGTGATCACAAGATGGGCTGAAAGAACGTCCGGTGGCTGGAGCGACAGGCGCAATGTCTGGTTCCATGGCTCTCCACGCTCCACTGCGAATGACTTCCACGTTGACACGGCCTCACTATTGGAGGATTGGTAGATGCAGTTCTCAATCTTCTCCCCAGTCTGCCGCCTAACCTCCAGCGACGCAAGGAGATTTCCACCAAGGACATTACCCGAAATGGATGTTGCGCTGCCACCGAAGCGTGAAATTAGGTTTTGACGAGACAAAAGTGCCTGGTCTATAGTCACATAGATATCCGACCTAGGCTTGGTAGGAGCTCCTGAGAAGCCCATCTTGATGGTTTTTGTGACTCCGGATAGAAGCGTCGGGGTTGCCTTTATCAAGGCATCGGCGTCAGGGTTGTTGAAGGGCTTCAGATGGACCTGTAACCGTTCTGCCCTTCTTGATTTCTCGTACTGCCCGGACTTGCTGTCGAGGAGGTGGTTGATCAAGTCATCCCAATCGTCACCGTGCTCTTGTTTTTCCGACGTAAATTTCGCTGACGGCGCCCATACAGTCATGACGTGTTCTGTCTCCTCGGTTTGCTTCATGATCGCATTCAGTTTTAGTACGCCCATGCCGACCATGCGGTCGGCCGCCATTTGCACCACTGGCGCACCGTCCATCGACGCGTTCCCATTCCTCGAGCCCGCTGTGTTCGGAGGTCCATTACCATCTCTACTTTCGACATTATCAGTCCGCGGTCGTTCTTCCGGCTGTTCTGTCAAAGAATCCAGCTTCGTCCCTCCCCTAGAGAACGCAGACCGAGTCGACCCCCACATCAAGCTCCTCCTAGAAGACTTAGTTCCGCCGGATGATGTTGGCGTCTTCTCCTTGGAGAAACCGCTCATAGCTTGGGCAACTGATCCAGATCGAGAGATGGGTTTGCCTGCGACGATTTGTTGAGGGGCACGCACTTTGACGACAAGGTACAGGTCTGAGTCTGCAGACGGGGCATCGCCAATCTCGCTTGATGTCAAATCGGTAAACAAGGTACGCATCTGTGTGTTGCGGGCCATGTGTCCCATCGTACCACCAGCTGGGACATCGATTATGTAGCTTTCCGAAAGGGCGACCGGGAAGCCGCCCACGGGTTTGCTCACCAAGTAAACCACCAGAGTCGTAGCCTCGTTTGACGAACCCGCAAAACTCTTGACATCAACCAATAGATGGTGTAGAGCAGTTAGTTCAACGTGTGGCTGGGGAGGCTCGTCCAACAGACTCATGGTTGACTGGAGTTTGGTAATCTCGACCACAGAGTCCTCTCCCGTTAGGACTCGACCGCGTTCCCCAGGATCGCGCACTATGACCTCGCCTCCACAGAGCTTGTTACCCTTGACCAGATTCCATACCGTCTTCTCACGCACAGCATGCTGTTCGTGAGCTGTGAGCACATTGTGAAGCAGCTGGCGCCGCGAGAGATCCAGGGTGGTGATTAGCTGCGAAAGCTTGTCCAGCTTGGCGTACTGGCGCGACAGGAGGAGCTCGTGTAGATTTGTCGAATGCCACTCGCGCAGGCAGGACGCGATCTCGTCTATCAGAGGCTCGGATAGTGAGGTGGGCGTCTCGTCGCCGATCTTGAGCATGGGTACCGGAGCGGGAGGTTTCGGCATGCCTGGCTCTCGCTTGGCCGGAATAGAGAGCTTCACGAGCCCACCATCTGGCGCAGTTGCACTGGACGGGGACGGCAGCCCATCCTTCTTCCTGGGCCGTTCACGCCGTGGCTGTTTCTTCTCAATGGACGTGACACCGCTCTTGCCCGAATCACTGCCCATCCGCGCCGCGTCCTCGTCTCCCGCATAGCTGCCATTGTCGTCCGAGGCGTTCTCGTCCGCCTCCCCAAGCACCTCGCGGATTTCGACACAGCTGCGCGGAAAGATACCGGAGAAGACGCGCGCCTCGAGTGTCTGGCCTTTCGACGACGTCAGGCCGGCCAGCAGCGAGGGCGGTGCTAGCAGGTATCCGCGCAGCCATTGGCCGTCGGGCGTCTCCTCGATAATATACAGGTCATCGCCGATCTCGAGCGGGAGTTCGTTGTCGGCCTGTGTGCTGAAAGGATAGGTCGCGACGGCGAAGGCAATGCGCGGCAGCGGTTGCCAGGGCATTGGATCAAGCTGTGGGCGCTCTCGGTCGCACCGAAGCCGTGGGCGCGGTCAATCGCATAAATTGGTCGTCTGCGCCGCAGTGGGAGTGAGCGGCGTTGTGTCTCTCGCTGGTCCTAGCTGTCTCGCGATCGCGGGAGTCGGAAGTGGTGGCGCGGGACGTAGCAGTGGGCTCCCGCCGGGTCGGCCTGTAGGTGCAAGGGACCCTGATGCCACGAGCGCAATTTTTCGGCGCGGGTCCACGGAATGCGCTCAGCGAGTCTTTTGAAAACTCGGTACGGTCCGTGACGCAGTCTGGATACGACGGCGTCGTGAAGGGGAAAGAGGTGAAGGGCGAACAGGCTGGTTATCGGACTTCGTCGCCGATGTATGTTGTATCACGGGCTGGCAAACGAACCGTGGTTCCAGGGAGGAGCCGGGGGTCAGGAAAAGCGTAGCAACGGTGCAAATCAACTAGAGACCATGGAGCCGCGGGGTATCAGATGCAGAATCCAGAATGTTGGGACGAAAAGTCGATAGGGCCTGGGCATCAGCAGGTTTCATGGCTGTCGCGAGACCTCTGAGCGCGATGCTGCACTTTGCTGTGGTGATAGGAGAGTCACGACACAAAAAAAATTCCCCGTGCCTCGCACCTGTACGGATCCCCCCTGAGACTGAGAGATTGAGAGATTGGGGGCCAGTTCAGATAGATACTTGGACAAGGGTCATGGCATCTCCAAGGCTGGGCAACCTTAACAGAGTCAATAGACGGCTCTAGCAACTTAACCAGCTAGCACCGAGTTGTGGGCGGGGGCTCAATCTGCGTTTCGAAGTCCGTTCACAATTGCCATCCCTTCCCTGGGCCTGGGATTGGATGCATGCAACACACGGGCACAATCCGACCATTTGTAACCCAAACTGTGTCTGCTGCGGCCGATTCGCGATCGCCCTTTCTTTTTCCTCTGCATTCCTCTCTGTCGGATTTCCCCTGTGCCCTCACAAGACGACAGGGGATGTGGACAGGCGCCACTACCGGGGCCTGGCAGGCTGGGTGCGCGTCTTGGTGTCTAGCTGACTACGAGGCCACGTACATTTGGAGATGAAGGGATGATGGCTGTAGCAATAAGCTCATCTAATGTGTGGTGAGCTGACCGAAGCGAAGGTTTGGCAATCACCGACCACCGACCTCCCCGCTGGGCTCGGTCGATTTTTCCGGGGCACTTGTGTTCATTGCCTCTGGGCCGCCCGGACTGCCAGTTAGCAGGTTGGTTGCTCAAGAGACAAACCGTTCACCAGGTTGATCATGAAGCACGAATTACGCTCAGGCGCCAGACTACTGGCTATTCCCTGCCCGCTGCTGCAGAGGGGCCACAACGTGGTTGCAGACCTCCTGCAGCTTGCTACGCTACGCCACGCCACGCCCCTGAGGGGTGAAATGCGAGCGATATGAAATAAAGCCAGCTTGATAACTACACGGTACACAGTACACAGTACACAGGACCTACCTGCTCAACTCACAAAATCATTGCCGGCATGGGATCTTGTCATAGTAATCTTCAATATTTCACAGATTAGATCGGCTGTCGATCACAACACATGCTCGCCCAATACTAACTACAGTAGTTGGCAATCATGGCATTTCCCAGTTGGGGGTCTAGAGAGTGGAATCCATAATCAATGGTCGCCAACGAACTATCAGAACGTGGCGTCTCGCAGTGCCGCAAATTCTTCAAGGGCTGAAACCTTGGATCACAACCATCCGTCCGCATACGTAGGTCTTGAGACTTGATCTGGCCATGAATTGTATTTCATACCAGCATGCACTGCCTTGGCGACCCAGACAAAGCTTAACCTGGCAGGCCTAGGGGACTCGCGACGCTGCCCTCGAATTCCGGTCCACAGATCGATCCACTGAAGCCCGCCGGGGTACCTGAACTTGGATCACCTTGGAGTCCCGAGAGCAGACAACACCCCACATCCCCACCCCATGCAGATGCCAATTGGAATCCATGGCCCATGGGCTGGGTGCTGCTAAACAGGGATGTCTGTGCTAGACTCTCTGGCCAATGGGATCTGTACCCTGGAAACTGAGAGGCGTGCTCTGGCCGGGTTGTTCCTGCAGGTGATGATAATAGGATTCGGAGGTGGCTTACCGCTATACATTCTGCAGTAAGAGCTACCAGAGCACATGCAGAAATACAATTCATAGCCAACCGTGTCACAGTCGCAATGAAATCATCCTCGTCGTCAGAACTCGCCGCAAATCGTAAATTCCGCGCTGCCGATGGAACCGTTTGATCGCTTTATTAGCTACTCAGAAAACCTTCCGGTGATCTGACGAGGGCGCGTTCTACATACCTGCCCACCGCGCATGGCAGGCTTTCGTTCCCGCCGCCCTGGCAGCGGGTTCGCCACATCGGATGGCACATGGTCATGCACACACTTAAGCTGATGCCCTTGTTGTGATTCAAAGCGCACCTCGCTAAAGTGACGTTCATGCAGCATTGCCTGGCGGCGTGTGCCGAACGTGTGAGACAACTCCATGGTGGGTGAACAGGTGCAAGGTTGCTCCTCGTCTCGAAGTGCGGTTGTTAACACGATCCATGCAATTTGCAAATTTGTTAAGGCTGTATCTCATCTTATTGCAGTATTGACGATCGTCACGGCTACCTTTCGACGGTATGGGCACACCTAGACAAGCTGGTCAGCCATTTTTTTCTCGCCGCGATACGCCGAGTTCAGAGCAGTGCCAGCTTCCAAGGTCTAGTGAAACTCACATAGTCAAGGACTACGTTATATTGAAGAAACCTACAAAGCCACCCGTAACCTGCAGCTTTCGGTCTTGGCTCTTGGCTTTTGCCTGCTAGGACGGCTCGGATCCGTGCCGCAAACCTAATGTTTTGGGGCATGATTCTATCACCCTCTGCCCACATCGATTAACTCGGGGGGGTTCCTCGAGACATGGCCCCTTCATCGAGGACAAGACTAATACCAGAAGGCTTTCAGAGCACCCCTATATCCCACCGAACACATCGTATACATACGGAGACATGCCCTTCATAGCAGCAAGGTTAGTGGTTCAGGATGGGAGCGGTTGTAAATTTCCACGCGTAGTGTTGTATTTGGTAGTCTAAATAAACACGAAGAGGCTAGGAGATGGGTAGAGTAACATAAGTCTGGTGTTCTCGCGGACTGTCCTACGCAGTGATACCCGTGTCTTCCCATCAAGCGGACTAGGACGATCAAACAATCAGGTCATCCCGTAGAAGTGCTAGGAGCAGTATCAAAATCCATACATGGTCGGTGCAGCTGCCGTGCTGTTAGACGCGTATCCAGAGTCGGACTGGCACTCGATGTTGAAGTCAAATGGCTGTCCAAAGTCATCGTCCATAGCGAAGCCACCGAAGAATGAAAAGGGCGCATTCGGGTCATTCATGAAAGAGCTCATGTTGAGGTCCTTGGCGTCATCCGCCGGCATCGGGAGACTGGCCTTCGGCGTCGCGGACCTGGACACAGGTCCCGGCGACGGCGATGCTGGTGCTGATGTCGGTGCCGATCCAGATCCACCAGGCATGCCCTTTAAAATGTGGAAAATCGAGTCCCGCACGATATCGCCCAGCCCGTCGAGCACTTCGGCTTGGACGCCGTCGAAGCGGTGTTCGACCCTCTTGCGTACGGCCGAGGGTAGTTCTCTCTGGATGTGCTTCTTGAACTTCTTCCATTGCTCTGCGGACTTCGCATAGGAGACTGGGTCTCCATTCTCGTAGTCTAGATGACTTGTTAACAAAAGCTTCGCAGTAATTCGGAGGATAGTGTCGTACAAGGACTGGGTAGAGCATTCTTATTAGCCTGGGGGAACAGAATCACGTAGATATCTTTCCACTTCTGTTCTTCGGTCAAACTGGCGGATGTCTTCTTCCTTTCCTTCAGTTTCTTCTCTTGGGCGTCGTCTATGCCCTGTACACGAATTACGTCCTACGTGAAGTCAGTATCTAAATCATCAGTGTATACTATACAATGCTGCTCACCCGCTTTGTGCATGGTATGTCAGACCTCAGATGTTCCTCCAACGCCTCATCATTATCCATTGGCTCTCGACAACGCGGACACATGTGCGAAGGCAGCCTATGGCGGCGGAAGAGGTGCTCTCTGTGAAGTGGTCAGTTGCGAAAGCTCTCTTCAGTGACACAGGCTGGTCCGATATCTGGTACAACTACCATCAATTGCGTCTGGTGGGCACTTTACTTACTTCAGCCTGTGAATCGATGGCCAACCAGGGCCTACACAACTACGGTGCGTACAATGCCGCCTAGGATCGTGTTGGAAATAAGGACAGGCGAACATTGGCTTCTTTTCTGCGTCTTTCTTCGCACGTTTGTTTCCGCCGCGGTCCTCGCCACCTCTCTTCCCGTCACCGCCTGACGATGACCCATTTGTATCATCATCGCCGTTGAACTGGCGTTTCCCTCTGCCGGAGCCAGAAGAACTACCAGTCTTGCCATCACCTGAATCTTCAGTGCTGCTTCCCCCTGCGAACCCGCCCGACACCTCAGAGCTCTCCACCGCATAATCTATAATCGCAAGCCTCTTGTCCAGCCATGTCTGGAACACGGCCATCACGGCCTCAACGCCTTCTCGCCTCTTGAGGGCAATCAACTGCTCAGGTGTCTGTCCCCTGGAAGCGTTCTGTCTCGGTTGGCTATGGCTGGATTTTTGCGCAGCGCGGGCCTTCTTATCTTTCTCCATAGAGCCGTCTAGTCCTCGCAATTGTTGCTGAAGTTCCGGTGAGTACCCACAGATTATCGCGTTGGAGTCCAAGTCCTTCAAGCTCAGATTAACGTCGTCCTTGAAGGAGTTGGACTCTTGGCATAACACAGCGGACTGGCCAGCGGATACACCAGTCCCAAAACGCCTTTGAGATTGAAATTAGTGATATGTCTCAATAATTTTCCACATATCAGGTCCTTACTTTCGACTCGCGTCACCTTCGGAACCAAAGGCTTTCGCACTCGTCGCGGGGGCTGATGCACACCGGCCTGGTGAGACCGCTGAAGCTTTGATCGGGGTCAGGATTCTGACCACGCCTCGCTTGCGACGTAACTGACGGGCTTTGAACCGCCAAGTATAAGCAAGCTTTTTGATAGTAACGTGCCAAGGAATAGGGTTGAAGTCGAGATCACCAGGGACGTTCTGGTTGAAAAGGGTAGTTTCTGCAGGATAGGATGGAAACTGGGGGTGGTGTCGAGGGTAATGCAGCATCGTTCGGGGGAGAACACAGATTCAATGTATTAGAGCCGTCTATTTGCCTGGCAGGAGACCATCACGCATGGGACCGTGACGGGTTTGGCCAGTGAAAAATTGTCAAGACTAGGGGGCTGGTGGTGTTGTAGCGAGCCTACTGCGCATATGGGCATTTCTTGCGATACGAATTGAGGAGAACTGCACAGAGCCATTTCTCGTAAGGCTCGCGGCGTCGCTGACTTTATGCCCAACATAATGCGCAATTGCGATGGAACGAAGTGGAGTGATGCACCGAGTTCGCACTCTCCAATCATGCGTGCAGCGAGGCATCGAAGCTGATTGCGTACAGCCTCGGCGGATGCTGCACGCGATTCCCGAAACGCCGTCCAGTTGTCTTGCGCTAATCGTCACCAGCGAAGCTGAACGTTGCGTGCGATATTGCGGTACGGCGCAATAGATCTTGAACCGTGAAGCGAATCCTCGTGGTGTTGTTATCTGAAACCCCTTTGCGCGCCAACGAAAACACGGCCATCTTTGAGTATAAAGCTTCCGGCATTGAAATATTAAACATGGATTCGGGTGTCTGCTTCAATTGGAAAGCATCTGGAGTCTCTTTCTTGAATATCTTCGTCAATACGCCAAGAGTTCCTTGATATTCTGGCGCTCATATACAACCTCTTCCGAAGAAACGCTCTCAGAACCTCACTTAGGACGGTGCCAATTGACACGTCTTCCGAAAGCTTCCTCGTTGTCAACCGTTGCCCAGTAAAACCACTATTGCATTCTCGAGTCGGGAAATCATATCTTCATCAGCGGCACATTAGGCGCATCAGCCTGGCGATTGGGGCACCGCTGTTGGTTCGTCTTAAGGTTGCTTTCGTGGTCTGCGTCGGAATTGGCTATTTTGGGCCCCCCCTTGGGTACTTTCCAGCGGTCGGCAAGCATGTTGCCCACGCCAAGTGAGAGGTACGTGAACCAAGTCTTATTCTAGGGTGTTTTCGGTTGACTTACCTGCCGACAGTAGGAAGAGTGGCAAAGTCCCGCCGATCATGCTTTACTCGTATTTGTCGAGTCAACCCACGGTGACGGAAAAACTAGCCATGAACGGAGGGAAAAACGATTCAAGCTCAATAGTTGAACGGTATAAAGAAAAAGAGAAGCACATCAATGATCTGGTTAGAAAGACGCAGGGATCTAGTCGTTAAAGGAAGCAGGGCTTTGGGCGGTGTGAACTGGTTTTACTTGCTGCCCAATTCCACCAGTCGAAGCCAAAAAGCATTCCGGACGCGATCATATAATAAAGAAAGAATTTTGTACAAGACGATACTTCAACCTACATTGGGGTCGAGGTCGATATATACTTTCTGACAATCCATGTTCAACATTGCATTTACGGGAATTCCTGTTGTCACACTCACCGCCCAACGCAGCGGTGTGTCGTGAAGCAACCAATCAAGTCTTGAGTCTGAACAATCACTTTGCCGCTAGTCGAATCAACAATGCTTGCATTGGATACACATGTATTTGATAGTTGATGCCCAGAGAAAGCACGGGTATTGCGGCCAACCATCCTTCAGTCTCCACTCTTCGTGGCCACGTACCAGTATCTGGTTGACAGTTTGATGTTGGGCACGAAAACATGATGAAGCGAACTGTCGGCCGCCATGGAATCTATCCATGTCGCAAAGCGCCTTGCTTTTAACAAAGCACTGTGAGTAGATAGCTAGCGATGAGGTTGATCATAGATATCGCACTGGAAGGAAAGAGGTTATAAGCTTGCTGTAAGTGAGTATATGCTGCTGGCGATTGGCCTCATGTCCAGATTCGTCTCTGGATTCATATGTGACTTCGAGCGTCACCATCCTCTATCCACATGTAGTTCTCCACCTTCACATGACTCCTTGGCCAGTAGTTGACGACGATCTCCTCCCCGTTCCTACGGACAGTGACCTGCATCATGTTCTCCAAGGCATCCCCCGCGCCCCAAAGCATCCAGGCGCTCGCGACCTCGTCATCCTCTCGCAAGCCGGCCTGCTCAGCCCTTGAACCCTTTACAAGGCCCTTAATCTTGTTCGTGCGTAGAGAGTTTGGGTCAAAGCCGGCCTCGAACTGTTCAACGTCATGGCGGACCAGCTTGAGACCGTATTTCTTGAAGCTGTCCTCGGGCGGCACAATAATCTGCCCGCCCTCCATGGCAGCCCGGATCTCGGCCGTCTTTTCCTTGCCAATATACCCGCTCACGAGCTCGTGGAAGTCATCGCTATGCGTCTCGACATGGCGAAGCTGCCGCTCGTAAAGTTTCAACACAACATCGCCGACTCCTTTCTGGCCTCCTGTTTCCCGACTGATTAGACCCTGCACCTGTGCGAGATAAATGAAGCCTCTACCATACCCCGCCTTGGTATAGTCAAATCTGTCCATGTAGTGATCCGTAATGTACTTCCACTCCAGGCCGATGACCTGGGTCGTATAATAGGCCTGGGTGTTGTTGTTCAGAAGCCTTATCAGATATTCTCTGTTTACCGCGCCCTTCTCAAAGGCGGCAATGGTGGCATAGTAATTCGCAACTCCTTCATTGTACCACGCGTCATCCGACTTTATCGGATTCATGAGAGGATACTCGTGGACAGTCTCATGAGCGAGTAGATCCAGAAGATCATTTTCGTTCATCTGATCCTCGGATCCAGGACTGTACTCAAGGAGGAACGACCGGTATCCGCCTGAGCCGCCATGGCCCGACCAGACTCGCCGAACGAAGACACGGAACGAGTTCGTCGTGTCTCCAAAGAAGCTTGCGATTGACCGGAAGAGACTCTCTGTTAGGGGAGCAACGCGCTTCATGTCGTACGGAGGGTCCCCAATCCAATACATGGAGAACTCTTGCCCGATGCCTGTCTCGGTCTCCCAAGAGGGATACCGGGTGAGCTTCCCCACGGCAAATAATGCGTTGCCGATAAGTTTCTGAGGCCGGCCAACGTCTTTGTTGCTCATGCTATCGCCCAGTGAGCAAGCTCCACGAGTGCCAGCAGGAGCAGAGTCGGGCATGTCGAAATCGATCTGGACCTCCCAATCATCGTCGGCCGGAGGGTGCGGCAGAAAGCCGTACCCCATCCCGACACCTCCGCCCTGGTCGGTTCTTAGGTCTACTCGCGGCCCCGAAAGAGTACCTGGCTCTGTGTGCCTTGGTACAGCTTGGAACTTGACAAGCACAGGCCCGACCGGGTCCCGCTCTGGGATCCAAGCCCTCTTGAGACTAGACATCACGCCTTCGTCAGAGTCCCTGTATGTCAAGGGCAGGTGACCTGAATCATCCGTGGCCTTTAGTGCATCACCATCGTACCGCAGAGTCGGCGTGGAGCCCACATTCAGGAACAGTGTGAGCAAAGGCTCTGTGGCCTTCGACCTGGAGTCTATCAAGCGAACCTCGATGTTGATTGCACTTACTGCGTTATCCCTCTGAGGATCAAACTCCGGCGCCAAGGAGGCGCGGTACGAAGGTAGAGTTGACATATTTCTGCGATCTTTTGGTCTACAGTATCAAGCAAGATTACTGCTATGCAGCCAAATACGTGTATGGTTCTGGCGATCGCTTTTGTTTGCTGATTAGGATAGCCGTACATAGCTGATTACAGCTTTGACTATTTAGAGAAGCCTCTCAATATATAATCAAAGTGTAGGACGCAATGGAGTGTCCATCATCTCCATTCGCGCATCAGCGATGTGTGATTCGGAGCCCGCCAAGGCTAGCGTAGGACAAGATAACCTTGCCCGCCTGGGGAACACAAGCATAGGACTTGACTGAAATGCATAGAGCACAAGGACCTTGTTCCTTTCTGAGCTGTGCCCCACTCAAATTGGCAGGCGCCCTATGCGAAGAATCATGGTGACGCCGACGCCATCTCAATGTTTCGCTCAATTGCGCCCTTCGGCTCTGTGCAGGTAGAGACCCTAGTCTAACTTGATTCACTTACGAAGTCTTCCACGCAAGTCAGATTCGAGCCCTATTTATCTATTCCCTATTGATGTAGACTAAAACCGGCAACCGCCAGTGGTTGAAAACTTGATAACATAAGTCAAAATTGCAGCACCATCAGGACGAAAGCAAGTGTTTGGAGAAATCAAAAGAGAGTACCTAGACAGCTGTCGAGACCGGTACATTCTGCCGCCTGGATTCAGGAAGCTGGACTCGGTGCATGGTGTGAACAACACATGAGTGCCCAATTCATGGCTCCTTGTGATCAATGGCACGATTGGCTGGAGGTAGAAGACAAAGGAGACAACATATTAGCAACAGGCACAAATGGGCACAACGCCCGAATTACCAAGAGAGATTTCCGCGTCTCTGCTGTTGCTGCGTCTAATCATCATGTTCAGAATCTCTATCTAAGAGTAGTGGAAGTACCTAGACGCCCCATAGATGCATCTTAATGCCTGTCTTCCTAGTACTCTGCTTGTACATGCGCCTTTGGTGTGAAAACGTAAACGGCACGGTTCTATCACAAAATGAAGGCAATACCAGAATCTGTGTAGAAGAACTGCGAGACCCAACTGGCTCGAGGCTTGCATCACCAAAAAGATTGTCAAATATTGACCTTGAGACGGCAGCACAGAGGGCTCTCGCATGCCGCCTATACCTCAAAGTCTTAGACCAAAGTTGGGGGTCGCCGACTGTTCTGAACCGTTTGAGGAATTTGCACATCGTCGTGAATTAACCCGAGGTTGTGTCCATCACATCACCTGATGCCTGCGCCTTGACAGCAGCTATTCGCTCTGCTTTCCAGGCCTGTATCCTCTCACGTAAGTCGTCGGCTGGGACTACGTCGTTGATTGTCATTGGGCTTCGTGTGAAAGGGTCCAAGGGATTGGCAAGCAATTGCTGTACAATTGTTGACCGGTCCACGATGTTATTTGAAGGCAATATGACGGGATCAGTCATCAAAGTTCCCAGGAGGGGATCTTCAAAATCGCTGGGGACCTCACCAAGGTCCAACTCGGCTTGGTCTGCAATCTCTTTGGCACTCTTCACCTTCTGCTTGAGTCTGTCAAAAACTGCCAGCTCCTCGGGAGATTTCAGACTTCTCGTGCCCAGAATCTTGGTAGCCTCTTCAAAATTCTGAGGCTTGTATGATCGTCCATCTTCGGCAATCGCCTCGATGAACGGCTGTTTCGACTCCAGATTTACATAGATGTCGATGAAGTCAGACAAGAGGGTTTTGGCGTCGAAATTATACTTCCTTGCATCCTCGACCTTGAGGTTACCCCTTTTGGGTCCCACCAGCGTATCGAGATTGTAGTCCAACATATTGGCCAATCGACCAACAATCTCTGGCATTGTGAAGGCATCCTTCAAAGTCTCTGTAAAGAGCTTCATCATGGCCATTGTCTCGTTGACGAGTTGCATGAAGCTCTGGCACTGGCCTTCGGCTTGCTCGAGGTCTGTGACTATTTTCTCCCGGTCTTCTTGCGAAAGGGTTTGGTCCTGCAGTTGCTTCTGGTAGTCATGAATCTTGACCAGTTTAGTCATAGCTTCGTCAAGCAGATAAGTGGCGTCACTGAGCAACAAGCTGACGAAATGGACGAAAAATCCACGATTTGTCCTGCTCTCTTTGTCAAGCTGCTCCTTATACACGGTGTTGGGCCAAATCGTCTTGATGACTTGGAAAATCTCGTATCTGATATTGAACTTGTCGTAGAATGCCGTACTCGTACCGTGCTCGCATTCTGATCAGGTCAGCTAAGAGGTTCTTAAATCACTCACATGCCCCATGCCCCGAGCGAGGTTGACGCCTATTGACTGTGGCCAGGGTTCTGTTGGCTCACCTATGTAAAACTTCATGAGAGCATGAAGCAGATATTCGTTGGCAAACCCAGAACCAACTAGAATATCACCAAGTATACCGCGACTTAGATGATACATAGGGAATTGCCCGGCAAAGAGGACCGTCACCAGTGAAGATTTCAAGTAAGGGTTCTTGATGTACTCTGAGGACCTTAGGAAGGTGATTGCAAGAGCAACAATCTCGTCGCCTACAGCCGATATCATGATCTGAGGCATGAACCTGTGGTCGAGGTTAGTGTCAATTTACCGTATGGCCAGGTGTGCATGACGAACCGTAAGACAAACTTGAAGTTGTCAACCACATCCTGCAAGGCATACTCTGGTAGACAGCTGAAGGCATCGGGTTGCTCGGCTGGTAGAGGAAGTTTCAAGTCTTGGCCAGGAACGTAGGCCGAGCGACTAGCAACCCGAAGAAGCCATACTGTGACATAACGCATGAATTGTAGAGACAGAGTCTGCATACTCTTGTCCGTAAGCACACCCTCTATCGAGAATCGCAGCGCCATTGTCTTGTCAATGACAGTATTGACCCTATCCAGCTGCCTTTGGGCAATGTTCAATTGGAAGGGGCTTCCTTGGAGCTTTCTGACCTGCTCGCTCACCTCCTTCTCGACCTTCTGTAGATGCTTTATCTCACGGTCTAGGTCTTTGAGCTTTGCATTCGTGGCTTCGCTACCATAATGATGCGCAGCAAGGTTCAGAAAGAATACTTCTGATATAAAGTTTGACGCCCCGTCAGCCTTTTTGCTGTAAAAGGCATCGGAGGCGGCCTGGTCTGCGTTCAGTTTGGTCTCATCGCTCATGTCAACCCTTGGACTGCGCCTTAGATAGTCGACATCGATTTTGCCAATCTTGGAAAAGGTGGCGTCCATGAAAGGCTCGCACAGTTGATCGAGGATCGCAGTGATATTGACCATGAAGCCATCTGAGGCGACTTCTTTGGGATCAACATGAAGAGCACGTCGTTTGTGGTTCGTGTTCATGACGAAAGCAAACCAGTCCAGAGTGCGGTTTTTGGGCGTCTGGCCCGCTCGAACAAAAGCATTGATGATACTGGTCAGGTCGCCTTGGTGTGCTTTCAAGGACATCTGTAGCGCGCTCTGCGACGTCTGAATGTGGCCCCGGTCGATGGATCGGGGATTAGCAAAATACGTTTTTGTCACGTCTGCCTGTAACGGTGAGATCCGGAAAAAAGGGCCGAGGATGGTATGTGTTTCGCTGGAAATGGCAAGCTGCTCCTTTGTCATCTCTGGAGTCGTCTCCACGAGGAAACGGGGATGCTGAGCCAGGGTCTCCAAAAGAATTGGATAGCGTGCGTATGTAACCAAGCAGTTGACGTATGGCTTGTAGTCATCGTTCATAGACATGGTGGCAAGCTTGCTGCTAAGCTGGACCATGGCGTCTGCAAAGACGGGGGCAACGGTATCATCTTCCTTGATACGGGCGACTGCATCATCGAAAAATTCCAGACATATGCCGTCCTCATTGTCATGGTGTCGGAGCAGATAGGGCACAAGGGTGTCATGGTTGGGGTTGGCCTCCCGGCTGAACAACTCGGGCATCGTCACAGCAAAAATACAGTTGCTCATGCACAAACGCTTGGCCTCCTCTAGAACGGCTTGTTTCTCGGGAGTTGGACGTCTGATGGACGAGATGATCTTGACCAGTCGCTTGAAGCAGGGCAGGAGGTAGTTGAGCAGCGGCTTCTCAACCGGTTGTGCACTAGCAGCCTCGAGAATTGCCGAATCGATATTGGAGGCTGTCAGTTTCAGGGCTTCGCCACCCTGTTGCAGCTCATCGGCGGTATTGGGGATGTAGGTTTTGACACCACGGCCATCAACTGTTTGCGTTCGCGCTGGGTCTAACGTGATACGGAATGCGTCGCCTAGAACCCGGTCGATCCAGTCCTCGAGAGGCTCCTCGCGTACGTTGGCGTTGGCCTTCTTGGCTGGTGGTGACGGAACTACGTTTCTGTGTTAGCAGGTGCGTTCAGAAACATCCACAGCCTCAGGGACATGTCCAGGCCATGGTAGGCTGGGTGTGCTGTTTTCGCCCCACGTACCTGCTTCGCCCTCGGCTGTCTTCTTGAGCCTCGTCTGAGATGGTGTTTGTTTGGCTGCTGGGCTGCTGGCGGAAGGCCTCTGGACGGGCTCGGCGGGCGGTTGCTTGCTCTCACCGGTCGGGGGCGGCGAGGCTATCCGGGGGGTGCTTGCGGTGCTGGAGGATGGCTGTGACGAACCGCCGGACTGAGTTGGTGACGGGGACGTGGCGCCCATTCTGCTCAGCATGGCAAGGCGCTTCTGGCGCATCTGGAGCAAATGGGTCAGCGGCATTGCCTCTCTGGACAGAGGCCATCCCGTTGTCTACATGGCATGCGAACGGGGTGACCGGGGAGGCTACGGGCATACCTGCTCAGCCGGCGGTAGAGTCGGTTCTGGTTGCTCGGCGGGGTCCATGGTGACGATGGGTAGCAACTGTGAGGAAGGGAAGTGTTGTGAGAACGAAGCCTTGACAGGTCAGACCAAATGAAGGGCCGTTTGCGACTGTTGGCCAAGGTGGACGTCGATACTGTGAACTGGGGGATCGGAGATAAACGTATGGGCGACCACGGAATTGGTTGCCCAAGTGTGGTTGAGCGATCTGACGTGACCTAGCAAGGTAGTGGTGTAGGTAAGTCAGTAGCGTACCGTAGCTAGTAACCCACTGTAGGGTAGGCTGCGACCGCGTCAAGGCGTCAAGGCGTCAAGCTGGGAAGCTGGGCCGGGCCCCAGGCTTATCGATAGGGCTACTGAGTAGTGGGGTAGCTGCTGGAGCCAAGGTCCATCCATCGAGGTCCCCATCAGTGCGGTTACGGGGGGTTTACCTAGTTTGACTATGTACGCAGTAGGTGCCCAGGGCCACCACTGCAACATGTTGGCTTGGGCTGACTGACTAGCGTCATTTGCTTTTGAGCAAAGAGACTTCACAGACTTCTCAAATACTATGCTCATTCCGTAGAGCAGGTATTGCCTATAATTTTCCTTCCTGCCCAAGATCTTCCTTTGTACGCTCCGCCATTTGGTCCCAACCTCTCTTCGAGCTGACCAGAGGTCATACTGTACGCCCTCCCACCTCCCTCTCCAACTAGCTGGTCACTCAGCAGAAGGCAAAAGAACCGAGACGACCGCCAATTAGTCAGCTGCATGCGGTCTGTACCTTAGCCCCTTAAGACCAGCACAAGGAACCAAACATGAGACTTTGATGGCAAAGGTATATCTGCTGGTGAATGATGATGCATTCACCCCGCCTCGACTGATTGCTCCAGTTACTCCCTCAACCAAGCAATCCTCATCCAACGGGCGCACTAGCATGGTCGAATTCACCTGCCACCGACCACTTCAGTAAATTGAATGGTTTCATCAAAAGGTAACCTCTCTAGAAGACCCTCTCTGGGCCCCAGATGGGTACATACGTATGAATCAAGCTCAAGCACGCTTTTCGTGCCGGGTCTCTTTTCTCTGGTGATTTCTACCGTTGGTCATCACGCAGCCCGCTAAGCTTTGAGTGTCTTGAAGTATTGACAGTGTAAAAGAAGGGAAACATATCAAAAATGATAACACACACCGAAGCCGTATATTGCTGGTGATCCGCCAAAAGCCCACTGAAAATAAGCAAAACGTAATCTGCAATAGCGAGCTACTGTCCCTCTATGAATTTTGTTGCTTCATGAGGAGAGTTCCTTCGTCACAGTAACAGTCCAAGTCAAACCCGTGATAGACAGACTTGCTCCAAATGGGAAGCGGAAATAGGGAGAAAAGGAAACGTGAAAAAAGTAAGAAACCTAATTCACGATCGATCATGTCCTTAGGGATCCAGCATTCCCTCCATTGCTTCAGTAATTGCACGACTGTTGAGAATTTCCAGCAGTCGAGAAGGATCATTCGCGCCGTACGGTTTATTCCACCACAGTTGTGTATAAGCTTTCCCTCCCAATGCTCCTGGATCAGCACCGTGCTGTACTAGCCACTCAACGAACTCCCAGTCAGATGCAGCGCATGCCAGAGTAAGTGGTGTCTCGTCTTCTGTGTATCCACCTATAAAGTACCTCGAGTCTTCGTGTCTGTACGGCATCGGCTTAACATCATTGACATCCGCCAGGCGTTGAGCAATGATACCTTCGGCCATAGGGCGTCGCGTAGAAGCAAAGTCGTGTTGCATGGCTGCTCGTACAAGCGAGTGTAGTAGGTGAAGCCCCTCGCCCTCAGCCTTTGCTCCATGAGCTACCAGCAGGTCGAAAAGGGATTGATCACCTTGAGCGACAGCCAAATTGAGTGGCGACGGGCTTTGCCGGTCGATTGCCCATGGAGTAGCATCCCTATCAGAGGACCCACGAGCACTCTTTGGATATCTACTCAGGTTCGGATCGGCGCCATGCTCCAGGAGGAACAACAGGAGCCTCCTATCAGTGAGGACTCGAGACGCATACATAGCAACGTAAGGGTCAATCATCGCGGGTGACTCCCATGGCTGATTCGGATGCCAGAATCCGGACTTGATAAAGACTGAAAGCAGTGCGATGAAGGAATCCGTGTCTGCAGCATAGTCGGCTTCGTCGAAAATGCACCTCAGTCGCGTCGAAGTCTGGCCAGCTCCAAGGAACTCAAACAACTTCATGAAGCAGCCGCTGTGCAAAGTTGCCCCCTGATGAAGAAGATATTGTACTACATCTGGCTTACAAGCAAACGATGCTTGCTCCAGCCCAAACTGCAACGTCGCCTTGCTAGGGTTGGGGGTTCTCTCTTCCACAAATGCGACCACGTCGGACAAAGCGCCTTGCTCGCATGCTACATAAAAGAGCAGTGCTTGTTTGTCTCGTTCGAGCGAGTCGGCCACAAGTACGTAGTCCGCGCGGGGAAGTCTTGCTGGCAATGGCGGGAACCGGCCGTTCTGCTCCTCCAGATCGCGGATCCTGTCCCAGGCGTCGGGTATCAGTCTACTGAGCCGTCTGCGAAGAACCTTCGCGTCTGTTTCAGCATGTGTCACCCGTTTGCGAATGAGCTCTAGTTGCGCTGTTGCCTCGGACATTGTGAAAACAATATAGCAGGGAGTCGAGCCGAGAGAGTAAACGGAGAAAAGACTGGCTTGAGCATCAAGTTGGTTCCCCCAGTAGTCAGTCACATCATATTCAGGTTGGGGGTGCAGCGTGGCGCCCGGTTTGAAGTGGCGCAGCCGAATAACCAACTTCCACAACCTCGATCACCCGGCACTCAACCTCAATGTACTATTGCTGGGTGATGAATCAACTGGAACTTGAAGGATGCTGCGTTGAAGGATTTACTTGTGCCGTAATCATTGTATTCTTAGAACGGGGCGGAGGGAAGGTTTTCCAGCATGAAATGATTCGTTGACCACACAAACTCATTGGATATTTAGGGGTACGCGTGGTTCGCAATACACTGCCTGCCGCTTTTCTGAGGGCTGTGATATCAGTTCTTGGTTCCTTCACTCTCGGTTGGTGGCGACGATTGCAAGTGTCATATCATAATAGTTTAACGTCGTCGTGGCCAACGTAATCTGTCGCACAGAAATTGTCATGCTGCCCTGTTTACAGGCTTATGGAAGGATGCTTTCACCTTGATCATGATGGACCTCAGGATTCTAGGTCTCAATCCTGAGCTTCTGATGCAGCCAAAAAGACTGAATAATGACATAACTTGTGGCTTCACCTCGTGTTGGAATCTGTGCTTTAAGAGGCCCTTCCGCTCTCGCCAGGTCTACACGAACGGTCTCACAGCAAGTATCTCACTTATTTGATTCTCTTACTCAATATATTACTCTTGGTTTTGCTGCAGTCTGTATTGGAAATACACATATACACACTACAAAGGACAAATAATGCTCCCAAATCTCCGTCCAGTGGCAGGACTGCTGTCACTCGTGGCTTCCATTGAAGGGCAAACAACTTCCGAACATCCGCGCCGAGAAGATGGCAACCTAACAAGCTCAGCGCCCTGCCCATTCCAGCTTCAGTATCATGTGGGTTATAAATTGATTATTATCAAAGGTCTATTGTTGCGGGGAACTTAAATCATCATACAGCTTGGCTTGTGCAATCCTCCTGCGTCTTCAGGGGGGATTGAAGCATCTTCAACTATAACCGCCACTGCGCCGAAATTCTTTACCAGCCCTCTAGTGGCCAACGATGGAGTCACTCACACCATGGTTCTTATATCCGGCGGGGCTTTTACGACACCTATTACCATGTCCGAAGCTGCACCAACACAATTGAGTCCCGATGGGCCAGAAATCAAGTCTAGTCTGCTATCAGTCTCATCTGAAGTAGCTGGAGTAGTACCTCTTGCAACTGACTGGGCAAACGCACCCGACTCCACCAAGGCTTCCTCAGCTGTTCAATCCATCATGACCCTAATCCCAGAAGTAGGTGGCCTAGCCAGTAGTCTCGATGGCGGTGATGCCATCTTAAACCAATGTGAAGTCACAGGAGATGGGCTTGTCTTTGGACTGAATGATCTTATGTGCTGCCTTATAGATATGCTAAATGATCTTGAGCACGCACGGAACACCACAGACCCTGCAATTCTAGGGCCTCTCGCTCAAGGAGTTCTCAGTGATGCTGGAAAGTTGAGCAGCATTGCCAGCAATATCGGCAGTATCCCATCTACCGCGACGGCGACGGCAACAAAGACAAGTTTAGATACGAGCTCAAGTACAACGTCAAGTACAAATCTACGTACTGGTCCAATTACAGCTTCAATTACGAGTTCAAGCATAATTTCAAGTATCATAACCTCACGTTCAACCTCAAGTACAACAGCCAGCACCATGGAGCCATTCACAGTCGTCACGCTTCCCGCTGGAGCGACGTTGGTCCCCCTGCCGGAATACACTGCTCCTACTCCCATATATATCACAACCACATCACCCGGAAGAACCGAGCAGACTATCGTCCCAGGTGCGCATACACATGCTAAAAGAAAGCAGTGCAAGATCTTCAACATGTTAACACAGTCCATAGTCATCATTCCTGTCTCAGGGCCCCCGGAGATCTGCTTCGGCTGCTACACAACTTTTCCCCCCAACATCCAAATTGATGTATCAGGTAGCTTCTGTATTCAACTATTCGGCACAAAGATTGGGAATTGCCCCAAGGACGGCGAGGGTTCGGGATCCAATCCCTCCGAGCCTAGTGACCCATCCAGTCCCGACCCCGAGCCGACCGAGCCCAAAACCGAAAAGGAGTCCTGCACAGAAACGCTCACAGCAACATATGAGAGCATTTTCTGTACGGTTGTTGGAACTGCGCAGCAGGTCCCTACAGCATGTTCAACTCAGGCATACAGTGTGGTGACTGGTTGCACCATCACCGCCTCTACGACGAGCACCACTACGACAGTGACAGCAGAGCCGAGCCACTTGTACTGCAGTCCAGGGTCTTGCGGTACAGGAGAATGCCACACCAAGAGATCCATGAATGTTCATGATTCTCAAGCAAGCGTAGCCAAGCGTGGCGATCCTGACGAGGGAGACTGGGTTGATAGAAGCGACTACTCAGACCAAACGCTATTCGTCGCTGGGGAAGTCTATGAAGCATACACAAATTTTGTTCAAACTGACAACAATATCGTCCCTATACCCAAAAATACAGACATTGAGCCCGGCATGACCACATCCCAAGTAGTACAATTCAACGACAAGGTTGTCTCGTTGTCCGTGCAAGGCTTATACGGCTGCACTTCTGTGGTAGTAGTGTCACAGCGAGGCGCCTGGGCTAGTCACATATGGGAGGCGCCAACATTCACTGGAAGTATAGATAATTTCAGGGCAAGGGGGCTGGATTACATCACCAGGGGCTTGCATGACGACAACCCTCAATTTTCGCAGCACAAATACGGCCTCAAAAATCTACGCGGCAACGGTGATCTTCCGGGAAATCTTGGAAAGATATTCGGCGTCGACAATGACGATATACCTGGAACACGTGCCTATATCCTGGCTCCACGGCCACGTGTTTGGGCTCAGACGATAAGGGATGAACAAGGCAAGATCGTCGATTTGGTGAACATAATGGGCAAACATATAAGCGACCAGGAAATTCAGGATCCTAACGCGATGGCCGGAACCACCCAGTTCCCGGGACATAATGACCAGATTACTCAGACAGTAAAAGCCATTTTAGGGGAGAGTGTTCCCGTTGAGGTCATTGAATACTCACCGAATGTATTGGGCCTGGAAGACCTCAAGAAGAATCTCCCGCCAGAGAAGAGAGCTCATATATTAGGAGATTACGACAACGCGAAATCGCGAGGCAAATTATACTTGCAGTACAGGCCGGCAAGGTGCGACCGGCGTCAAGCATCTTGGCGCCTTTGGATAGAGGACCGAATGGACTTGGCTGGCAGGACAGACAGCTGGGATGCAGAAGGTGGCCAGATGTTCGTCTCGTCGCCAAAGGGGAAAAGGGACGGGGGCAGCGCTTGTACGCTCCCTACCGGCCCATCGACAAGTGCGTCCGTCACGACTACGGTCGACGGCCACACTGTGGTGGTGGGACCATCTGGTACCTCTACAGTGAACGCGCCTATTGGGTCTAAAACTCCGGGATCCTGCACATCTGATACCGTCGACAAAGACTGCGGCGGGCCCAGTTTAAGCTGCACCGGCGGTTTGGTAGCCAGATGCGAGCAGGGTAGATGTGTGTGCAGATTGCCCGAGTTTGCTCCTGGGTCCAAGTGCACTACGACGGATGACTGTCGGCCAATATCCTTGTGTGACCCAGTGACACAGCTTGACGCATGCGAGAACAGTCTATGCGTTTGCAAGCCCGCTCCAACATCGACCCGCGCTCCGGAGCCTTCAACAACATCGACCCGCGCTCCGGAGCCTACAACAACATCGACCCGCGCTCCGGAGCCTTCATCAACAACAACGGCTGCTGCTTCGGCACCAACAAAAACCGAAGTCGCCCCAAGGCCGTCACCAACGGAGGCAGTGATCATCGGCTACCAAGCAACATTAATCGGATCGGAGTTCGGCGTGGACATGTTAAACCAATGGGTCTTATATCCACAGAATGTGAAGGAGTCTTCTGTATCCCCAAATTTGTGCGTGTTGAACGATATAGGGTCCCGACTAGATGACTCGTACCCGTCTGGAGCCGATGACATACCCTGGCCAGGTAGTGTCAGTTCTGCTGGTGATGTCTTCGGCCATAAGGGTTGTCACTATATCGGTAGTGATTCAGGTGCTGGTCGTTTTGCTTGCGATGATGTGAACGAGTTTGCATGTGTCGTTGACAGTCGGAATGGGCAAGCAGACGTGTGCGAGCTTGGAACGGCTACAAAATGCTACCCAAAGATCCAATGCCTCTTCCCTGCCTAATAACCAGCTACAAGACCTTAAATTCAAGCAAAGTCTAATGGATTTTTATATATGAATACCCAGGTGACTTTGTTACTTTGCAGTATAACGTGCACCCATTTCAAATGGCTGGAAAACAGCTGCTCCGTAGTCAGGGAGAAAAGCGAGGTCCCTGGTAATACACCTTGGGGGTGCCACTGATGCTAGCATCCTCCATCTTTAATACCTTCAATACATGCCCATACGCAGCGTTAATATATGTGCCATATGCCATGTGTCCACTGTGAGCTGGTGCCAGCCAGGAGGCAGATAGAAAGATAAGTTTGCGCTGTGGTGAATATACCCGTGACCCTTTCCAGTTTCGCTGCTCTTCCTCCCGAGATGCGAGAAAAATTTACGTTTAATCTACCTATATTCCACCCTCGAGATCAGACCGCAAGCCGCCAATACACGCCAGACAGCCCTCCACCACCATTTCTTATAAACCGCGGAATTCGTCAAAGACTTTTCGGGGTCGTGGATAGTACGGGGCAGGAATGTGTCGAATATGTACATGATTTTCCGGTGGTCTTTGAGGAGGATGGCGCTAATGGCGGCTATTCGATGCAGGAACTCCAAGAATTCGAAAAAGAGATCTGGGAGGCTGGAGAGGATGCTTACGAGTATTTGTCTAATATGACCCCCAAGGTCACCTGTTGTTATTGAGTATAGAGAAATGCCGTAATTAAGTTGCAGTCTGCAGCAATGAATGACAAATGACCGGCTCGGATCATTGATGAATCGTATTTGTCTGGTGTGAAACTTCTACCGGGTCACGTACTGCTGAGCGTGTCGAATCTCTAGGCTATGCCAAACAAAGTCAAATCCATAGTCGCTGTACCCCACAAGCTGCGCCGTCGTCGCCGTGTCATCTCCTTCGATGGTCTGATTATGCCTACTTCGAGGTGCGTTCGCCTCATCCGCTGAAGTTGTCAGACCTAGGGCGTTGGACCATGCCTACATTGTATCCTGGTCTGAGGAGATAGATCATAAGGGTGGTTTACCGAGCACTGAATGGTCACGCGGAATGGTGAAGTCAGCAAGCGGGAAAAGTAAGGCAAGGTCCATTTCGGTCGGCTCTGTGACCTCGGACTCCTTCGTGCCAAGCGGGCGGTCACCAGTCTATCTATGGGATAACGGATGGCATCCCGAGTTCTCTACGACCTATGGTCGTATGCGACTTTGTATAACCCTAACTTGTCGTATAACAGAGCCACCACAGGTACCATCTCATGTACAGTGTGGTGTAAACGGTCAAATTCCAAAAGTCTACCTTGAAAGCAGGAGACTATAGGTAGGCAATGCGAGTTATACCCATCGTCTGCCCTGGTCAAAAAGGTATTGTAGATGATTCTGGAAACCCAGCCAGAGCCACCTTCTCACTTTCTCACGCATGTGGAAACATTGTATCAACAGATAAGACTCAGGTGACGACGACACTTGTCCATATCAAGTAGCTCCAGCTTCATTGGTCGGCAGTTCGTTTTTGATCTGACGGAGTAGTCCCAATCGGCCCAACTATCCATCACTAAATAGATGTTGAGTTGGACTCTATCTTCTCGAGGGAATGCTCCGAAGGCTCAATCAATGTCGCGTTGTACCACTTTGGGTATAGTAGGGCTCCAGTCCGTATATCTTGATTCGTGGCGCTTCTTCAGTATCGAATTCGCAAAGCCGCCATCGAGATGGATATGAGGTAGTGCTGGCGAGGCACCCATCGCATGGCTTGCTTCTACATCTTCGTTGTCGGAACGCCACCTTGCCCGTATGACTCATTTCAGGGTTGTTGTCCATTTGAACTGTGCACGTCAGAAGTAACCCTGTACATTTCTGCATGGAGTAGAATTGGGCGTTTTCAAAGGTTGGACCAAAGTTACAGTTCCTCTTACAGTCTCTCCGAAATTGGACTAGGTCATTCATAACTTAGGTTGTTCCGAATACCCGTAGCTGCCGTCAATACGGCGCTCCGTTATCAGGGCTGTCAGCCAACTTCCGAGGTGCTCCGCTACGGTAGCGAAAGGGGGAAAGACACCGTCCGATCGTTACATGTTTTGCAGTCATGGTACTAGAAGGTGCGGCTTGTCTAACCTTTCACCTCAGAATCCTGGCCGACACGCATGGGCATACTCATCATAGATGTGTAACAGCCGTAAAATCAGTTCTGCTCATCACTGATGGCCAATGTATGAGCTCCCACGTCGGATGAGCTTCTGTTGCAAGAACAAACGCGCACCAATTTCCACGGGCTTTCTGACAAGTAATTGTTTGAGTTGGAATAAAAAAGCGCAGAGGTGCCGTATCCCTAAACGCATACGCAGCACAGTGATACACAACGTACACCACTCGGAGAGGACGCTGGACAGCAGTTCTTGTGGCCACTCGTCTAAAACGAATGGTTACTGGACGCCCTTATCTATGTCCATGTACGCCTGAATCCCCAGCAACTGGCCACTTAGATCTTGTCCCAGCAGCAACGGAAGACTTATTCACGAAAGGTACAATGAGCCGGTACCACAACGATAGACCAGTTCATTCAAGACCCAAGCACCATGGCTTACCACAGCTCCTGTCTGAGCGGTACTATTTCGGCAGAAGTAACTTGTACTATCTTTGTGTCACTGTGTGATTCATCGACGTGTCGGTGGACACTTGGATGGGATTCGTCTAACAAGCGTGCCGATACATATTCAAACTTACGGTATCTTTACGCCATCCAATCTGATAGTATCAAAGCTTGACATTTCTGAGTTGCCACCTCTTAAGCGCTATTTGTGAAAGTCTGCTTGGTCAAATACTCCAGGTCGCTTATCATCCACCAATTACCAACTATTCGTGATCAATTCAGTGTCAAGAGGTACCTAGCAAATTAATAGCTAGCTAGCCAGCCGCCTCAGCATCTTCATGAGCCGGTAACGAATGCTCTTGGGCATAATATGGGGGATTCAGCTGAACGGCGTACCGAAGTGGTGTTCCACGAGGATCGAGCGGTTACATGCAGTTTCTCCAAGCTTCCACTTGCTACGTCGTGTCACCACCTCCTATGGCCCATACGAGAAGATTCTCGTCGGGTAGCGGCAACCTACGGCATTGTGTGACTTGCACAGTTTCGCCATCTCTTGTCACCCAGTGCCTCATCAGTTCATACAGCGCAGATTTGCCTCACCTTCGTATAGCTCCCTCCTCAGCACGCAGTGTTCTGTTCCGATTCGTTGTTGTGCAGTATGGGTTGTCGACCTTCAAGGGAGCAGGTAAGGACTATATAGCAGCCACAGGGGAGAATCTTCAATACGGGATCTATATTTTTGTGTAGTCTGATGCGGCCTGGCTGTCCTGCCGTGTCTCCATTTTCTTGATTGGGAGCAAGACGACGCGGTTACTCTTCAGCGGGCTCCGACACACTGTTTTCACGTTCGCCGATCCCGGAACGATTTACATTGCTCTAGACCACAGTACTGTAATATGACTCTCTTTGCTTGTCACACTTGTTTCTACGAAGAAATAAACCTTTGATCGAGGAAATTCAACATCTTCTCACGAACGAAATGCCAGATTTGGTTGGTAATGAACGGACCCGAACTTCAAAGCCCTTCGCCGGAGCACGTGGTCGGCAAACAAGCACCAAGCCAGCCTCAAAAGATCCTGGGAGATACGGTCTCAGCAACCCTAGCCAATGCATAGCAGCGTGCAGGAGTAATTTCACCGATTTAGCAAGAGTCGATGGTGACAGTTCTCTTGAGAAGCTATGCCACAGACTTACCAATGAACTATACAAGATTGATCTTTTTCAGTCTCTGTATTGCTGTGATTCAAATTATTGCGGCGTTGATTTCGCTTTACCAAATAAAAGTGGGTTGGACCGTGAGTTAACGTACACCCCAACGGAGCCGTATACACACCACTGAGTCTGATTACAGCTAATGTTGATGCAATAATAAATCAGTGCCAAGGGTAAGTTAATCCAACAATACATTCAATCTTTTGCTAAAAGTTTATAGCATTGGAATCTATGATATCGAGGATACAGGACCACCACCTTTGGCCCTATGCCATTCTAGAGAGCAGGAGGCCCCAGTCACGGGACCTGTACCTGCAAACAGTATCACATTTACGAGCATTTCAAGACACACCGGTACCAAAACCTTTGGAATTGTGCCTTCGTCGAGTCCTGCACAACAAGGATCTGGAGCACCAGTACCTCTAACGAAAGGGGAATCAAGCACGACCCCAACGTCGACAACTTCAAGGGATGATTCCACAGAAACCAGCAACTCCTATCTTCATACCTCAAATCAACAGGGAATGAAATTTAGTGACCAGATCATAATTGGCGTATGCGTTTCTGTGGTCGTTCTTTTCGTGGTACTCCTCACTTTTGTTATATGCCGCCGGCGGAATGGCTCGAGAGGCGTGGCAAGGGGGCGGCCATCGTCTTCGAGATCAAATTCGCAAACTCCGAGCGGGTCTCCTACGCCGCTGATATCTCCTCTGCCATCTTCTTGCTCCAAAATGATGCCCCTGACGCCGCCTCCGCTTCGTCTCAGCGACCGTAGATTTCTCCCATCCATGGTCGGACTGAGCTCCGTCCGGTCGTCGTCAGGACAGTCCCAACCATATCAAGGCGATGTGACATCTCCTAAGCACCCAGGATTCTACCCAGCAAACAACAAAATGCTACCTATGGCCGAGCAACGTAGCACCACTTCAAGTTCTGAGTTTGATCAGGGCCATGGTCGGCCGGCAATCGTTATTCGAAGCAGTACCAGCTCAGAAGTTAGCAACCTACCAACGATAATGGCCCCCGCTTTGAGATTCGACAAAGCATGCTTCTCCACGACAGGAAGCATTGCAGTCATTAGTCCTAGAACACCACCTTTATCACCAGCTCGACCCCAGAGGCCACATGACAATCCCTTAGCAATTCCAGACCTAGTAACCCCAGTGAGGTCCTCGACGGGGGCGCTGCCTCCGCCGCCTCCTTCTCTTCTCACTGTGAAGATGAGACTCTCATCCACCTCTACGCCGTCTCTCGGGTCGGCCTCAACGACAGTATCGCCAGTATCACCCCTATCCCCATCACAGCACAATGCCAAGAGGTCTCCAGTCAGCCCGCCTCCACACCCTGCGGAGATCGGGGTTGCCATCAGCAGACTACAAAACAACCCAGCAGCGGGTGTCATCCTGCCTAGCTGCTCCCACGAACTATGCGACTTGACTGAGTCGCCCGTCCGCGAGCGCCGCGAGAAATGGGCCGGCTGGGGTGGTGTCAGTAAGGGGAGCCCGGGTACCGCTGTCCCAGGTAGGAATAGGGTGAATGGGAATCCGAAGATCTCAGGTGACACCAAGGGAATTGTAAGGTCTACACTTGTGATGAAAGAGCTGGACTTGGCGAGGCTAGGTGGGAGCTACTAAGGTAATGTTTGATATGATTGACAAGGCGGGGAAGGCGCTGCACCGAAGGATTGAAATACGATTAGAAGTTCCAGAATAATACTATGATAGATGATGGATAGAAGGGATACACATGGCACAGGTGCTTCACGACTTGATGGTCAATGTAATGTAAAAATAAGCAACGAATGGCAGTGGCGGGAACCTTACGGAAAAAAAAGAGAGGGTGATTAAAATCAATCGATAAAAGATATCAATCTCCGCTGAGATCGACCATGAGAGTCGCAAAAAGCTCTCTTCAGCTGGAAATAGGACCATGTCCTAGGATCACCCTGATTATTCTATGCTTCAAGTGTGGACTGGATGAGTCGAAGAACCTACCACGGTTTTGCCATCTTGTTGAACAGGGCGGTAATTTTATGCCACCAGATTGGTCTGACAATTCAAGTGGACATCAAGATCGACGCCAAACGCTTACGTTGAAAGAGACTGAGTTATCCAATATTATTAGGTGGTAAGCGGCGTGATCTGTGGTTTACGGGGCGCCTGGTGGCTGCCGGGCAGTACTGTGCGGTCGACAATATCCTCCTACAAGAGCCGTTCCCGACAGCCTGCTGTTAATAGATAGCGGAGCATCATTAGGTTACACTAAAGACATTAAAGACGGTATCAGCCACGTCGGCAGTCATGTTGGTCACGAAACGTGAGCTAACCCAGAGATAGTTGCAGGTTGTGCTGGTCTTGTCTTGTCTATTTAGGCTACATATCTCAACCAATCTGATAGTCTTGGACGATATCTTGTCCGTCTTCATATGCTCCATGATCATGTAATTGGTAATGAATATCTATGCGCCTACGGCCTGAAGGCTCTTGACAGTATCAACCGAACTCTTCTCGATCGAGATCCAGTTGATACCGAGCTCCTTGGTGGCCCGTGAGTTATCGTAACCATAGACGCCTCCCTCAGGATAGTCGCCACCCTTGACACCTTCGGACGGGAGCTTGTCCTTCAGCTCGGGGAAGTTCTTGCGGACCGCGGCCACGACCTCGCGGTTGTTGAACTTGCCGGCCGTAGTGAAGAAACGCTTCCCACCAGCTTCAGGGCGCTCAAATGCCTCAACGTGCGCCAGCGCAACGTCGCGCACATCAACCCAGAAGTAGACGCCGGTTGGCGGGATCTCGTCCTTGAATTTGCCCTGGATCAGATCGACAAAGCGCTGGTTGGAGGTGTTGATGGCCGAGAGCGAGTTGAGGTGGTGCACGATAGGGCCGAAGACCAGCGGGGGACAGACGGTTGCGAGATCAAAGTTGGGCTTCTCCTCCTCGATAAACTTCCATGCCGACTTCTCAGCAATGGTCTTGGAAACCCGGTATGATGTGGCTTTGTTATCCTTCAGGCCATCCTCGTATGTGTTGGGGTTCCAGTCGGCTTCGGAAAAGACCTTCTTGGGATCGGCAAGTCCCTTCTCCGAAAGGATAGAAGCAAATGAGCTGGTGATGACAACGCGCTTCACGCCTGGGGCAGATTTCTTGATGGCTTTGAGAATCGATGTGGTACCAATGATTGCTGGGTCCAACAACTCGGTCTTAGGGTCAGTCCAGTTGTAATGGAATGGGGAGGCGGCTGTACGACTGTCAGACGAGTCCTTGTGAGGGATTTTACTTATTGTACGGCGGCCAGTACGCAGGGGCAGGCTGCCAGACATCGTACTTACTGTGAAGAACCACCTCGAGACCCGGAGTCTTCACAACCTCATCAAATGCATCTGACTTGGCAATGTCTGGCACAATCACCACAGCGAGCTTTGCATTTGGGTGCGCATCGCGAATCTTAGAGGCCTTGTCATCTGACCTGACGGTGGTCACAACCTCGTGGCCACGCTGAAGGAGCAGCTCGAGGATATGTGCTGAGGGGGTCGTTAATATCCTCATCCATCGCATGCTAGCCACGAATTACCTACCGGCAATGAAGCCCGATCCGCCTGTCAACAAGACTTTCGTCATTTCGTAACAGAGTGATTACAGACGACGATGATTCAATTTTTATGTGCAAAAGTTCCCTGTTGGCAGCCTTCCCTCGTGAGTCTTTTCAACGCCACAAGCAATTCTCATCAGTCTCGCGAGATGTCGCAATAATGAGTTGCGTCGCGGGGTCGTCGTCGGGCGGGCCGCAATACTGCACGTCATTGCCTAACCCCTCGCTCCATCGGCGTTAAGACGGGTTGGTCTATGGATACGTGTGAGCTAACTCCTAGGCATATCGGCTTTCAACCCTTTCCTGCCTCCATATACACCACTACACGCAATTGTCGATACTGCGCAACAACTATCTCCATCTGTTGCTCCTTCAGTAGAAACCGCAAGTTACGTGCGGCCGGCCATGGTGAATTAATTATCCCCGATACCCTCGTCGAAGCCGTTTCGGAGGATCGGCTCCTGAGGTGCGGACAGCCCCTGCGTCTGTGGTGTTCTTAGCACGTGTGGAGCGGCGGCCGATCCGGACCTCGCTTCGGCAGTGCTGAGCGGGCATCGAACTAGGAGAAGACTATTGAGCTGGGCTAGGCTAGGCTCTTGGGTTTCGGCCCCCCGTCCTTACGAAGTTGCAATAGGATGAGAACTGCAAGGTCATTCTTGGCTGCCCATCAAGCGCATCATCCGTCCCAAATCTAGATGTCATGATCAGCATGGCGCGAGGTTGAGTGCCGCAGTTCCCGCCCCTTGAGCTTGTGACGCAGGAACGACAGCCGGTTCCAGGAACTCGTGCCATTCTATTTAGCCAAGTCTTACTATGGCGTACTAGAGAGTAGCCAAATGATGTCCACGAGGGCCAGTATTTGTCATTTTCAGTGTGCGCCCACTAGACCTTGATTATATCTCCGGATCGTCCACATCCTGGCTAGAAAGTACGTCTCAAGGGTGACCCCCAACCATCTGGAAGGCCCCCCACCAACAAGCCACCGGAAGCACCTTTTTGGCAAATCCTCGGAGCATCAGATGCAAATACAGGACCATGCAGGGGTCAGTTGTGGCTTCAGGTAGAGATGTAGGGTCTCGACCGTACAGGCCGTCACAATGACGAGGCAAGATTACAATCACGCTTGTCGGCATGTTGCCAAGCCTTCCTCTGAAAGCTTGACCAAGTACCGGCATCTCAATGTGAATGACTCGCAACCATCTTGAAGCCTACCTGTCCCAGGGTACGACAGCGCTACGAGCGGCCCGTGTTGCAATGTACTTCCTATGATACTTCTTGGCTGCTGTTGTGATCGAGCTGTAGGGATAGCAACACTAATGGTCGCCGACCTGAACCATGCAGTCGACGTGACTTCACCGACGACACATGCACAGCTTAATCGGAGCACCATGATGGACCTAATCATGGGACACTAGGGGTATGCTCTTGTGGAAACGTACCGTCCTTCTTTCGTATCTACCCGTGATCTGGTCTGGTCAAAGACCAATTCATTCGATCGCTCAGGGAACTATCGCCAAAGCTTGTAACGAGCGCCACTCCATTACTTGATCTGTAAGTTCTCCGGCTTTGACCTAGCTGGCACCACGGTAGCCAAATGGTGTCAAATAATGGCAGCCTCTATGAGTGATGGTATCTCAGAGATACCTGGATGTTTCCACTCAAATGACTTTTGTCTTCTGTAGCTCAACATGAGGCCCGGAGATTTAGATACGCAATTATTCATTGATCGCTACTAGTTGTGTTTCGTGAAGATCAAAAAGCGTTGGGTATTTTGACGGATCAGACATCCCTAAGCTGGTGCATCATACGATTTGAATACTCTGATGGTACGCACAGCTCTTCATATGCTAGATCTCTATTGAGAAAATAGCTCAATCGGGTATGCATATGAAATAAAATAATTGATCCGTGATATCAAGTGTACCTGGCGCGAACACGCAGCTCTTGTTCGTTGTTTTAAGGTACATATGCAAGGCTTTGAACACTGCACTTTCGAAGTGCAAGTCTCTCGTTACAAGCTCCAATTGGCAAGGGAAAACGTATCCTTTTTCCAGAAGTGCTATTGCGTGAATGCCCAGACATAGATCACCACCGCACGAGATTTTCTACGAAGTAAACCTGCTGTGGCTAACCATTGACTTGGCGCCTGTCAGATGGATGCCCGCTTCGTGTCAGCAGCGATGCGAGGTATTGCACCCCAAATGTGTTCGGACCATTTGTAGACAGCATCATTCCTGACTTTCAATCTCTTTTCTCTGTAGTATTGCAGTTTAAGCAACATATCATAGACTGATTCTGACTCAGGACAATGCTGTGACATGCCAGTGGCGAGGTTGGTGTCCTGAATGCGAGCCAAGGACAGCCCAACGAAACATGAATTGCCCGGTTTTGGGTACAAATGAGTGACTTGACACCTTTGTTTTCTGATGTACCAACAGCTGGATGAATGCTGAGCGCGAGTTTCGATACCAAGAAGCTTCAAAGGGAATATGATGAGCCGGCGCCGCCTACGGCCCATACTCCGAGAGGTTCCATCCGGTCCTTTGCCTGTCTCAAGACATCAAAGCAACATAATGTGACACGGCAGAAGTAAAGAGGATCAAGGCGAAGCGATTACCGTCTGGGGGATTCGACCAAGCTACCGCGCCTTTAGCACTCACGCTCTCTAGATTTAGACCTCTTCATTCAAACCTGTTAATTTACAAGTCGACCTTTTCGAGTTGTAGCGGGGAGCATTCGGCAATCATTGTTGACGAGCAGCCTCCGAGTCTACAGGAGACGACAGCAGACATGTCAGTTGTTCGCGTTAACCTGTAGTGGATGCGCAGCTTATTGGTTCAATGAACCATTCAATAACTTAAAGAATGAACCCTGCCTTGTTAGCTAGCCAAGATCATTCAATCGTTGGTAGAAATTCTCATGGAGATACTATGGTATTGTGCTCGGTATCTACGTGCACTGGTAAGGTCTGCCGAAAACAAGAGTAGCACAGATGCCCAATTGCGATCAGGATACCCTGAATCGCGTACCCATACTGTCGGCAACCTTGGTTCGCGACCTTGCATATGTCAGGGGGGTGTAAATCCCGGATTTCAGTTTTTCAAGATTCATGAAACATGGGCATGTAATCGCAACGAGATATCACAGAACATACATTTCAAAATTAACATGCGTCTGCAACTAAAGCTTCATCATATATCACATTCCCCACCCCAGCCTTCCTGCATCGTGGTTTCCCACATGATTAGATCAGGTCTAGTGCTACGAGAATGCACTTCCGAATCAGAGTCATGCAACTTGATTCATACATGGGGGTGACAAATCAAGGCTTGTTGCGGTTCTAATCTATGTCTTGTGGCGACAGATTGCCTTTCAGAAACATCCGATGTGTTGCAGTTGCATAAGAGCACCGCCATGAGACTCGGGGTTTGTGGATCTTGCATTGCGTTCCGGCATCCGTTCTTGAGGGAACAAGGACAATGGGTTCGACAGATCTGACAGTGGAGCACCAATCGATTGTTAGCAATCTGCATCGATCAGAAGCAATGCTCCATGCTGCTAGATCTGCAATTCTTCCTCCCTTTCCTTTTTATTTTCTTCATCACACCACATCGACAGCACCGTTTAGAAGACAGCCAAGTCGAAGTCAACGGTTCTGCATGCTGTTCAGATAACCATCAAAATAAGCAATGAGCAATACTATGCAGATTTGAGTTTATGTTTTTTTCGGATAGACCTCGAGTCAGGAATGGCCCTTGCGCTTCACCATCAGAATCCCGTAAGATCTACGCTGTATCCCAAATGGTTGATCAGCGGTGAGGGAATTGGTTCACAGCCTATGATACCTTGCTTATGTACACTTTTGGTTCATAAAGTACTTTGCTGTGTAGCTTCGCTTGGAAGGATCATCTACGAATCGGATCAACGCCTGGTGCTTGCTTTCACAGGTGACTAGACCAGAAAGTCTCGTAGGATGTGGTGCTGTGGTTGGATGACTCGGCGCAGCACCCGAAGATCACCACGCAGGCGTCCCTGAAGGACGTCCATCTACGAGGTTGGCTCCAATACAAACAGGGACCGACCTTTCGGCACATCAAAGGTCTCATGCATCTTACAAGCTAGGGTTGATGGACACTTCCTACAACAACTGCTATGGGGTTACATATTCTACTCGTCGCATTGTAGGTGTTGGTGTGTGTCACAAATGACGGGTGGGATTTGGACTGCACAAGACGTTTTAATGTAGAGAAACGTTGAATGTTTCGACGTCTTCCGGATTGCTTCATCACGCAATAATGTTTCGAGTTTAAACCGTCTTGAGAAGATCCTTGCGGGGTTTTTTCCTATAGTGGTATCGTGTTATGGACTAAAGCCAATGAGGGTAGCGAGACCAGTGCCCCTTAGGTCCAAATAGCATTGGACGCTATGGCACAGACATCACGCCCAAGTTGTTTCTCAAGCCAAGAACCAGGCGGGCCAAGCCGTTACTAGGGATGATCGTTTTCTTCCGAGTCAAGGGGCCCGTCAAAGTCTGAGCACATCCATCTGCATTCGAACTAGCAGATCACTCCCCGTGATCAGATGCGACGATGGAAGAACTGTATACTGCATTATTACGGTACGGACAAAGCAAGCTGCATGTGGGGGTCTGCAGAGGATCGTTGTTAATTGACAGATATAATATTGCTCATGTCGCATACTTAAGGTTGCGTGCATGATCGGCTCCCTCAAACTCCGTGGCACCCCAGCGGTAAATAATGTAAACCTGCTACTCTGTACTTTCCATGAACAAGCATTTCAATGTCTCCTCCAACACGTAGCCTATTAGGCGTCGTCTTGCGTGGTGTTCTAGATGTAGCCTAGGTTCAGTGCTCCCCTATGGTGGTACTTCACCGCAGGCAAGGCAAGGATCCCCAGTTTAAGGAAGTCAGGACATGCTAATAATGGTCCGATTAAGCGCACCGGCAGTTCTACTGGGTTCCCCATGGCGCGCCAGAATCCCATGGCGTCTGTCCATGAAAGTGAGGCG